GTCATGTAATCGAAGACTGTGCTCTTCTTAATTTGTTTTACTTTATTTAGCCAGTTTATAAGATCTTTACGTAATTTGAATATAATTGGTACATTTTTCAGTGTATTTTTTTTTTTTTGTAATACTTATAAGTTAACTAGAGAAAATCTAACGTTAAATACTCATCTTCTTAGAATCCTTTGTATTTGCTAGTGTAGAAGTTGTTCAACAACTGATGTTGTGTCTAAAACCTAGGTAGAGTCCAAAAATGTGTATTTGTGTACGGCATTCGCTTAAATTTTGAATCATCTACATATAGTGTCAGAAGTCTATATTAACACAACGCACAACTACAGTTAGGTTATTAAATATGTTCATTTAAATCCTAAAGGGAATAACAATCGTAAGGATTTAAGTTATGAAATAAACAACTGTTCAACAATACTTAGTCCTTTGATTTTTGAACAGTTCAAATGGTTGAGCTTTAAATAGTTAGTACTTAGTTGTTAAGTAACGCGTTACGTAGGTAAACAAAAATAATCTTTGTTAATAGCTGTAGTTATTTTATGATTTTTAGTGAAACAGCACATACTTCTATTGTTACACTACGGTTAATCGAGCCCGTGAAAGTGTATTAATATTTTTATTATATTTATACACACCGCATACCTTAACGGGTATTCCGTCGGTATTTAATATTCGTTAATATCTATAAATTACATGTTGTTTATGTCTATTACTTAAAACGATTTTAATATATTTTTTCAAAAGCTTTGACAAGTCGTAATAATATGTAATAAATAATAATGCAGTTGCCTAGAGTGGCAATAATTATAAACCCACGTTATTTATAACGAATACATTTTTGCTGTAATAAGGAGTAACTTTCGAGAAAATCTACTCAACAAACCACGGAAACGTAATAAAGATTATAAGGAATTAAGAAATCAGATTATAATGGCTGATAGTTATAAGGAACATTATAGTGAAAATAAAGTTTATTTATAGTGACCATGGAGTACTCGATGATTGAAACTAGCTAATAATAGATATGATAGTGATAATAATTAAGATTAATATTTATAACAATTTTCTTTACAATCATTTAATTAATAGTTATTTATGGTGGGCAAATATTTTGAACTCTGTTTTTTAAAAATATTATAACGTATAATATATTGAACCATTTGTCGGGCTAAACAATGTAATTATATAATATGTTCATGCAAGTGCCCCATGTTTGATAATAATAATTTGTGTGTCCTCAAAATCGGTTGAAATCAATTTTATAACTCTTACAGGACATTACACTGCCTTCTTTGAAAACATCTCCGTTTAAGCCGTCCAGTGTGTACAGAATAATCAAAGCATTCCTAATAGGTAGCTTACAACGACTTATTGTTACCGTGTGCCCTTGACTCGGGTCGCACAATGTCCAGTGAAGAATCCAAATCTTTTTGTGCTGTCAACGAACTTACAACAATTTTTCTACACATGACATCCAACACTCACACGGTCATATTATTATTATAGGCGTTCCTCGGACTTGTGTATCTATTGACTCTTTTTCGGATCAGTTCTTCTGCAACATTTCTACTTTACAAAACATGGGCAGAACTACAGGGTGTGCCCAGTATTTAAAATAAAAAAAAACGATTGCAAAGAGCATATTATCTAAAATAAGTTAATGTCCGTGTAAAATAAAAACTATAATAACAGGTGTAAATTCTCTTCCATTCCTGAATTGACTTTGGCTACTCGACGTTAATATGCTTATCTACAACTATTTATCTGTGTGTTTTAGCAAAATAAAACCATGATTACAAATTGAAAATAATCTTTAGGGAGAAGGGGGGGGGGGCGCTAGAGCCCTCTAGTATTCAATTTAACTTTAAGATCTTGGATTTTCTGAAATTTTGGATACACTTTGTACCCATAAAAATGCATCTATTAACTCAACGGTAGGATATACGCCCCTATTACTATAGTAGCAAATTATAGTTATACCGATGATTGCTTCCTCGAGGGTTTAAAAAAATTCGAATTAAAAAGGTCTTAATGATATTTAAACGCGAAAAGATTAGTTTTTTTTAGTTTAGTGAATTTTCTTACTACGATTTTTGATAATACCCCGAAATCGCTTTAAAATATTGATCTGTTTAATGTTCTAAATTCCGAATTATCTTCTGCTTATAGATTAGATTAATACTATCATTATAATAATAATACCTTTGTTATACCTTTTGGTTATCAGTTGCTTAAGACAAATATTCTAGATAAGCTACATTCATTTACTGATTTAAAATCAATTACAAATGTCTATCTATCAATAAACTATGTTCACATGTATGAAAAAATAAGAACACAGACAAAATATAATTGGGGGCTGACATATAAGGTTAATTATTAGTGATCAAATATTCGTAAATAAATATCCATATAAGGTTAAGTAAAGCGATTTTGATTTGGATAAGATGGGTTCAAGTTAAAAAAATATATATTATGTGACAAATCATAAGCAAAATTTCGTTTCAATTAAATTTTATAAATCAGACTATGCGTCAAGGATTTATAATTATGATATACACGGTAAGATGTTATTCGTTAATCGTCGACTATTCAATAGCTAAGCTCTTTGCCCGTTGGTACTTACTTTATCAAAATTCACATTTGGATGTCATACGCTTAATAAGTATTGTACACCGTGATTATAAAACTAAAATATTAACATATTTTTATCCATACGGCGTGAGATTAATGAAAAAAAAAACAATTTATTTGGCTCCACGACATGTTGTACTGTGTACAACTGATTTATTTTATTTTTCTATTCATATTTTACGGCTAATTTTCTTTGTTGCCTCAAAAATAAAAAGTCTTGACTGATACATTAAGTATATCAATTAGAGAAATGACCTATATGCATTCATTGCGGCTTCCTAAATGTTGCAAAATACCTACTACATACATTAAACAAGTTAACTAACTAAATGTAAAGTACCTAAATATCTTAATGTGCTTGCTTTAATTATCGGTCAATTATATGGGAAGGTGAGACTTATCCTGTCCACAAGTCGAGCTAGTTGAGAGCGCTGTTTTACTGCAATATTCGACCCCCCTCCCCCAAGTATAACACTCATGATACGCCTAATGACTGTAAACTACCAAAGTGCTCATTGATCACCTAAATTGTGTATAATTGTTATTTGTTGTTAGAATCGTTGTCGAAAAAGACACACGCACATCATTACAATATCTGTCAACCCACCTGTTTGACTCATCCGCTCGTTTCCTGTCGAAACTACATAATATTGTGTTTTTTTTTTATATTGTAAAGGTACATAATATAACATTGCTCATTTCACATTCACCGCGGTAAAAATAATTAGTTGGTGACATTGACAAAAGGAATATTTAATAATGCTACACAAACATTACTTTTATTTATTATAACGATGGTACACTGTGCCACACAGAGACGTCAATAAACACTGTAATGATTAACGAACTACAATTAGTCGTATTATCACAGTTTATTGGACACGAGTTGTAAAACAATGCAGGAAATGAAACGGAGAACTCACTGGGAAGCTATAATGTGTCATTCATATAAGCATTTTAGCATGCAAATATTTGCAAAAAGCTATACCATCATTTACCTAGCCCGTGTTTTTGACACTTGACACAGTTAAATGAGTACATCGATAATGTTTTTATTTTTCAAATGACATAATACCGGTGGAAAGATTGCAAATAGGCGGTAAATAAAATTTGAATAAAAACCAAAATAACCACAGATCAACATATTGGAGATTCTGAGCAACAGAAAAGTATACGTGATTAATAATAATTGTTTGTTTAATAATAAAAAAGATAAAAGGTATAAATGAAGTTAAGTTCCTAGTCACTTTTTAATTTTTTATTTTTATATATACATGTATTTTTCACGCTGAAACGATGGTTGGTCAGATTTGACTTACTTTTGAAGTTATAATCAAAAACTTAATTTACTTAATTTTTTTAGTTGTGCTTCGTGATAATGCACTTTTTTTAATAAAAAAAGTTCATGTACTATTTCCGTCATACCTATATTTAAGCTGATAAACTTTCACGGACAAATTGGGTAGCTCCAACAAACATGTTGTCACAGTACAATCTTACACTAGAGTGGTTTAAAAATATTAAACCATACTTTTCACACAGCTATAATCAAGTTAAAAATTATAATTATAGACTATCTAGCTTTTCCATTTTTTGTTGTTTTATTTTGCCTACATCACTTTTTAGGAGGACAAGGAGGGCCGAGTGGGTAAGGCGACAGTGTGTTAGCGCTCACTGTCGCTGGTTCGAAACTTGGTTACAGGTTACGGGCGCTGTTTTTGAAGCTTTTTTAGAAACTGTAATAGTTTTTCACGGTACGTTTCCAAGGTTGAGTATAATTTTTTTTTTTAGAAATTTTCCGAAAACCGTGCGGTGACCGTGGTCGGTCAATCAAGAATTTCCCGTGACCCCATCGACCGATTATACCGTAATAAGCGCTTTAACCGTTAGGATGGCAAAATCAAAAATGGCATATTATTATTGATACTTATAATTGGGCACGCCTACTCGGGTCGTTCATACTGTGGTGGCTGATAGGACAATGACGTCGGTAAGTCGGTTTATCCTTGTGGCTCGTTGTTATTACTATTACCATTTTTATTACTATTATGTATTGCCATTGGAATAGGCTGCTGTAATCGGTCGTGTGGGTGACGACGAGGAGGTCGGATGAATCGAAAAGGACGTGTGCAGTGTGGACGAGGCGGCGGGTATGCGCGAAACCGGATTCGCTTGAGCAAAATGTTGCAGACGATAATAATAAAAAAAATATAATCTATATAATATGTATAATATAACGTATACGTATATAATGAAAATAAAATTGTGGAGCACACGAACGGTCCACCGATGGAATGGCTCAGACAACGGCCGCCAGGGAGCGTTCACACGCGACAGACGTACCCGGAGCAACAGCGAATTCCGCGCCATTAGGTTAGACTACCGGCGTCTGCGCCAGCCGAAACGTCTGAGTGCTCCATAACAGATTTTTCAAAAAAAATATATGTGTAAACATTTATTCGGTCGGTCTTCAAATCGTGAAAGTAATAAATAAAAAAAACACTTAAATAATCCGGAATATCAACTATAAGTTTGTGGATTTCACCCGCTGTTCGTATAATATACCTATCAATTTTACAAATATAATTTTGATACATTCAAAATGCTCGTAAAAATCATCACTACTCTCTCGATTATCGGTAAGTGTTTTTGTATACATAACTACAGTTAATTACTCCCCTCCCCTTTTTCTTTCTATACCAAATCTCAAACGAATAACTATTACAGATTCTAAAGGTTAGGTTTTAACGTACGTACTGTTCTATCAATAATAAGAATAATATAATAGGTAAGTACTCTAAATCGATAATGAAACTTATCTTTTAACACAGTCGAGTTCGACGTTTAGGTTTTTTTTCAAACGATTTGTCATTAACGTCTATAGCACACAATTGCCTTTACTAAAAAAAAAATGTTAATTTCTTTCTACTCGAGGCGATTTTCCTTTTAACTTGTTCTTTTGAATAATTTAAGTCGCTTTGTTCTTATTTTTCACAAAAAATGATACAAATTCCTACACTTTTTAACAAAAAACGAAATACACGTCTCGTTCGGAAACGAGTCGAGTGCTTTACTAGGATTTCTATTAAAAAGGCGTCACACAAATATATTCTTTTTTTTTTAATTATAAAATAAAATATTTACCAAAAAAAACAAATTCTCGGTGTTGTGTAGGTTCGAATTAAAAATCTACGTTTTATCACGATGTACATTTTAATAATTGTATGCTTTTTGGTAAAACTCGGATTAAAAATAAAATTGATTGTGCAATACCCGCGATAATAATTTATTTCTGATTCGAAACAATAAAAATAATTGTAATGTTCGGACCGACCGCATCACAGTGTGTCACTCGAAACAAGTTTGCTTATATTTATTTGATTTTTATTTAAATCGGTTAAATCTTAATCTCTTTTTCATTTTAAGCCCTTTATAGTTCATAACCTTAACCCAATAATCGGCAACGGTTCTATATGATATCCGTAAGAATAACATCGTCGACTGTCGTGGTCGGTATTATATTTATGTCTCGTCTGACCGCGGTGTAAACTAATCGTTTGTGCAACAAAAAATAAACCGACTGTCAAAAAAAAAAAAAAAGTAGTAAATAAATAACCGACTCCGTCAAACTCACCTTGTCCTCGCACGTGTTTCTCGGTATAAATGTGTGTGTGTGTGTTTTTACTTGTTTGGCAAAACTGTAGTTTTGTTTTACTAGCCAACATCTTAGTACTGGATCAAGAGTGGGGGAGAGGATAAAATTGGCGGTTTGCGACCTGGTCAGTTGGGACGGTCACATGATTTCCGCTTGTAAATAACAATATTAGTTTGAATAAAAAAAATGTATTCCGTTTGCCCATTGCAGATAATATTATCGACAGTAGTCTGGCCGGTTGCACCCGTTGTAGCCGTTTGATTTGGCGCGAACGCGACAACAATGGTAACGCTTAGAGTATTACAAAAAAAAAAAAACTACTATATTATAAATATTTTTTTGTTCTACCGCACCGGTGCCATTTAACACTGTTGACCTGGATAAGACAAGTAGATAAAGCAATAGTGAATGCGGTACTATTTTCGCAGTCTTGGGTGTACGTACGTACGAATTACAAAATAGCAATCGACAGGATTAATAGTTGTATTTTTGAAAAAAAACCAGTAATTTAAAAAAGTTGTTTCTTTATTTCAATTTTTACTAGGAACCGGAAGTTTGTGAATTTGCATGGTTTTACTAGCTCTAAATTTGAGTTTCAGAGGTTAGGTTAGGTTAGTTCAACAATTTCGATATTTACAGCATACTTCGATTTTTTTAGCTATCCCATTATTATGATTTATTATTGCTTATTTATATTATTTTAAACTAATATTGTTAGAGAACAAAGAAATAAAATTGCTGTTTTATGAGGTGTTTTATTTGTGGTTTGAAAACAATGTTAATGTTGTGTAATTGAATAAATATTTTTTTATTAAATAACTTGAAACTTAGTGAATATGATTTTAGGTGAGAGTAGGTACGTCTCTTATTTAATTATTCCTCTAAATTCGAGTGTGCGCATATTAATCGACAAGAATAAAAAAGTGACTATCATTTTTTAAAATTTATTTTGTGCCATAACTGCCCTAGTTGAATATTCTAAAAAAAAAATCTTACTGATAAGGGCGGTTGTGCTGCTGGTAAAATTTCCTAGAAGGAATTTCCGATTTTAAATTGAAGCGACCTATTTTTCTTAACATTATGTTGTAAATAATAACGGCCTGTGTAGATTTATGCCCAAGACCCGCGATCGGCCAAGAGGAAAGGAGAGAGGGTTAATAGGATTTGTATGCGCCGCCAAAGGTAGGACCATACATTTGTATAATAATAGCCTTCCGACACCATAGGAACAACCTGCAGCAGAAAGCCATAACACTATCATCTTGTACCTAATTAAAATATAAAATCGGTTTGACTTGCACCGGAGCGTTGCGAGACGTGTCCACCTCCTCCGGGCCGCCTGTTAAGTTTCCGGCAGGTGAAGTTTTTCAATCCATTGTCTTGGGTCATTTATTTATTATTTTATTACACGCTATAAAGATCTCCGTCCGTTATGGAACACGGTATCGTTTAGCATGTCTCCCAACATTAACACGGGTTCATAAGTAATTATTATAATAATATTATTACTATCGCGTTGAGTGGAGATCGCTATTAATAAACCTGTGGTTTTTATTTTTAACGGCGTTCGTGGGTATTCGTATGTTAAATAGGTACTTCGCACATTTTCGGAAACGTGTTCTTTATCCTTCATCGCGGACGTATTCTATATACGCATTATATTATATAAATGTATAAATACAACATGCGAAAGCAAACGATAGAAAAAAAAAAAAAAAACACGGACAATGTAATTTTATCGTTGAGCCGAATTCGCGAGGAAGTCCGAATCCGCCGGCGGACCTAAATCATGGTAAAAATAATGTTAACATTATCGTGTAAACTTTTCGGAAGGTCGAATTAGCAATAAAACTTTTATTGACCGTGTCCGCTGTCGGACATAATCTTATTATATAAATGTGTGTTAACAGCAGAAAAAAAATTACCAATACAATTTCGCTCCGCCGTTTGCTCGCCAATACTCGTGCAACCTTTGTAGAGCGCTTGGAACGCCTACGCCACACCGAGGGTAAAAATAACAACAATGTTTGCATAGATGTGTGTGTAAATTACAATACTGAATACAGGTGTTGAACAACGTACTTAAGATACGTTGCATGGGCCGTTAGAAATCCGTTAAAAAATAAATTCCAACACGTATACAAACGAAGAGCATAGACTATTCTGTTTTGTATGGTGTGGTCGTAAATGGTTAACTTTTGACGACGTGTTAAATAAATATTATACGACGTACATCGTAGTTTTTTTTTAAGTTGTAAATATTTTTTTTTTATTCTTGGTAAATGATTTAAATCGGAAAAATTGGGTTTTTAAACATTTGTGGCGACTTATATTGATTAGACAAGTGTATTACGTATAAACTACCTATATACATTTTTTTATCATATTTTATAATTGCCCACTTTCTTTAGAATGATTTAGTTGCACGTTTGCTGGATCTATTTCATTTGTGTGATTTCAAATGATTCTTGGCGAAAAACGCTTGAACGTGATTGTCATTTTGCTTATTTCATGAGTAGTTAAATCTTCAATGAAACCTAATAATTAACGAGAAGCTTAGTCAAATTTGTTTACGAGGCAATCTAGATATTATAGTGATAATTATTTGTTTTCATTAACTTTGGACGGTTCGCAATCAATCATAAGTCAAACCGTCGTTTCAAAGAAACGTAAACATAATAACCAGAAAATAAAAGTAATTAAAAATCCATACAGTTTTCACGCGTGTTTGTTTAGGTACTTCAAAAGAGTTGAAAAATAGTTCTTTTGTTCAGTGTTAATAGATACAAACAATACAAAATATGTATTTATTGTTGAACAGCGAATAGTTTTTAAAACTTTTGTGTACCCTTACAAGTATCCAAAAACAAATGGCTGCCAAAAGTACTAAGATGCTTTGCGGAATTTACACAACAATTTTTATTTATAATTATTAATTACGTTACAATTTATAATTACATTATTTAAATAAAATAAAATTGTATTTATTTTTAATATTTTACGCGTATGTCATTAATACAGAAAAACTCTCTTCAAACAGTATAATGGAAATAATGAACAAGTAGCGTTCCACAAAATATTACTTTCTATGCCCAGTCGACGTTGTCAATGAAAGAAACGTAGTCTTCGTATCAGTTACATCACTCTGCGCGTATTCATAATGGCAAGTTTCCATCGAATGTTGCCAATATGTCTTTTTATCCTAAAAACTCAATTATATATTTTCGAGTTTCATTATTTTCGTTCCTATTCTCTGGGTAAATTCAACTTTTTAAGATATTTTTAAATAATGTTTTTTTGCAAGTCCCAATAAAAACGTCTTGTCTGTCCACTTAGGTACGCAATATTATATTTATGTTTCATTGGATCTATATTATGATATCAAATAACAAATTACACGCATGGAAAAAAATGTTAAATATATATAATGAAACGTTATATTATGTAACGAACATTTTACGTTACTCTTAATTTAGTCAAATGGCATAGGCATACACAAACGTCTATTTAATCAGTAATCGTGATATGTAATATCCAAAATATTAATATCGAAAATTGAAATGATTGATCAACTTACACTTTGGTGCCTAGCATGAGTATTTTAGATTACTCGTATATGTATTTATGTTAAATGGTTTTGACAGAAAACGCATATTATTCCTGACACTGAAAACATTTGTAAAATGTGCAAAGTTTCAACTGAATATTTTGATTTATTTTTAATTAAAAGAAATTAACTCTTAAGTACCAATGTACATTATGTTTTTGAGAATTTGGGTTTGTACTCAAAGTTGAATGGAAAACCGACAGCGTTTTCATAATGTTTAATGTTGATTGTAAAATAGCGCGTATTTGTGTTGACACAATGTAATACAAGTCGCCTTGACGTGCTGTACTGTGCCTCGTTACCTTAATGATGTACCTTCTTAGTGAAACCCATGTATAAGTTCAAGTAACTATGGTATTATTGACTTATGAAAAGAATACGGAAGTGGTAAACAATTCTGTTGAACGATTATTACAAAAGAAAGTAAACTTGCATCCATGCAATATACACCAAACGCATATTATCAAATTGAAAACTGCGTATAAATCCATCACCTCAACTTTTCAAAAAAAAAAAAAGTAAATTGCTAATGTTCACGTGTCATGAAAAATGTTTTTCTTAATTCTGGCTTAATCATAATATGCCTTAAAACATCAAAATACAATGAATTCCACGTACAAACCAAACCGCAAGTAGTGCGACTTGGATTATTAAACTCTTTTAAAGAGTGACATCAATGCCAAAAATATTGTCAACGGGAATTAGTAAGCGACGAATAAAATAGCAATTAAGTCCATCAACAAATTCGTTCTAGATTTACAGATATTGCCTTAAAAACTAGTAATACTCATGTTAATTCTTTAGTGACTTCATTATGAACTGTTCAGCGTGTCTGTTTGTACATTATGTTTTGCTGTAAACCGTGGGTTGTTAAAAAAAAAGGCTCTTCTCAAGAAAGCTTACTTTCTACCGCCGAGTCAATTACTTATTTGTGAAATGCAAAAATGTTGCTACGTTTTTTGCTCAACCGTAAAAAACTATATAGGTATCGGCGAAGTCAATGCGTAACTTATCTAAAAAAACGCACGAGAGTTTAATTTAATGATTGTAAAAATGAAGAGTGTTATGAGTGTAGCTTTGGAACTAATTTGTAATTACACTCGACCAGTGTGACTGCATCCATATGAATAATCCGGCAACTCTCTGCACTTCATCATCGCTGAACAAAGTCGTTTTTAATTACTCTACTATACCGAAGAAATAAGTCAAGAGAAGCTCGCGAATACTTCTAATTGATTCCCAAATCGTACTACGTCGGGTATATCTTGGATATGCGGATCCGCTGTGTTAGATCAAGAATATCAGGATTGTGAGTCAATCCCTCTGAGAAGAGCTATATGTTAACGTCTTGACCTTGTGGTCGATCTGATGTCAAAAACAGGTACTGCGAAGGTCTATTGGAAGAGTGTCATAGATGTCCTTTTTCGATTTGTTTTTACTTTTTGTTATTTTGCGTTTTGGCTAACCGTTCAAGCTACCTGCCATCTTGGTGTATATCCAGGATAATACTATTCTGTTTAACACCTATATAATCCCTTGTGACTGCAGCCGATACTCTATGGTTGCTTTTTATTTCTACAGATACCTATCGAGTTAGGCATATGGACATCTCGCATGGGGATGGTCGGCATGATTATTTATTGAACAACATAACATTTTGAACATATTTTATGAAATCTAGGATTTATGTGCTATATGCATTTATCCATGTAATCAGGTACTCGTACATAACAAATTTACAACCATTCGAGCACCAATAACATAAACGTTTTACCCGTGTATATTATGAGTGTATACGTTTTATAGTATAATAAAATACTTGTCTTATAAAATCTATGTAAAACACAGCAATGCCAATTTATTATCTTGGTGGTACTAAATGGCCATTAATAAAATACATAGCTCCTCGAACGTTTAAATGGACGAGTTAAGTGTGAAGTCTTGAATTTACAACGTTGTTTTATCTTTATAGGGGGAATCCACCCATGTTCACCGAGACTGATGTGACACGTACTGAATTAAATATTATATCTGTATGAATTTAAACTTATTGTGTAAGAGTTGCGCTGACGTCGTTATACTTGATTGTATGTTAATTCACAAGGGCCGGGTAAAGTTATGGTAGTAGTCGTTGTTTTTATTTTTTACAATAATTACTAATCGTGATTGTTTTGTATCGTTAGCAAATCATTCCTGCACGCGAAGCGTTAAAAAAAAAACAATTTTCTCATAAAACAATTTTAACGGAGACGGAAAGACTTAGAGATATGAGCTTGCAAAAAAGCTTTTAGAATAAACCACGAGTAGTAAACGCTCCGTGATGCAATTTCACATAACTGGCGCTCTCTTAAAAGTAGTGTTGCAACTTGCATTAGAAACAAGTAACAACTATCTTAGACCCGGGTGCGCTAAAATTTCCATACTTCGTGTTACAGCTCAGATTACCAGTTTTGTGTTTTAAATTCGCGCGCTCGGGGAGTCACGGCCAGGATGACTGAAAATCTTGTTTTTCTACATGACATTCGGCGTACCGTACTATTTCCACTTAAAAAATATGTACAAACTACAGCCTAGTATAATAATTTTACATACGATTTGAGAAACAAATAAATGCTGAATCGACTATCGAAAACAGGGATTTTAAATTTTTCTATGAAATTTAATTTAATGGTCTTGTTCTGTGTTCTCAATATTTAAATATATAGTCATAACTTTATGAAATCAAAATTCATTAATTGATTCCTAAGAGCTATTTGGTTTTTTCCTAATAACTAAAACGCTCCCGGCCGTCAGCAGTATTATTGTTTAAATGTGTAGCGTTTGCTAATTTTAAAATATACTATAATATTACAATTTTGTCATTTAATCATACTGCTAATGCCTAAGAAATATAATATAATATGTTATATGTGTATTTCTTAAAAAATAAAAAAAATACCACATAGACTTAAAATAGCTTTTTTTTTTACATTATGCAATAATATTTTATGGCAAAACATGTTTGTGCATTTTCGAGTACCGTGATTGTAAGAAGATTAAATACTAAGCATCGAATTTCTACACTTATGAATTGTTATCCACTGGCTCATAGCAATTTTCATCATGGAATAATTTTATATATCTCAAACGCACTTACCCTACGATGGTTCTGTGGCTGTATCGTACGCGTTATTTAGAATGTGTAGCGATAAAATTATTTTTTTATTGAAATTAATTAGTAACTGCATATTGTTGTTTATTTATATGTATATTGCAATTGATAATATGTAATTATGGAAGGGCATGTGAAATGATAAGACATAATATATCTACAGGTATTCGATGCAACTTCCGCGTGCAGACGTTTAATGAGATAGCCGATAGCGACTTACGATACATAACTAGGAGTTTTTAACTAGCCCATAGCAATTGAAGAGTATTAGCTACGGCAAAGATTACAATCAAATAATAAATAGTTATTAGTGTACTAGCTGAACAAAAGAAGAGCTGTAAACGTCTAAAAATAATAAGTGGAATAAAACCCTTCGCGATCATAACTCCTCGGTATGATATTATTACGTTGCTATTTTATTAACCGTTACTAATTGCTGTAAAAAAAATTAACCATATTTATTACTTTTTCAAATAACTTTTGGTTTATAACCTTCAGTCTGTAAAAAAAAAAAAACACTTGACGTTTAACTGCGTATCGAGTATTGTTTTAATTTGTTCATAAGACACAATATGAGTTAATTAATCGTGCCTTTGACGTTGGTCATTGTTGTCTGTTGTAATATTTAAAATTGTTAAATTATGCACAAAGAGCGGTGGGGACAAAGTCTCCCCTACTGCAAGTTTTGCGAATAAAAAACAGCTGGGACTGCAGCTCATTCTAGTTTGAAGACTAGATGTTATGTCTATGGAATAGTGAATGAAAAGAGTGTATGCGACTGATGACGCGCTTTTAACAATTGTGGCACGCTTGTGACAATTATTAGGAAATCAGTGTAAAATACATCAAATTAACTTAGCTGCAATTTGTATTCGATATAATAAAGTATTTTAGTAATTAAACACTTTATAATACTTTTTTTTTTTTTTACTTTCGGTATCATACTATTTTTATTAATTCGTAAAATACGGTATATTACGTTCTGTATCATAATATTATCATTCAGTCTAATAGTAATGTGGATAGATAGACTGACATCAGTGACATCTATGCTACTCAGTTACAGTCTGTGCAGTTGATTCCGGATAAAAACGAACGTAATGTGCGTAATAGGTTTTTGTATTGTTATATTATTTTGAATTACATGCGTACCACAAATACTGATTAGTTGTACACGTGCTTGTCAATTAGTGTAGTGTACGTCCGGAGTATGATAATATAATATAGTTTCTATACGAACCGTTTAAGGTAACTTCTTTTTGTATGAAATTGTCGACTGCGAATTCTAATAGTTTTTTTTAGAAAACACACGGCCCGTTGGGTCGTCCAAGCTCTACGGTTGCGTCACTGACGGACTCTTCCTATCCTTGGCAAAGACCTACATAGTATAGTACACTGTGTGGCAATCGCCGTGACGTGTAATATAGCCTATCACAGCTGTATTGAATCAATTGTTTTCCCGTATGATAAGATATTCCCATGGGTTTTACAGGCATTCTTCGGATTTCGATTTGTGTTTATGTATATATAAAATATAATATTATTATAAGTTGTATTGTAACGTCGAAAACACAATGCCATAATATATACTACACATAATGTAAAATGATTATAATATTTATACAAGAGAAGGCATCGCGTGGACACTTACCGCGGATGGCGAAAAGTTTCTGCGGAGTTCCGCTGAAGACAATAAATTATAGCAAGTCATCGGTGTCGTCGAAGAGCCGGCGGCACAATAATTACTATCACTATTATTATTATTATTTATATTACTACCATAGATCGTATAAAAATCTGTATTTATTCATTAATCACAATCGCCTTGTACCGAGATAATATTGCAAAACACTATTGCCCTTGGTGGGCCCAATTGTGTCCCACTAACGCACAGTTGTGTGTATGTACCTACATGACTTGACATGTTTTTTTAAAATCATTTTTTTCCTTTTCAATCAACCCCTCCCCCCCAATTTGTTACACTAATAATTGATTTTAATAGAACTCCGTTTCGTATTAAAATATTAAAATTATCGTTACACTCGTGAATCGATCACCGAACAGATATTTTATTGGTAAATTGGAAATTTGTATTTTTTATGGCAAATGGGCTTTCACTTGCTATTTAATCGTTTTTTTTTTTTCATGGATATGTCTTATGGCTGGGGCCGGTCCGCAAAATCCGACCGTTACGAAAATGTATCACGCTCATTAATATTAGAGATAAATGATTAGTAATGGATGTACCAAAAGTTCCAGGGTAAAGGGTCCTATATTTATATGTTAAGGCATACCGTGTTCCTATGTACATTTCTTTAACTCAAGTTAGTACAAAAATATAAAAATATATTTTTTAATTCACGTTGATCAAATAAATGTGGTAAAAAATTCGGAGACAAGAACATAATTAACGAACATTTCATTGCATTTATTGGTGAATCATGACCGATATATATAATTTATGTAAATAAATTAATGGTTATAGTATAATAACGGTATTTAATGTTGATCTTGACCAATCTGCGCGCATTCAATTATTGGTCTCTAGTTATTTTAAGTGCCCATTAGTTCAATTTGTTAATTGCTACAATGATGCTGAGGTAATTAGACAACTCCGTGTGCTAAGTCTTAGCACGTCGAACACCAAATAATAAATTACCGATGTATTAATATTGCAAACGGAAAACCCGTCTTTAAATAAATGAGACGTTCCAAAGACTTTTAATTATTAATATTAGAGTTTGAAACATCACATTTTGGTTTTTTAGTTTTGTGATTATGCGAACACATACAATAATATTGGGTGGGAAAAAGGTACTACGAATATGCTAAATAATATTTCTAAGAACGTTTTCAGTTGGTTAATAAAATATGTCAATGCTATTTTGTTTAATAGTTAATATTTGATAATGACTCTTATTTGTTGAAAATGATAAATAGTCATGAACTAATAATAATACATGCAATGTAAACCACTTTTAGTTGTATTTGAGGCTACGCAAAATTCAAACGACTGATAAACAATAAAAAAAATCCAACGTTTGACTCAAATATTATAACATAGAGAAATAATTAAAAACTCATAGATATAATAGTTAATGTTGAACCGTCATTTCCATACAAAGCAATGATACTGTTATACAAAACTTTTCTATGATTGGACATTAGAAAAATGCGTTTTAAATAAATGGGCAGATGAAATGGGAGGCAGATTTCGTATTAAAATTACTAAATCAAGTGCGGTAAGCAATTTTTATACTTCTCAAGTGTGTAAACAGATAAAAAAATTGTAACGCTAAAGCACTAAAACATTTAAGGATTATAATTAATAATAATGCTTTAGGATTTGCTTAAAGATTTTTTTTTACAAAATGGACAGTTTTGGTGTCGTCGCGCAATTTATAGAAGACCACCTGTAAACATTATCATATAACTGTTTTTTATCCATAAAATTAATTGAACTGCTGTATAATCAAGTAAACTGAACAATTTTAAGCTATCAAAACTACAGTAACGCATTATTTCAAAATAATTTTTTTTCTTGAACTTCATTTTGTGTTGAATGTTTGAGAACGTATGTATTCGACTATAGTTAGTACTAGTACGTTATTGTTATACAAGATGTAATTTATGAATGAAAAAATTTATTTTTTTGCGTTTTCCAAAACGTTGACTCGACATTGTGTATTTAGCACGTTTCATAAAAATCGATTCATGTTTGTGTGGAACTTTAGAACGTGCTATACCTTGTCTGCAGTCGTGATTGTCATTAGTCATCACAATTAAATGTATACTTCAATTTAATAATATATCAGCACTTGTTATACTTAACTATACGTTTCTCAGCCTAATTCAAACCCGTAAGAGGAGGGCCAGCGAATCTGATTTTTTTTCAACTCCGTCGAGTGAAATAATGAAATAGTGTTTATAATGCTCGTTCTCAACATACCAGAGTGATTAATAATTATAGACATTATTTGCTTTCAGGCGCCGCATGTGGGTTAGCTAGCCATTCAGAAGATGACAAATCGTTCGGCTACGACTCCGGCGAACTCGGTAAGCACAAAAGTTTCGTTATTTATAATGTCACGATGACACAATATTAATATATAAATATATTGCTTTAATGAATGTTTATATTATATGTTTTTTTCACTTATCAAAATGTACAGTGCTTGATAGTGAAGCGCACGTGTACCGCACTGCCGACAAAAACCGTCGACCGAGTTTATAATAATTATAATAATAAAAATTTAAGTATACAAGCAAAACTGTGTCCGAGGTCAAGGTCGTCGGGTCTTTTTACGGAGAGGTCAGGCTGTTGGACTCGTAAAATGTTGTTTGATATTGGCGAAATCCGGATAGGCCTAATAATGACTGTCTATTAGGCTAGTGTAATATATAAAGGGATTTTAATGGGCATAAAATCTAGCTCGGTCGTTATTAATGAATGGCCCGATAAAATGTTCTTACAGTTTTAAACTGAATGTTAATAACGGCGTAATGTGCCATAATGGTACTTATGCTAATTAACTTTCCGTCCACATCCATGTTTTAATGATGCAAATACAATTATATCGATTAATGTAAATATCTTCGTACAGGCTACAGGCCACAGTCTTATAAAAAAACAATTACAATGAACAAACGTGTATAGAAGACTACGCACGATGTCTTTTAAGTTCGGCATATTTAATGATAGACTTGTAATATAATCTATTTTTTATTAAAAACAACCATTGGAATACATGTGTTGAAATCAATTTTGCTATTATGAAACTGACCCAAACGTTACGAAAACGGTAAAACCAAACCGGGGAACTGGTACTAGGAAGAAATAAGGGGATGTAAGAAGAGTGTTAATTGATTAGAGAGAATAAGCTGATAGGAGATAAGATAGTTTTAAAAAAATAAGATCTATAAATAAGAAATAAGAAGTAGTAGGGGGAAATTAGCCAATAAGAAAATATTTTTAGTGATAAGAATGTTGTTGGTAAGGGAGGATAAGAAGTGTGTTTGATACTTGATTAGAACTTGTCGCAAAACATAATATGTGATATGATATTTCATTTTTTATAATTTCCAAGCTTTTTAGATGTTTTTTTTCTTCAAAAAAAGTATATCAAAGTATGTAATATAGTAAAGTATAAAAAGTAGATCAGAATATTGTTAAATAATGGGATATTATTGATAAATTAAAAAACCCGAAAGCAATTATTCAATTATAAATATTTATTTCAAAACTTTTCCCCATTCTCAGGAAAAATTATAGCGTTTGACGGGTTTAATGTTGCCGTTTTAACGTGTTTTATGCATAATGAGTTACTGTATTTCAGAGTAATAAATCGCTTTGCGTAAGTAAGTAAGTTGTGTGTAAAAGTTTTTGAACTGGGTTTGCTTTCTTTTTTTCTTGGCAAAGTACACTGCGCAGTATGCATCAACGAAAAATAAATAAGATTGTCCTCTTACAATAACTTGAATGGGCGTGTTAAGCCGAGCTGATCTACATTATATTAAATGTGTGATCCGACAAACTCGTGCGCGAGTATACATTTGGTTTATTTGTACTTGATGTAGCCTGTAGGTACCCATTAAAAAAAATATAAAGGTATAATAATAATGAATTCACTATTTTGCTACTTACATGCAAACATTTCGTCGTTATTGGTACATTTAAAAAAATCGTGTACAATTTGAATGCCTTAAGTATGGGTTGAAGGACAAGAACGAAGGATAAAATACCATACGGCCATGTTGAATTTCCAATATAACGTCACCTATACTACTTAAGTACTAACTACTCTGTATAGACTACAATATGCTGTTGAATGATCGATCCAATCACTCCACAAATATTTTGACTTCTCAATGTATTTTATAATAACATTCAAATGTATTCTTAAGCCAAGTTTACTTCTGTCGAAGTAAACAACAGTTTTTAACCGGGCTTTTTATAAGACCGGAAATGGTCCTGTTTGGTCGATAGGTGGCAGAATTTTTAATTTGATACATTTAGGTTTCTGTCACACTAAGAGGGGTATGACAGCTTCACCTCCTAGACAAATGCAACAGTTAGAGAGGTCGATTTATAGCGTGGTTCCTTCATTGTTACCTTTATTAATAGTTATGATCGATTTGCTGATTGATTATTATATCAAGCCAAATAACGCGTTATTGTTGGAATAATTTACAAAAGTGAACGCAAGGTTTTTCCTATGTATAAATTATTTACTAGGCATTGGCAAAGAAAATATTTGAATATTATTTTATTTACTTCTGTTAGCCGTCGAGTATGTCACCACAATCGAAAACCAATTTTGTAATAAATAGTATTTAGTAAAATAAATAAGAATTATATTTGTTGTTATTATATGTTTTTTATTATACATTTACGGAAGTCGTTGAATTACAAAATTTAATAAATGTAACTTGTTATTATTTTTTATTTTACATGTTGTGTACAGAACTATTAAGCGAAATTCGGGTTTCTATGTTTTTTATTAAGAATATACATATTTTTAATTTACAATAGCCTACCATAAAGTGGGCCATAAATTTAGAGATGTTAATATTCAACATTAAATTGTTAAAACAATATATTATATATGTATAATAAATTGTTAATAAATTAGATACGTGCCAAATTCCTTTGTATATAATCGAGTTTAATTACTAATACGTTTCATGGTATTATATCTGATAGTCGCTTGTAGCCATGAGCTATAAAACAAAATTTAGGTAATAGCTATTAATTATTAGTACCTATCCAAAGAAGTGTAAACTATGTATACTTAAATTGTATTATACACATTATTATAATCGTACCCAATAAAAATTATAAATTGAAACAAATTGTTCTAAAACTGAATAAAAAAAATACTAATAATATATTATAATATTTAAATATATTTAAAATATAAAATTAACTAAATAATCTTGAAAAATGTATTTAAAACAATATTTGAATAAAGTAAATGTACTTATGTAAATATTTAAATAATTCTAATATTTTTACCTACTGGATTATTTTACAATTGTAGTAGTAACATAAATTGAATATATGGAAGTATAGATAATCCTCTTATTGATCAGAGGAGGTAATTGCATGGTGTAAGTAGGTACGCTGCAGTCATGCTGTTAACTGGACCTGTAATGATAGGAGTTTTGCTATAAGAATTAAATTATTAACACAACGAAATTCGATAATTGTTACTTAAAATTATACAATTGGCAATAGCAACGAATTGAATACCATTTTTGTTACCACTTATGGAATTTATTAACGTTTTCTCCACCATCGACTGTTTTGCATGTATGCGATGGAATTTAAAAGCTTGTTTAAGATTTCATAATGGTTTTATGGTATTACATAAATACGTAAAATATATTATTTTAATTAAATATGTCCGATGTTTTACAGTATATACAATATACATATTATGTATTTGGAACATGCAAATATCGAGAAAAATCATGTGTAATATTATAGTTTTCCCTTTTTATCTACAATATATAAAAGTGCAACGCTGTTTTGCGTATTTACACTGCGCGTGTGTTACGCTTGATAGGAATTAAAAATAATCATCACACTCGTGTGCCGGCTATTGAAATATTATTCGAATGTTCTTTTTTTGTTATAGATCCTCCCCATTGGGCAAACGAATATAAAACGTGTTCCGGCAAGTATCAGTCACCCATCGACATCGAAGAAAATCTTGTGACCAAAGTGACTTTGCCTCTGTTGCGTTTTCACAATATCGACACTCTTCCCGCGAGAACGACCATAACGAATAACGGACACACGGGTAAATAGTTTTCCTAACTATTATTATATTAATAAGCAGCGAGTTGTGAGATTTCAAATATCATATTAACGTACCAATGCGTACACACACATTACGCTTAAGTAGTGAAAGCCGCGAGTCTAGTTCCTCTGTTCGAAAAAATGCGACAATCTGAGTGACTACAAATATTATATATTTATTTACTCTATTCTAATTTGGAAAGTAAAAGAATGTTATTTTTATTTTTTAAATTGTCTTATAAGCATTTAAATTGTTTTCATTGTGAAAAAATTATTTTTTAAGATATTAATTTAAACAATTGGCTTTATAGTCCACAATAAAAAAAGTCGTAAGCTTTCTATAAAAAAACTACTTTGAAATTTGTGATAATCAAAACTTGCTTAGAAACAAAATAGTTTCATAGCTGTAAATTAAAAAATCTATATAGGTAATTATTTTCTATGTGTTGGCTCTTACAGAGTTATAGAATAAATTTTATGAAATTTATGAAAGCTGGATGAACTTATTTTAAATGTTTTACCGGGAAAAAGAACAAAGGTTATTCATTGCACAAATCACACATACTTAATGCCTAACCTAACCTATTCCGTTTGGATTTGCTGAAGACTAAAGTACACTTCTTGACAATAGAAACCCGCCATTATTGAGCTTCATTGGAGATATTAAATTTCTTTGAGGAGTTACTGCTTATTTTTGTGTCCCCTCGCATTATAAATTAAAACTAATTTAAGCATAAAATAATTGCTGTATAGCAATCTGTCTCATAGGCAAACTGAGACCCATATTAAATCATACAAGAAATACATAGCTACGCTACGCGACTTAATGTGTAACCGCCAATCTTTTATTAATAAATAAAATAGATATTATATTGTTAATACACTAAACATTTAGCCTTGTACAAAATAATTAATATAACCGTTATTATATAATCTATACTTGGTTAAAGAATCGCATATATTGCGAAGTAAAAAGTCAAGTGTCTCATTGTTAGAAATGACATAATTGTTTAACGTTAAAAACTACAACAGACCTGGTGAATTTTTATTTTAAAACATTTTAATTTAGTGCATAAAATAATTTATTATTATACATTTTTTTATTTTAATTAAAACTATTATTTCAATTTTATATAAATATAAAATTTATTTAAAATTTAACATTACTTAAGACTTAAAATATAACATATAAAGTTATAATAATTAATCATTTACTTAATTACATTTTTAGAGTGCACTAAAATAAAAATGTATTTGAAATTATTATATTTTTTTTTTCTTAAAAAATTGCCTTATTTTTATTGTTTTCAATACAATATTACAGTCAATGCACTCATTTTTTTAATGTTTACAATGTGGGATGATTGTAAACAGCGTTTTTTTCTGTAAAACAATAAGATGCGATTTTGCCTTGAACCAAAGTTAACTTTTCAACGACAATGACAATTATTTTAATAGAGTAATTTGACGTACTCAAATTGTCTGAAGTGGCAATCAAGAAGTAGAAAATTATTTTTCCTCGCGTAGATATTTGAACAAAAGTAGGGTGTTCATCGTTATTTTTACTTGAAATCAGTTTTTCGAAATCTGCTAAACCGTTATTAGATAGTATAAATCAAAACCAAATCAATTCGTTTACAATTTTGTATTATTATGTATTCACTGGATTTGTGTAAGTAATATTGTATGTTATGTGTATATGGTTGGTTTGAGTGACAGTTTCTGTCATAGATGTAGTTAGAAGGGAGGAAGAAGAGTTAAGAAATTTTAAATGCTTCAAAACGCTTTCATAGGCTCCTAAAAAATACCAACGACCAAACTGACTTAGCCCATACCCCAATGTCAGAGTTCGGCAAAATTTAATTATGTAAATATGAATAACAACTAAAATAAATCGATTAACGTTTCAATTAAAATAAAAGAAAATGTGTTATTTAAATACTATTAACCAAGAATAGGATTTTTAGAGGGGAGTAAACTGGTATAAAGCGACATTGTGTTTTAAGACCGAAAAAGAGTTAAGTAAGGTTAGGTTAGGTCAAGTTTTACATGTATGACTAAACATTGCTCAGAGATGGACGATAAAAACCTGTTACAGGTACTCCGAATACATTAGTATACTAGAACATACGGAAATTTTTTTATTAAATTCCTAAGAAATCTTAACTGGGTTTTTTTTAAATTTTTAACCTGGGTTATTGCCAACTCTGTGCAGTTTACAATTTACATAATAGTTGGGAAAAAGTTTGGAAAACAGCAGCATACATAGTTTACATAGGGTTATCCAATTTTTTTTTTTTCAATGGGATAACTATGTAAGCTAAACAAGTTTTTTCATAAAATCCTTATTATAAAACAAAATATTTAATTAAAATAATATTAATACGATTTTATAAAGGAATTGTTGTAAAAAGTTAGATAGCAACATGAATGTTTCATTAACCTAATAATAGCAAAATGATGAAATAAAGATAATTATTAGTCGACAACCAGTTAGGGAAAATAATTTTTGAGTTCTTAGCATTTAAAGTTTAGGCGAGGAAATGCGGCTGAGTGACGAGAAGTATTTAACCAAAACTGGTTATCGACCAGTCATTGATTTTATTTCATAATTTTGAGTTTCATAGGTCAATATAATACATAGGTTGCTGTTTGACTTTCAAAAGCATCCGTTACAAAATATACCCATTTAAAATAATATTTTCAACTTAAATATGACAACCTTTGATCATTGAATATTATAAGGTTTTTATTTGAAACTATTTTAGCTTAAAATTATTGTTTTATATACAAAATGTAGATAGACTATAACAATAAATTTGAATAACGCTTTTACTATACTATAAATCCATGTAAATGGGATTAGACAGTAATGTTGAATTACCAGGATCGTTGACGTTCTGTCTCACAGACATTAAAAAAAAAAAATTGTTTTACACCACCGCAATATCAGGTTTCTTGACCTTGGGTCATGTAAGTATAAAGTACGTTTTGTCCGCACATATGGGTCCGCCGACCATTCCTCCCGTCGTGTGCACAGAACAAAGCCGTTACTGTGTTTATACCTACTATGTTTACAGGACGTGTGTATTGTGTGAGTCAACCAACGGAAATGTACACACAATTTCGCGGACAATAATATAAAGAAGTATAATAGTATATTAAATTCGTCATCATTAGACTGGGTACTTTTAGGTATACTGACCGTCAAGATGATTCTTCAGTATATTTGACACCTTTCGTGACCGCTCGACGACGCTGAATGGCCAAAGATGCTTTCAGCTGAGCGTTCTTGGCTTTCAGACGTTCATATTGTTCCACATAATAGCCGAGTACCTTTTGGTTCTGGGCGAAGTACAGTTAAAAAATCAACCATTAAATTGTTTAAACGTGCAAATAAACCACTGCTGTCAGTTAAAAAATACCTTTGCCTCGAACATGGCTCGGGTCAGTTCGTTTTCTTTTTTCAGCTGGGCCAATTTCGATTTTTTGTCCGTCAGCGAATTGAAACTGTTATCGTACATTTCGCATAGGAGCTTCTTCAAAGAAACCACTGAAAATGCCGACACGAAAATATAAATTAGCCGTCGGTTCAGAATCATTTTAAATCGTTACGCCAAATTAAAAATTACCCATCTTATCATTACTCTTCAACGAGTTGGCTTCCTTTTGTTTTTCCGATACCAAAGCGGTAATACCCTAAACAAAAACTTTTGATAGATATATTAAAATTCAAAAAATTACGTAAAATCAACATAACAATGTTTAGTATTTGGGTGGAGCACCGACCAGGATTTTTATTTTCATTATTTTATTATAATAGTTTGTTTTCTAGGTATAAAAATACTTCCCGTATAGTTGTTGACAAAAAAAAATGTTAAAATCATCCCCATTCCATTACTTAATAAATAACTATAAACATTATGTAATAATATTACAAGGTACAATGAGTATACATGATAATTTTGATCATAATAAGGTGTTCGGGTTGAATAAGAAACCGCCCACCGACGGCACTTCACGGGTAAATACCATTTAGAAAAAATACCTGCAAAAATATTATACTTTATAAATCAAAAGAGAAAAAAACCGTGAGAATCTTAATGTTTAAAACATTTAAATTTGTTTTGACATACATTTTATAAAAAAATATCATTCTTAATGAGAAATCAATACAGAAATATCAAATACAGTTTTTTAAAAGTAAAATTTAAATTGTCCTTGTTAATCAAATGCAAGAAAAAATCGAGAGGAAGTATTTAGACTTAAGCTAGGGAATAATTTATTTTAGGTATTTCATATTGGAATAGGCTACTAACTACTACAATGGGGAGGGGAGGGAGTATTCTTATATTATATATATTAACTATTTAGTTACTGTGTTAATAAAATATTGTACTGTTGTAATAATGCAACTCACTTTTTTTACGTCTGTTATTGCATTTTGAACGTTTGAGGTTTCCTCTACGGTAGATGATGTATTATTTAAAAAAACAATAAAAAAAATTCAAACGAATAAATACATGTAGCAATATTGTATTATTTACCAGTTATGGTTAACATCATTTCTCTCAATTCGTTTGTGGAAGCCAGCAGGGTCTCTGAACTTTTCACATATTCGTTCAGTATTTTTTTTTGCTTTTCACATTCCAATATATTGGCATTCAATTCGATAGTTACTCTTTTATTTTCCACTATCTCTCGCATCTTTCCGTGAATGAACTGTAAATAACAGAAAAAATACGCAACAATGTAATCAAACAATATCTTTGCGCTGAAGCAAAATAATTAGTGTAAAAACATTAAACATTAATTTGTTTGCGAGTTACTTAATGATAAACTCAGATACGTACGTTTTTGTTTTTCTCGAAAATCCTATTCACTTGTTCGACGCTGTCCATCACTTCTTCCTCGTCCGAATAATTATCCATTTGAACGCAAAAAAATTGACTTGTAAAAGTTAAATATAAATATGTAAATTGTCCAATAGAAATATACAATCAATTGAAAATAAATATCTTTTTACAAAATAACAATATCGTCTTCGTATGACCTCTACGAAATAGAACACGAATAATGCATCGATGAATTGTGAAACGACATAGATGTAAATTTTATTCATAATCAATTTTCTTTGACATTTCAAAAAATATTTATTCTTCCCATAATTGCCAAATTTGTTTGGTAACATTATTATTATTATTAATGTGTCGTATTAAACGTATTGCAACTTGTTGTAACTTGTCAATATTAAATTGATTTTGTGTTTTACAGTGGTCCTACAACTTAATTACACTTCACCGGTAATGGTAAGCGGCGGCCCTCTAACGCCCAAGTACAAGTTTACTCAGATGCATTTCCATTGGGGGGTCAACGACTCTTTGGGCAGCGAAGATCTCATTAACAACCACAGGTGAGTTCAGAGTGTTTTTTTTTTTAATTCGCAATGGCTTAAAATATAATGTATGCCACCCTTTTTACCCGAATGCGGAATAAGAGGGGCACCAGTGTTCAGGTGTAGTAATAATCGGCGACCTTAACATTCGTATCTTCTGTTGAAAACCTACAAAATTAATAAAAATATTAATAATTTAGCGTGAAAGAAAAGTCTAATTAAAGTAAATAGTAAAGAATGCCCCAACTACTGTAACATTGATATGAATATTAATGAAAAGTAGGTGTTTCAAACTTTTTTTTTACAGTCTGATTATTTTTTGTTAACTTTATGTCCGGCAGGGTTAAATTTCTAATTTTTTTAATTGACACTTGTCACTTATTCGAGGGTTTTTTTTTAGGTTCAATTATTTGTTTTTTCTACGCAAAGCGAATAAAAAAGTTTTTTTTTAATTTTCTCATAATCTAACTATGCATCATTCATTATATATAAAACACAAAAAATTGTCTTCCTTTCATTTTAAATTTCATAGTCGACCAATCAAATAACGACGAAAATAGGTTATTATACGCTTAAACAATGTAAAGCAATTATTAATAGTCGCGTTGTCATTTTCTTTTAATCTTTAATCGTATCACTTACTTTTATGCGAAATATTCGAAAAACATTTGGCACGTTTATAAACACATTTGTTGTAATTAAAATGGTTTGTATTTTATAATTGTTTCGCATCGTAGCGTTGTTTCGAACGCGATCGTATCGCAGTTATAATAATTTCTGAAAAGCTTTGACCTCTCTGTGAGGGGTTTTTTAAAATCATATTTTTTTATCACGCATTTCAGTTACCCCATGGAACTGCATATGGTCTTCTCCAACATGGACTACGAAGACGATAAGGTGGCTTTGACCAAGAACGACGGTCTAGTGGTATTGGCGTCGTTCTTCGAGATCACCGAACACGACAACCCTGTATATGCCGAGATAGTCGAGGCGTTAGGTCGAATTCACTTGCCCGACGAGTCCACGGTGTTGCCATTCGGATTCACCATCAGGTCCATGTTACCAGACACCACCGAACTTTATTTTACTTACAAAGGTTCGCTGACGACGCCACCGTGCTTGGAAGTAGTCACGTGGATTGACTTCAAACGACCCATTTTGCTTTCACACAACCAGGTACAGTACGCTTACTAAAACCGCATGTTACTGTTATTGCCTTAAAGACTCATTCGACATGCCACAGGCGTCACTGGTCAGGTACCTTTTTCTTTAGGTTGACTATCGTTATAAAATTAAGCATTAAAAAATAACTCGTAGTGTTTGTTCAACGGTTGGAATTAGTCTTGTGCGGTTCATTATTGGTAGTAACTGGCGAGTCGAATCGAATCAGAATAATATACACTGAACACCGTCGTCCAGTTATCTGTTTTGCCAATAAAAATGAAATTATTAATGAAAAAAAAATGGTATTTTGTGCGTTTCTTTTTCTACTAGACAAAATATGTAGTGCACAGCCTAAAGATATTTTATCAAAATTACTAGCCTAAAAAATTAGCTGTCAATACGGACATAATACAACTATTATTGATCTAGGCGCGTTTGCCAACAATACAAATTACAATGTTCGTCTGCAGCTACAATTTTCTTTTGGTGATTTCACAAAAAACGTATGTCGGTGTTTCTATAATATTATCACTTTTGTATGCGTCTAAAATCTAAACCAAATTTTCAAGAATCTCATATGTACAATGACCGCCAGTTATGAATTTTACACACTTTCCATTATTGGCGTCTGTCGTCAAGCGAAAAGAGAATCGTTCGGCCAAGTTGTCATATTAAATGGCAGATTATCAATTGACTGTACCACGCGTTTAACGTCCGAAGCCGGGTTATAACAATACTTACGCTGCACCAGTTTATTTTGGTTAGCGCCTAATAAAAAAAAAAAAAAAAAACACTGTAAATCAATATTATAAAGAAATAATATTTATTTTATTAAAATAAATAATAATGTGCGAACTTAATAGCCGAAAATGTTGGCAACGTTTGAACGAACAAAGAAGTACGAGCAAATCATTTGATTAAATCATGATTTGTTTAACCGTTTTTACATACATACAACACTGGTTAGATCGTGGTCAGCAAATGATATCGTTTGTAATATTATTCTATTTGCCAATTAAACGCGCGGTAGATGCCAAATAATAATAATTTATGTATTTTTGTGTAAATTTGTTGTCAAGTGTTTGGTAATCATTATTATCCTACGCTTCACGACACGTAACTAGTATAATTTTTTTATTTTCGAGCACAACTTCTAAGAATGGGTACTATACGTATGAGTTTGACAATTGCATTTTTGTAAAAAAAAAAAAAATGAACAGCCGTCGCGTCGCACGTTATGCTATAATGATAGTTGTATATTTTATTTTATTTTGGTTTGTCTTTTCACTTGTGTCTGTTTAAATGATGGCATTGATGCAGTTCATTTTATGCTACTCGTTTCGATTAGCGGTGTCGCCGATTTTATCCACTCGCAAACTTCTGACATTTTATTACCAACAATAAATCATGTATACTAATAATTAATACCGCATATAATCGTCGCATCATTATTGTGAGTATCGCTATCACGATAAACCGTGTACGCAATGATGATAGTTTAAAGCCAATCTCGCTTCGTGTATATTATAAAATATAAGTTAAAGGATTAAAATACGTTTGATAAAATCGCGGCGCGATTAGAGATACTGGTAAAACACCATTAGAACTCTCATTTAGCATATTAATTATTACTGATATCTGCACAGTAAAACCGGAAAATAATCTAAATCGACCTCTACGACAATGATTTCTATCGCAGGGGAATTATTAATTTACAATGTGTTATCGTTAAATTGTAATTCAGGTTTTTAATAGGTACACGCAAAACGCATTTAAAAAATGTTTAATGCATTACGGACTAACTATACCTATCTAACAGCAATTAGCTTTCGTCGTGGTGGTCAAATCAAACGGATTGTATTCGTTTATAATACCAAGACCCAATCGACATATTTCATAATTAACACACTGAAAATTACTTAAAAAAAAAACAAATTGCCTTCAAGAAATGTCTTAAGTTAAATTTTTTAAAAATGGTAAATGGCGTGGCGGAGCGATTTTTGCTGATAATAAATTATTATCGAATATAATTACTAAGTATTAATATGTTCACTAAATCCTCGCGAGTTCTTCTTAAATAATCTTTATTTGTTGGAAATTATGTATGTTTGGCCAAATTTATCGCACGGAGGAAAAATCAATCTGCGCCACACTTCTTCTCTGTATTTGGAAATAAACAAATTGATACTCCTAGCGAAATACTAAATAGACAATAAAATGCTACTATTTTTAAGTTTTGAAACTATGCAATACACATTTTGTCTAAATAGAAATATAGTACAAAAAACAATATAGTTGAACAACAGTAATGAACGGTACAATTTATGAAACTATTTTAGTTTTATAGATTTTTTTTCATTCAGTTTTTAAGCAAATATTTTTAATTTAGACACATAACTAGGAATTGAGTTTTAAAATGAGTATTAACAAGACTTTTATTGCATAACATATGGCTAGAATAAGGGTTTTTGTGAAAATTTGTAGTTGCGTGGTCACTTGTCCTACCACTATTACACTAGTACTACAATATGTTTTTGTCAGTACTATGGTAATTTATTGAGTGTTACCTAAACTAGTTAACCTAACCTAACCGCTGTCCATTTGTCGTTTTTCGCAGATACAAGCATTCCGGATGCTACGGTCCAAACACGGACAACTGACGCACAACGCCAGGCCCGTCCAAGAGTTGTCCGGCAGGCCGATATGGTACAACGTGGGCGGATCCGCGATGCTCAACGGCCCGGCCATGATGGACAACGACGGCGCCCCCTCGTCGATGGCTTCCGGCGCACTTTTACCGCTGTCCGCCGCCGTCCTGGCGCTGCTCCGCTTCCGGCCGCTGTTCTGATGCCTCGCACGCACAGGCATAATAATATGACAATACTATATAATAACTATACTCTATAGTAACATAATAATAATAATAATAATAATAATAACATCAGTACCGCCGTTATTATTATTATTATTGTTATTGTTATGATTTGATAACAATATTGCATAGGCATCCTCCTGTAAACATGCTATGTCTTTGTACAGAGTGTATCACTGTGATCTGACAGAATTCTATTAGGAAATCTGTCCATGATCAACGTGATACATCCTGTACAATAGCCGACACATGACATGTTTAAGGGCAAAGTTAATATTGATTATTATAATTGTCATTGTAATACGTCGCGTTATTAACTTTTACATATTAATTAATATATTATTAAAAATAATAAAAACGTGATAGATCTCAACAATTAATTAGGATTTATTAAAAAAAAAGGAAAAAACACTTAAGCGACTTAAAAATAATGTACGTCTTGATATCACTTTTTTCAAATTTTTAATTACTTTTTTTTAATATTATATTATTATATATAAATCCTAAGTATACATTATTACGATAAGATTTTTGTTTTATAGACTTTTGTAAATATTTTAAATCATAGACCAAAATCATAATAACTCATAGTTTATACCGTAAAAAATAACTAACAATTAAACCAACTTCGCAATCACCTGTGTATTTCAATTACTTATGTATTTTAAACATTTTAACACAGTAACCACACTTTTTTTAATATATTTGAATGGGCTCGACAGCTATTTTTTTTTTTAGTCGCTTCCATGGAAGCCATTACTCATTTGATAGTTTTACTTAAAAACATGGCTTTGACCCGTCAGACACGCACTTTTTAATTGTATTCATTTTAAGTAGTAAAGCCAAATGAACAGTCTCCCTTTCGCGTTAATCATGATCGGATATCCCTTTTGTTATTTTATAATATTCTTTTTCCAAAGTAAGTGTCATTGTGTAAACTTGGAGGACGACAAATATAGGCATAAACTATAGCAAATACCATTTGACGGTAAAATTAATTGACGAAACAGCCGTGAACTATCATTATATTGTTATTATTATTCGTGCTCGTTTAAACGATTCTAAAATACTTCAATATAACTTTGTATCTTGTGTGTAATCATCAGGCTTACATAGTAATTTGTATTGTTGTTGATTTTTTTGGCTTAATTACATGGTCGCCCATTTAGGCATAACATTTAAAATGTATGTGTGCTGTTTTTTTCAATTCAATGTATATTTATTTTTATTTAGAATAACCAAGAAAAATTGTATACGTTGTGAGTTTTTAGTATTTTTTCTCATACGACTTTTTGCTAAAGTATTGTTTTTTAAATTTATTATATAAATAAAGTTACTAAAAATAAATGTAATGTTACACGTTTGTATTTGCTAAGGAAGTATAATATTATATAATTTATTTGTAAAAAAACTTAAGAAGAATACTTCCACGACTCTCTACTACTACTATTATTATTATTACTATTATTATTTATTGTATAATCTAATACTTTAATTACATAGATAATATAATACTGACATCACACAATATTATGTACAGATCATGACAAATTTCTTGTATGTTTTATTATTATTATTATTATTATATTAGTATAATATTATACATATAATTCGTACGATATGGAAAATTATGTTTTAACAGTATTATTATTAATTATTATAATAGTATTATATGTCAACGTTCTTTTGGATTTTCTAGGTTTTTTTTTATTTAAAATTTATACTTATATGATAGCATACTTACAATTATTCTTATTTTAATTATTAATTTATTTTTTATTTAGACTATAAATTCGAACCGTTTATTTTATTGTGTGTACTGTGTTTTAGTCATTACATTTTGATACCCTTAATAGTTTTTCGAAAAAAATGGAATGGTTACTACGTACATTGTGATTAGATTAATATTTATATTAAATGTTTATTTAATTTTTTAAATATTATTATTTACGTTGTTGTTTTTATAAATGATTGACGTTGTGTAGTATTCATATCGTATGTAATTGTCTCCACAGTGCCAAAATTGCTATAACATTCATACTTGTACTATTATATTTATATACTTTGTAATGTTAACAGTATAATATTATATTGTATTATTTTTAGAAAAACCCGCCAAAACGTTCTGTATACGCTGTTTCGCCTTTGTTTATTTATAATATAATAATAAAATTTTGTGTATAGATATATTTTTAAAATTTTACGTTTATTATTATTTTAATTCAAAAAACACCCATAATATCTCCTCTAGTAGAATAGGGTGACATTATTCATCTTATATACTTATCAACATTTTATGACTGGTCTCTCAAGATTTAATAAAAAATATCTGATTTTTATAAATAGTTTAAATAAAATCAATTCATAGGTCTGTATTTTGTTTTTGAATAAAAATTTCTGTTTAAAAAAATACATACCTACCTATAGGCTATAGTTTCAAACTTTTAAGTCATGAATGTATTATTAAATCATTAGTCAAAATAAGTACACTGTACAAGTAAAACATAATAATGCTATATTTTCTCTGACAAGCAGAAACCATTACCCATCTTTTTTGCTTTTTGATTGGGTTTTCTGTCCCTCTTGAAAATAAACTTTTATGTAATATGTTACATTACATTAAAAAAACGTACTTAAAATGCACAAAAAATGTTTTGTTTAGTGGGCATTTTTTACTCCCGTTTAGAGTTTGGTCGGGCACACCAGCAATAAATATATGTTATTTTATCTAGATCCGTGCTCTATACTAGCCTTATATTGCGTTCCTTTAAAGTCTTTCTTCTAAAGAAAGGATGAAAATGTTTCTTTATTTGGTATTTCTAGTTGTAGTTTTTGGACTTAAGATCTGAAAACTAGACTGCAAATTGGTCTAATATGAAGATCCTTAAAAGTAAATTTTAACAGGTAACAGAAATATCGTGTTCCAACTTCCTAGTATTTTTTGTGTTTCCTTAAGAACAAAAGTATGTACCTATATTATATATTTATTATAAATACGGATTACAAAGTATGTACAAATTGTTCACACTTATCTTAAACACATTTAGTTTTATTTGCAAATACCTATTTATTTTTTATCACCAACACCAACCAGCAGTGTTCAAGCTGCTGATTAGTGTACAACAATCAGTATTTAACTTTTGATAATAAACTTAATAGTAAATACAATTAATTATTATTATTTGCTATATTTTATTGTTTTTTTACTATCAAACAATGGTGTTCAAAAACGTCTAAGTATTTGAGCAATTCTAATTTAAGTATATTGTATAATAACTGAATATTGTTTAATATAGGTACATGAATCCAAAAATTAATACCTTTTTTACTAAACAAGTAACCTTTTTTCTGTACCCACAATTTTAATTATTATTTGATATCGAATATCTAACACTTATTTATAAAAATGTCAAAAGTTGTGGTTGTCGGTTCGTGTAGTACAGATTTATTTTTGTAAGTATCAGCTATTTAAATTTAATTAGTATTTTGCTGAATTATAATATTATATATTATGTTACTTATTGTTTACTTTTATAACTATAGTACGTTTTATTTAACTTGTATGGCATTTGGTAAAGACTTTTTAAATTTTTTTTAATAGCTACACGTCAAAGTTACCCAATCCGGGACAGACCATACATGGTAAACAATTTTCTATTGACTTTGGGGGTAAAGGGGCCAATCAGTGTGTTGCTGCTCAAAATTTGGGTGCCGATACTGTATTTATTGGCTGTGTATGATATTTTATCTATCGACAATATATTTGTTTGACAATTCATTTTAAGCGAGTATTCATTTGTATAGGTTGGAGAAGATCTTTTTGGAGAAGACATATTAAATAATTTTAAAAAATGTGGCGTGGACACTCGTTACATTGTGAAAAAACCAAATGTGGATACGGGAGTTGCTCAAATAAATGTCACTGACGACGGTATGAATAAATTTAAATTTAAATATACATATTTGTATATCGCATACCTTACATTTTTTTAACAAATATTTAGTAAAAACACATTTATTATTTATAATATGTATGTTTTATGTTTAATTCAATATTAAGGAGAAAACTACATCATCATCGTTGCTGGAGCTAATGGAACTTTACAAAAGGGCGACGTAGACAAAGCAGAAAGCGTGTTACTAAATGAAACCGGCGTTGTGTTGTTTCAGTTTGAGACACCGTTAGAAACTACCGAGTACTTGCTAAATAAAATTTCTACGATTAACAGTAAATGTTAGTGAATTCTTAACATTAAAATAATAATTTGGTGATCATTGATATTTTTTTTTATTGACTTGAATATTTTTTAATTAATACATAATATATATATATTATATACAGTTATTATCTGTACAAGCAATAAGTTTAAAACATTATATTTTACAGTTAATATGACCATTTTTTTTAGGTTGTAAAATTGTAAATGGAGCACCGGCTTATTCAAATTTACAAAAAGAAATTCTTCAATTGGCCGATATATTTTGTGTAAACGAATCGGAGGCAGAGATTTATACAAATGAAATAATTAAAATTGATAGCATTGAATCGGCCAACCAAGCTTTGTCTTTACTTTTAAAACAAGGATGTAACACCGTAATTATAACCTTAGGACCTTTAGGTGCAGTGTTTGCTTCAAAAGACGCACGCGAACCTCAATGGGTACGCTTGCCAAAAATTGAAAATCCCATTGATACAACTGTAAGTCGTACGTCGGTCATATTAATTATCGATTGACGATAGTCTTAAGCTGTTTTAATGGATTTAAAAACCATTTACAGGGTGCTGGAGATGCCTTTATCGGAGCATTAGCTTATTTTATTGTGCATAAGCCAAATCTTAATTTATATGAAAAAATTAAGAGATCTTGTGCTATCGCTACGGTTACTGTACAACATAAGGGTACACAAAAAAGTTTTCCGCTGAGAAATGACTTGCCAAATAAGCTTTTCGATTAAATATTTTTAATTGTATCAAGTATATAATATATTTATACTATTAGTTTAATTTTATTTTATTTTTAAATGCATGTTACTGTTTTATCTACATATATACTGATATTAAAATAGAAGTTTAAACCATATTCTGTTGTTAATTTGTTTATTATTGAAATTAATTAACTATGGTTTCCGACCACTTTGTGTTTACAGCTTGTATTTTATAAACATGAAAAATAGTTACTGTATACGTTTTCTTTTTAATTTAGTTATCTACATTCGTAAAATTGTTTTTTTAATTTAATTATTATTATTATTATTTAATTTTGATGTGTAAATCAATTGAATGAATAGTAGTATTTTGTGTCATTAATTAATAAATGCCACCTAAGTCCTAACCTGGGCAACTCGCTCTATAGAGTAAATAGTGAATAGTCCTTCATATTACTTTTTTAGTTTTTAGCAAAATTAAGTAATAAAGTTTAATAAAGTCTATAGAAGGCAGAAAGTGTGTTAAACACATTATATAAATTATTATAATGGAATGGAGTGGGACTACCGTGGCAGGGCGGAGGTCTAATCGACGAGGGATCAGGATGTCCTTTTACCAGTATTATTATACTGGGTACAGCGGTAGGGTAAATCGGCCAGGGAGTATTGTACATACCGCAAAACGTCTAACCTCCTTGACGCGCGCACGACCACGTTTTACAAACAGGCCGGGTGAATCAGCTCCGGACAATGTGGTCGGCGGTGCAATAGGCACTCCCCCACTCCACGTGCACCCCGCCACCGCCGACTTGTCATCACACCACCGCTCGCCTCGCACCGTCATTTTCATCTCACACGGCGGCATCAACGCTTTTGGTGGTGCCGTTCTCCGAGGCAAATTTTCCCAGTCCGGCAGTCGGTCGGTTAACGATTTTCGTCGTCGCACATTGAATTCGCCGTTTCTAGCAAGCCTACAACCATGTCGAGTGAGTATTAAACGTCAACGTCACGTTTAATGTTATTTATTTATTTAGCCGAGTAATCATTTTTTGCAAAATGACGCGCGTTTCCCATCCGGTCCCGGGCGATCGAACAACGCGACGAGGGCGTTAGACCCTCGTGGCGTTCAAGACCACGTTTTTTTATCGGGGAACAGTGATGGCGTCGTCTCCCCGCATCCAAATTCGTTTCTTACCGTTTTCGGCACGTTCCCGTCGCCAAACGGCTCGAGATTCCATATTTTATTATTTACAGCTTTCACGTGTTTTGCACGCGCCTACGACCTCGTCGCTATCGCCTGTAATGTACTTTTTTTTTTTCATTATCAATGGCTAGGAGAGATGATAACAGATTAGCGCGACGGGCTTCTAGCTCGTGACTCGTTTGACTTTGACATAGACTATAGTTGTTATGTCACTGCCTCGTGCTGGTATGCGACGACATCCAGTACAACATGAATGATAGTGTCAATAATGACTAAACTAGGATATTGTCCCCAGCGGTTTAAGTTAACCGAGTTTGATGCTAGAACAAAATATGTCTCAAATGTGTATTTGAAGTTTTTGTACACTATATTACCTGGTAATTTATTATCAGATATTTTTAAAAATGGGTAATTTATTACCAGATTTTTTAAAAAATATGTACGCTGATAACCAGTGATGGTTCACGCACAGCATAATGGAGTTCTTCCCCAGCTCGTCTTTATCCGTCGGTAATCTATGTTTCAAAGGTGCAATATTGGTTCTTAGTCGAAAGTAACTGGTCGATGGTTTAGTTACAAAGTATCATGTTTTCCTCATACATTTGTTTTTAAAGCTATACTATTACGCTTTGTAGTCGTTTGAATACTATTTTCTAAATTGGCTACACCCAAACCTGATAAGCCCAGTGATTTTTTGGTTAAAGCCGAAAAATGTTTAGTGCTTACCCATATATAATCTATTTCATTGTCGTGTCGCAGGTCAAAAGAAGCGTCAACTTAAAGGGGATTTTAGCCAGATTTTGTTTTTCATGATTAAATCTGAATTTAATTTTATTCATTTTTCAAAAAGCAACAATGTTGTCATCCTCAGCGCTAACTGCACTGTTCCTAGTTTTATAAACGTGAATCTCATGACATAATCAAAACTGAAAGGAACATTTTTATGGTTGGTACAAAACCAGTTAACTTAATATTACTTATAACATAGGTATGATTTTATTCTTAATTTAAATTTATTAAACAATTTAAGATTAAGTTGACAAAATGTAACATAGTTACATATTTTATTTTCATGTTGCTTGGACAAAAGATGAGTTGTCATAACTGATGTAACTGGTTAAACTCAATTATGCGCAATCGTAAAAATGTATAACTAATATGTATATATCTAATCTTTATAGTCTGGTAGATTTGCCTTTGAATATTTTTAAATTTGTATGACTTAAAAAATTATCTTCCTAAAAAGCACCAACATTTTCATTAAATTGTAATTTTGGCCGTCAACTGGAAGTAAAGTAAATTTTTAATTGCTTTTTTTAGTGAGGAACTAGTTAATAATAACAAGTTCATCAATCCGAAATGCCACAACTGTTAGTGAAAAACAAATAGTTAAAAAATGAAATGGTTTTTAAGTCCCATTATCGTTTCTTGGTCAACCTGAAAATTTGTGTGGATAAATTCAGAGTTTGTGTAGTTGCGTCTTCCTAAAAGCACTAAATTGAATGTAAAATGTCATTTTGGCCGTCAACTGGAAGTAAATTAAATGTATAGTCGTTCTTTAGTGAGTGATTAGCGTTGTTTAACTAATCAATCAATCCGGAATGTTACAAAAATAGATATATAGGTTATCGGTCTCGCATCAATTCAATAATGTTTTAACCCTTTGATTAATTAATGTGGATAAATAAAAGTATATAGTATGATTGGCGTCTTCCTAAAAGCACTAAATTGAATGTAAAATGTCATTTTGGCCGTCAACTGGAAGTAAATCATATGTATATCATTCTTTAGTGAGTGATTAGCTTTGTTTAACTAATCAATCAATCCGGAATGATACAAAAATACCAACATTTTATTGTCTGATAAACAATTAAGTGTTAAGAAATATTATTACATCAAAAATGCTAACTATTTTACTATTTGGTTTTAGCCAAGAAATCCAAAAAGCAGAAATGGAAGCCAATAGAGACAGAAGTGATTTCAATAGCCAGCGGAACTTGCTGGGCCGAAGAAGTGGAAAAAGAACAAAGTGGTATATATAAAATATATATTTTTAATAATTATTTTTATTGTTCGTGTATTATTATTGTAATTTGAATATTAAATCCAATTTGCCTTATGATGAATGATTTGGAGCTTAAGCCAAATTTGGTTATTGGGCTTCTTTTTATCAAGAGAACTGCTACAGTCAACAAGAATCTTGCTTCAGGGGTTTACACACTGAGTACTCTGTTACTTAATCTAACCTCGGGAAGGTCTGAGACAAAATCGATTACCCTCCAGCCGGGGGCCTTCTTGACAAAGTTGGGCAGGAGAACCAGAAATTGGCCCAGTTCGTAGATCTTTTTGTCTAAGACGCCTTTGGCTGAGACTACAGTCTACGATACTGTTGGAACCTCCTGTGATTCGCATTTTTAGTTCAATTTGCAAGGTCTCGGATTTACCGCCGAGATAACTCAATTCAGACTAATCTCCTGTTGACTGTTGATAATTCTCTTGTCTGAAGGCTTTTATTATTATTATCATTATTATATGAAAATAAATATATGGATGAATGTGTAAAACTACTATATAAAAAATTTTTAGGATTTGGTAGTTTTGGTTTCGAAGCTAAACCATTGAATCTTCCCAAAGCACCTAGAGCTGCTTGTGAAACTCTCATCGATGAAAGTACTGTGCCTCAAGAAGGACCCTTCCTGGTTCACATGTCGAACCTGCAGTTTGAAATTGATGAAGACGACATCACTAACTACTTTAAAGGCTTGAAGGTACGCTTGAAATATTTATAAGTAGACTGTCATAAATATTATTTCTCAATTCAGGGCTAAGTACATTAAGTTTGGTTAAAATAATCTGCAATAATAATGCAATCCAATTGGTTAAGCCTACCAAATGTTTGGTATTTCCCCTAAAAAACAACTGAATTGGGTTAGTTATTGCCAATTTTAAAAATACTGTTTTGAAAATAAATCGAAAGAATTGAAAAAAGTGGTTTTCTTTTATTTATGAATCATTGAATTTGTTTTACTACTATATTTTGCTAAAATATTAGTTTTTTGGTATTATTTATTACCGATATTCAGAATAACTAATACACAGAGTTGATGAACTTATTGTTATCAATAAGATTTTTGCAGAAACTGTGTAAAACTAATTATTCTTTGAGACACTATTTTATTAGTTATATTTACATAAAGTGGTCTCGAAGCAAAACACATGTAAATGTGATATGTAATTTAATACAAATAAAATAATATATCATGTTAATTATTAGCTATACTGAACGTTTTCATTAAACTATTACTAATAATTAATTTTTAGAAACCAAATATAATGTATAATTAAACATACATAGTTCCTTTCAGGTGTCATGTTGTGGTAGTAGTAGTAAGTGGTTTTCTTTAATTTATAAATCATTAAATTTTTTTTACTACTATATTATGCTAAAATAAGAATGCTTTGGTATTATTTCTTACTGACATTCATGATGACTTACATCATCATATTATATTATATATATGATATTCATGGTACACAGAGTTGATGAACTTATTGTCGTCAATAAGATTTTTGCAGTAACTGTGTAAAATAAAATATTCTTTAGACACTATTTTATTGCTAATAATATGCTTGAAATGGTCGCAAAGTAAAATACATTTTTACACAAAAACTTTTGTTATTAATATTATAGGAAGCGGTAGAATAATACATTCTGCTTAAGATAGGATACTGGATAAGACTGAAAAATCTTTTATATAGAATTTTTGATTTTATTTCGTTTTGGGCAGTTTTCACTGTATTGAGAGTTGATTACTTAGTTGTACAGAACGTTTTTATTTTAACTCCTAATATTAGTAGAAATTATTAAATTTAAATGGAATGTTATTATGATGACCTAAAGGCGAATATGAACGTGTGGAGCTCCTTTCACGTGCAGTGTCAGTCGAGCCAACGTTAATGCATGTTATACTTACTACTGATTCATATGTTATATATTTAAAATTGTATTTCTACTGCATTTAAGATGGTTATCAGTCATGTCTTTGTTACAGGTAGAAAATATTAAGCTTCCGCGTAATGACAATGGTCGTAACAAAGGATTTGGATATGTAGAATTTGAAGACCGAAAAGATTTAATCATTGCACTTGGGATGGAAAATTTGGTAAGAACAAATCATTATTTGTCAATTTTTTTAAGTTACAGAAGTAAAGTGTTATCTTTATTTTTGTTAAAACGAAAATAACACAACATTTTTTAATTAGTTCTAAGACCCGTTTAACATCTGAGTAAACCTTAGCCATCAAAGCACACTGTTTTTGAAACTCACTCCTCTATCCCAAATTCATATGAGACATTCAAAAACAAATTTGTACGCATACAATGAGTGTAAAAAATGGACCTAACTATACTCCAGACATTTTAAGAAGGTACCTCGTTGAGTCTGTGGCAACTGGTTTCCACCCTACAACATCGTCATAGTTCGGCACTGCCTACTGTGCATACATATAAGGCGGCGACTACGAAGTTTTGGCCTGGCCCGCAGGTACCTTCTTGAAGTGTCCATTAGTATAGTGGTGTTCATATACCTTTTATTGCAAGTAAAATATATTCACTAAAGAAATTTCTTTAAACAGATACGTGGACGCCGTGTTCGTGTTGAACTCGCTAGCGGTATGCAAGATTCCAGAAATGCATTTCAAAGAGGTAGTAATCGTATGGGTATGGATTTTGGTAGTTCAGATTCCCCAGGCGATTGGCGTTCAACTAACAGGAGTTCTGCTACATCTGACGATAGAGGAGGTATACATTAAACACAATGTTTATTATTAGCAACAAAATTTATTAATTTACGTGATTATAATTAATAGGTTTCACAAGAAGACAAGGAGGTGGTGCTTTTGACAAAGATCACGACAGCGAAAGAGACAGTGGACCGTGGAGAGGAAGTAGGCAAAATGTCAGTGATGATGTTCCGGCTGGCAGAAGACCATTCAGTGACCGTCGACCCGATGAATTTGAGAGTGGAAGAAGGCCTTTTGGCGATAGACGTTCTGATGACGTTGATGGTGGACGACGACCATTTGGTGACCGACGACATGATGATTTCGATAGCAGTAGAAGACCTTTTGGTGATAGGCGGGAAGATTCTGAACGAAAACCATTTGGCGAATCAAGGCGTGGTTATGGTTTTAAGCGTGATGACGACTTACCTGAAATAAGTAAGTAATTCATAGTTACAAGATGTTATAGTGTATATTTCTGTCATAATCATAATTTTCATTAATTAGAAGATTCTTCATCATCACCACCACGTGAACGACCAAAGCTCATTTTGAAACCCAAGACTGTCGACCCGACGCTCCCAAGACTGAGGTTACAAATTATGTTGCTGCTCCATCTATATTTGGTGGAGCCAAACCGGTTGATACTGCTGCTAAAGAACGTGCAATTGAAGAAAAACTCTTAGCCAAACACGAACCAAAACCTCAACTGTCTGCTGCTTCCTCGGTAACCAGTTTAAATGAAGCTTCTGAGACTCAGTAAGTAATATTTTAATCTTAACTTCCATCATACGTTATCCCTTAAAAACTGTTAAAACATTTAGCAAATTCCTTATCTGTTGGCTTTACTTTAATAATTTCCTATAATTAATTATTAATGGTTGCAAAAAAAAAAAAATGATTATTTCAGTAATATGCAAAATACAATAATTCTAAAATGATTTCCTCCTACAAGAAATTTGATCACATTTATTATTTCAGTTTTGTGTTAACTTGGTGTGTACCTGTTTGATGTGATATGGTGTAATTTCTATGGATTACAATAATTCGACATATTCCTTTGATGAGCACATAGGATTTAATGCACGGCGTTTTAATAATCCATTCTAATGGTTTTGCTTGTTCTTTTTTTATGGGTGGCTCTGACAAGTAACATGAAGAAAGTAACAGCAGGAAAAATAAAACTGAAAACATTTTTCTCTTCTAGAGTTTAACTAAAAATGATAGGGAAAGCAGATTAAAATGATAAAGCAGATTCAAAGTTGACTTTTGAGCATTTATCATTGTTTTTTTAACAAATGAGGCTCAAAGTCTGGTGATAATATATTAATTATTACATTTTACTGTTAGGTAAGGGCAAAATTACAACCACATAATATTATGTAGATAACCTTTTACAAAAATGTTGCACAATATCGTGATAAAATACTTTTTAGGCAATAATAAGTACGATTACCTAGAAACATGCCAATGTTCTTAGACTGTTCATTAGACATAGTTAAAAGATTTTGAATCTTATAAAATTTAATTGGACATATCATTGTAATACAACATAATATTATATTGTACTATTTTTTTATTGTATGGATTTATACAACATAAACCTAATTATTTTCAATAACTTCTTCAAATTTTTATCTGGCATACTTTTAAAATATGTCTTATTTTAAGACTGACAAAAAACAAATAATGTTAACAACTTTTTAATTCAAAACTAAATTTTTTGCTAAAAAAAACATTAAAATCATTTGTTTAGTTAAATGTATATTTCAGTAACAATGTTGCTAAATTTAATTTAATTTTTTGTAAAGTTATGAGGCCTAATCAATCAAACCAACATAAAGTTTGAATTTCTAATCTGATTTTAAGGGTTAAGTGGGGTATTTTTTAACAAATGGTGCCAATGTAATTTTTTTTATAGAAATAAACAATTTTTATATTTTATTCGACTATTTAGTATAAATAAAAGTACTGAGTTAAAATTTAAGATTTATTAATTACTTAATTCAACAAATACCATTTACATTTTCCTAATTAATTTACAGTTATCCTAGTCAACCATAACTGTTAAACATTAAATAGTATGTACTTCTAACAAACATGGGACTAAAATTAAATTTGTTTGTATAAAAGGGCTGATTTTTGATAGACCAGAAGTAATTTTTTATTATCTGGAAAGAGCAATTAGCCAACATTAACGAACAATCATAGTACCAACCTAAGTAATGATGCTTGGTTGACCTCCAATTTGTTCAACAAAATATTTATTTCAATTAAACTAAACTAGTAAAAAATAAATATTTTGAGGTCTGACTGAGGCCGCTAGATATTTTAATTTTAATTATAGTGCATTTTTGGTAATTGAGCTCTAGTAAATAAATTAGTTTTGTTCTTAATTTAAAAAAATAACACAATGCCGTTTAATAATAAACTTTAGAAGTCAAGAAAATGGTGAAGTTAAACCATCACCAGCAGTCGCACCCCAATCTCGTTCTGTTGAAACATGGAGACGGAGAAGTCCACGGCGTCAAAATGATGATCGTCCTCAGAGACGAAAAACGCCAGAAAAAAATCCCCGTTACGAAGAAGCACTTCCTCCCAGAGAAAACCCGTGGGAAAAAAGTGTGCCAATCAATCAACCTGCCGAGTCTTCCAAAGAAAATGTTTGTAATGGATCACCACCAAAGTAAGCAGCTCTCTATTAAAAATAACTCAACCGTTTTTTTATTTATTTATTTTTTATCAGGAATGACGAAGATAGTACACCTAAGACAAATGTTTACATTCCTCCAAATCTTCGTAAACAAGCCGTTTCACAAGAACAATCTGTACCAGACCGGGCAGCAGACGGATCTGAAATTATCGAAACTGTTGTCTTAGAAGCACCTAGCGATGTCAGAACTGATCCTGATGGACAGTCCAGCGAGCCTGATTTAGTGAAAGACCCATCTACTGAATTGGATAAGAACGATTCTGGTTTTATCGAATGCGGAAAAAACGGCTCTGATAAAAATAAACCCAAAAAGAAACCTAAAGTTATAAAAAAACTACCGGAAGTCGATGTAAAAAAGAAGTAAGTAAATCATTTTTGTTCACAAATATACATGTTTAATGTACAGGTTACTAAGTCAATTGTATAATTTTTATTACAGAGATCTTGTAACTAAAGAACAGAAGAAGTCTGTAAGTAATGTAGTTAATTTTTATACAAGTGTTTTATTTAATTTATTTAATTTTCTTTTTTTCATTTGCAGACTAGTAACAAATTTGCTGCGCTTCTCGATGACGGATCTAACGAATAGAAAGTAGTAGATAAATTATTACTGTGTTATTTGTTTTTGTGCAACTGTATTAAGTATTTGCAAAGCTCTTATAAATGTTAAGACTCATCAAGCCTCCAATTTAACTTATTTTTATTAGTTTCATTGTATGTGTTTCTATTCATTACGTTAATGTCAAAAAAAGTTTAATATTATAAACACATTAGAAATACTTAACTATGTGAATCGTAGATGACGCGCTGTCTGTTGTTACGTTACTGCCACAGAAATCGTCACTGTGTATTGCACGAGTCCGACCAATAATCAGCATTGAATTATATTTTCATTCTTTCTTTGGTACAAAAACGTCTCATAAATTTTTTTATATTTATATATATATGTTTTAAATATTAAAGATTTTGTGGTTCTTTATCTCATTTAATCCATAAGACTGTCTACACAAAATAGTGATATATTTAAAAGACTGTACATTATAATTATTACAGACGCTCATTGATTGTTAATAAGACTTTCAACCAAGGACATGTCACTGCCACATTCTAATCTAAAGTCGGGCTCGTGTTTGATAAACTAAGATTTTCGTCATGTACGAGATGTTGCAACAGGCAGCGAGACATAGTTTATTATTATTAAAATTTTTTTTTTATTAATATCTTTTTTTAATTTAAATATACTTTTTGAAGCAAATATATATGTACAGTATATATTCGTAAAACATAAAAAAATCTATAATAATTTATAATTAAATAGCATTACATGATAATACCATTGTGTATATTGATACACGTTTTACATAATTGTGTGTGTGACCTTTTTTTTTTGTAAATCTGTCTATATAATAATGAACTTAGATTTGTATAATTTTTGATACTTGACCTAGTCTTCAGAATGTATTTTCCTTAATACTTTCTTTGATCATTTGTATTGTGTACATATGTACTAGTGATAGTTGTAAATTTATTTATTATCTTAATACAAAAAGAAATTGATTTATTGTCTTAAATATTTCATTATTATTAATTATTATAATGTACTATTTATAAAAAAAATATATATATATATTTCATCTTGAAAGAACCGCTCGTTCAGTTTTAATTTTTAGATATTTAAGTGGTAATATCATTGTAAGAATAATGACTGTTGTTTTTTTACTTGTTTGTACCGAAACTGATTTTGTTATCGTAAGTTTGTTGTGTTTGTGTGAGTGTTGCCAATACAATTTTCTTAATTGTACTTAGAAGTGATTACTACTATTATGTTTAAACAGATTTTCCTTGTGGAAACACATGTGATATTTTTAATCTTATGTTGTTTTATTTCACACTTGGTTCTTTTTAAATCAACAATGTAATAAAGTTAATAATGCTTTTTTTTTAAATATAATTGTGTGTTCCGTTTGTGCAATATGTGATGGTGTGAAATATACTGAAATTACATTCGATACAATATATTATTATATTATAATTGTTTTCTAAATGGTGGAAAAATGACTTGTTAATTTTTTTTTTATTGATACTAATTTGATGTAATTTTGTTAGTACTTTTTATTTTATTTATTTCATATTGTAAAATTTAATTGAGCTGATTACTTTATATGATTATTATTATTACTTAGGCCATTTATGTAATCTTTTGAAATTAAAAATAAAATACTGTAGGTGGATGTATTCTCTAATTATTAAACTACTATTAAATTGTCTCCTGGTCGATATTAATTGTGAACGATAAGTGTTAAAGAAATGTGAAATATATCTTTTTTTCTCCAATTTATTTCATGTGTTATCCTTGGCATTTATGGTTTTTAAATTTTTATATCTATGGATTTATAAATAAATAAATGTATATATTACTGTCCCACAACCAATAAAATACTTATAATTTTGATTAATTTAATTCTAAAAAAATTACACCGGCACACAAAAAAAATAAAGTAGAATGTGCATTTCACCGGACCTACCTACGGGTACGTATTTTGGTGCGCTGAATCCGAATTCAAGGTCAGTTTGACCCCTACACCCTAGAAATTTCGAAAAACCGCAAAAATGATGAAAATCGGCAGTTTTAATGATAAAAAAATTTTTTGGAACTAAACTAAGCGTGATTTTCATGTATTTCGATCCGCTGAATATGAATCGAAACTTTATTGAGACCACGAGCCGTTTTAAATGTGAAAAAATCACACAAAATTCCGAAAAAATATAGTTTTCATGATAAAAAAAACTTCTTCTGGTCCAATTCAAATAAAATTTTATATCTTTTGATGTCTTCAATTCGCATCTTAATTTTTTTAGTCTATTCACCCTCTAGAGCTGGAAAAATTCAAAAAAATTGTAAAAAAAGGCCATTCATAACAGAAAAAAAATTGATTGAACATGATTTAATGCCTAAAATAAAAACTCTATAACGTAGATAAATCAAATAACTTGAAATCTGTGAAAAACACAAGACATAAAAAGATAGAAAGAAATGATTTTTACGAATCCTAAACTTTCCTTCGTTTGTATCGCACTCTTTTATCCTCAAATGATCTTCGTAGTGGATTCCTCTTTCGTTAACGATTTTCTTCGGGTACTTCTCTTTCTAACATCCAACAAAAATCTGCCATCATGTTAACACTCCAATTTCCTTGGTATCTACTCTCCATTTCACTGATGTCTTGGTGAAAACGTTCTCCCTGTTCTTCACTATAGTCTCCACAATTGTCAGGGAAGTGGTCGAGATGAGAATCTAAAAAGTGTAATTTGAGATTCATTAAACAACCCAAATTTTTGTAGTTTTCCAGCAATGCGTCAACTAAAGTGCTGTAATCCTCACTTTTGTTATTTCCCAAAAAGTTTTGTGAAACATTTTTGAAGCTTACCCAAGCTGCTTTTTCTGTATCGTTCATTGTTCCTTCAAAATTTGCATCCTGAAATAAAGATCGTATTTGGGGTCCATCAAAAATTCCCTCTTTCAATTTCGCATCACTTATTGCAGGGAACTTTCCTCTCAAGTACGCAAAACAATCACCATCTTTATTCAGAGCTTTCACGTACTGTTTTATGAGTCCCAACTTGATATGTAGTGGTGGCAGCAAATATTTGGAAGGCTGAATTAAGGGTGGTCGTATAACGTTATGGGAACCTGGATTTAATGCAGATCTTGATGGCCATTCTTTTTTGACATAGTGATTTTTCCGGTCTCTGCTATCAAACAAACATAGATAGCAAGGATATTTGGTGAATCCCGATTGCTGACCTAAAAGAAGTGTTGCAATTTTGAGATCTCCACAAATTTTCCAGTTATGCTCTGAATATTTTATTTTTCCCAATACGATCTGTAAATTTTCATAAGTTTCTTTCAGTTTTGTCGAATGAGCTATTGGAATCGGCGCAAATTCATTCCCAATATGAAGCAAAACAGCTTTAAGACTTCGTTTCGATGAATCGATAAAAAGTCTTCACTCATCGTCCTTATACGTGTTCGGTTTCAATTCATCAACTAAAGCTCTAACATCTGAACAGTAAACCACCGAATTTTGATCGTCGTTCATAAAAAATTTCCGGAATTTCTTTTCCCTATTTCGATAGAATGTCACTGATACACCTTTAGCCAACAAATGTTTTTCTTTCAACCTTGGCGCAAGTAATTCAGCTCCATCTTTCGGTAAAGCCAAGTCTCGAACCAGATCATTAAGTTCTTCTCGGCTAAACGTTTCAGGGTCTTTTGTTTGTCCGCCAGGTAAGTACTCTTCATCTTCTGAATATTCTTCTTCCGAACTTTCTTCAACTAGCGTATCGTCTTCTTCTACATCCATTTCTTCAGCCGTATTAATTTCCTCGACAACTTCTATTTTTTGTGGCTTAATAGCTGATGAAACATTGGCGTATACAATTTTGTTTTTTGTATTCCGGGTGAACCCGGTAGTATCTGTCATACAGAAATAACAATTCTGTAAACCAGTTGGTGAAGACCATATCATTGGTATTGTGAATTTCAAGTTGTCCTGTTTCTTGTTTTTTTTCCACCGGGTTAACATTATGTTACATCGACTACAAATCGTATGTGGAACCCATGCTGAATCCAAATTAGTAATTTGGAGACGAAAACATTCTTCATAAATTTGTTTGATCTTATCAGAAAACGATCTTCGATTCCTTTCCAAATTGAATTCTCCACAAATGTAACAAAATGAATCAGGACTTTTATTACACATATGAGAATTACTTCTTGTAATAGTATACTCTCCAGTAGCCAAGTTTCCCACTTCTGAAGAGCTGCAGTCGCTGGATGACGACGCCTGCGGGCCTGCTTCCTCACCCTGACCAGACGCCGATACTGGGTTTCCGACTCCCTGCATCGTAAAGTACTTATCACTTGTACCTGCCATGACGGCACACACGCCGTTAACCCAGGGACTCTGCCAGATGGTTCTGTTGCCCACCGTCACCACGTGGAGGTGCCCTGGTTACAGGCACAAGCAATTTAGTCTTCAAAAGTCAGAAACAAGAGTGAAAAAAGAAAAAAAATTACTTTTTTCGGAATTTTGGAGGGTTTGTGTGATTTTTTTACATTTAAAACGGCTCGTGGTCTCAATAAAGTTTCGATTCATATTCAGCGGATCGAAATACATAAAAACCACGCTTAGTTTAGTTCCAAAAAATTTTTTTATCATTAAAACTGCCGATTTTCATCATTTTTGCGGTTTTTCGAAGTTTTCTCGAAATTTCGAGGGTGTAGGGGTCAAACTGACCTTGAATTCGGATTCAGCGCACCAAAATACGTACCCGTAGGTAGGTCCGGTGAAATGCACATTCTACTTTATTTTTTTTGTGTGCCGGTGTTATATATGTAAATTTTTCAAATACTTGAAATTATAAAATCCTTTTTTCGGCATTGATTTGGAAAATCTTTGTGTAAAAAAAAACCAGCTTAAGTTATTTTAATGATACTTAATTATATAAATGAAATAAACTTGTTGACAAAAAACGTTTGTTGTAATTTTCCTTGAAGAATATTTTTTGGATACCACCGATTAAAATAAAGTTAAATTATTAGGTTTGGAGGAATGTTGCTACAGAATACATTTTTTTTCTCCGATGAATCGGAACTGTAATTGGCATCAAATAATTTAAATTTAGGTAAGGTAAATAAATAGGAAATAGGGGATTTTTGGAGGATTTAACACGTTGACAGACATTCACTGCTAAAGTAGTCATAATCTTTTAAGTTGTTATTTGTTAATGACTGCTCTAACAGTTAAATTTTTGGAAGTCGGAAAATGGAATAACTGCTATTGCAGTGGCTGTTGTTATGGCTTCACCGTGTGGGGAATTATGCAGTGTCCAATTGTGACTTAACAAAAGGTCGAGCAAATGTTTATCAAATTTTCTAAAAATAGTTTTTATTAATATTATTTTGTATGGCCTCTTGTGGATTAACAATCTTATTTGATTAAAATTTGTACTCATTTGTTGTTAATTATAATTTATTTCATTGATTATGTGCCATGAAATAAATGAAAACCCATCATTATAGGTAATTTATTTATGTATCTGCTATAGCAGTCACACGACCATATAAAAAGAAAAAAAGTTTTCAAGGGACTCGAACTGCTATAGCAGTGATATATTTTTATGTTAACAATGTATTTAGATCACAATTTGTAACAGAAAAGCTCTAACATTTTTTGTCATAACTATGATAGTTACTGAGATATGAGAGTGACACTCATATTACGGTCATGCGCATAACTGATATAGCAGTCATGTCCGTCAATGTGTTAAAAATAAAGGATTCGTATTTGTCAACTCTTCATACATTTTCATTCACAAAACCAGTATTTAAGTTGAAATTGACACTCGATATAACTCTTACTTTCACTTTAAATATTTCTATGCAAGTCGATGACGATTGACGTGGATTAAGTAAAACCAAAGATATTTTATAAGATCCGCGCGATCCATTATATTAGTCTATGAGTTACAAAAAAACCCTTTTTAATAACTACCATTGAAACTTGCATACTTTTTCACGAATTATTAATTAAGATATTAGATAAAAGTTATTTCATACTTTTTCTTATCGTTATCACTCAACGGCTCTCCGTGGAGGTAGATTTAATGATGATAACAATTATTTCTGATAAGACGATTGCCGAATGTTGTTATTGAACAGCATAACAATTCATATAGTTATTACCTAGCTAATAATTTATCGTTCATTGTTATTACAGTACAATTATGCCGCGTAAGTACTCTTGTTAGGTTTAAAATGCGAATCAAACAACGACGTTTCTAAGTAATAACCGTTGAAACGATCATGTCGTCGGACGATAGTGACATGTCCTCTTCAGACGCCGAAAGTTTTCTGACCATATCCGACATCGATATCCATGACCCACACAATTATTGCCATAGCGGGCGAAGGCTTATGGGCCGGGAACGTCAATCGAATCACGAAGAATATGAACATCATGATCCGTGGATCGGATGTCTTGTTTGGTAAATGCTATTTAATTTAAATATTTACACAAACAATAAATGTGTTTGATAAAACATGTTAGGACTTGTCTTGTATTGACATAATATGACGTATTCTAAAATGCTTATGTTGTTTACTTGTATTATGATAGGATTTGATGGGCAGGGAGTCTGATAAAACCTTATATTATGTTTTCAACTTTTTGGAGAGTAAAATGGGAATTGTGCCCAGGAGCAAGACATTTTCTTGCGCCCTATATTACACGTTAACGTGTATAGTAAACATTAAAGAAACGCTCTGAAATAGAATGCACTCGAAGGCAGCTGCCCCTCTTCACCCACGGTAGCTACGCCACTGATTTCAAGAAGTAATTCTAACATAACCATCCAACATAGATACTAGGTATATAATGCTTCATTTAACAAGAAACGTTAATTCGGGCTTGTCTCAGCAATGAAAATTGTATAGCTAATCTAATCAGTATCATGTATCTTCAGACTGATTCACAATTGTCTATTCTTTCATAAAATTGCCAAGACCAGGAAAGGGAGTTTTTTCACATTACTTCCTCCGCTTGATACTTCTAACACCAAAATTGTGATTTTGAGATTCATTTTTTTAGATAATAAATTCAGACATTATTTAACAGCTCCCACTCTAATTAGTTGAATGTTTTATTGTTGACTGATAGGATGAGATTGAGTGGCTGAGGGAATAAGGCGTCAATGTGTTTCACGCTCATTGACGCTGGTTTGACACTTGATCATGAGTCCTTCAATTATCTGACATTGAATTTATAGTAGTTTACCTGAAAAAGATTTTAATGCTTCGGCTATGGTAAATTTATGTTCCACCACAACAGTTGTGTTATATCAGCAACACATCTTATTCTAGTAAACTTTGATTTATTCATTAATATTTCAACTGCAGTTTTTCTGTTTTCAGGGCAAGAAAGACAAAGTATTGCTGGTGGCCTGGACTTGTAAATATAAACTATTTTATTATTATTATTATTATTAAGCAGAAAGACATGAGTCCAAGTCGGGGAAACAATTAAAAAATATTGTATTTCAAATTGATGTTCACATATTTGTTATTTAAATTAAATACATTTTTTTAAATATTGTTTCATTGTCTACTACTATTATGTATAATGTATTATAAATGAAATCCAAATATGTGACATAATTATAAAAACATAGAAATGGGACTCTGTGCCATTACTATTTTTATTTTCGTTATTTATAAATTTAAATATTTATTATGATTGTTCAGATTTATCATTATTTTTTTTCTTCTAGATCTGGCATCCGCAATATAAAATGAAAAAGAAACCCAATAATAATTTTAAGTGTGTAAGTTTTTTTGGGAAAGGCAGTGACAGTGAATAGTAAGTATTAATTGTGTATTAGTTTGAACAATTTAATGACGATGGAAAACATTACATTTATTTTAATTTTCAGTGCTTGGGTCAACATAAAAAATTTAAAACCGTATTGGGACCATAAAGCCGAGTATTCTGAACAAAGAAAAACTAGGAGATTCGAAGCTGCTTGTGATGCAATCGAAACATACATAAAAAATAAAAAAGTAAGACTTGAAAAAACTATGCTCATTTTATCATACTTAGCCACATCATCTATTTTACTAATTTCAAATTTTTTTTTATTTATTATTAAACTGGTTACCTTAATTTTTTATTTAGAATGAAAGAGTATCTGCACAGCACCTTGCCGAATCTTCATTGCTTCAAATATTTTCCCGCCTACCGTTCAAAGACTTACTGAATGCGTCATCTGTATGTCAACATTGGAGACGAGCATTTTACGAAAGTTCCCTTTCCTATATCCATATTAGAATACAACCGGAAATGAATGACACAATAGACGTAGAAAGATTGGAGTACTTAAGAGAATTTGTTTTATTACGAGTCCGAGATGTTTATTTATCATTCGACACTTGTGATGAACAATGTTTCGAAATGGTGACTGAATTCATAAGAAAACTACAATATAGTGAACAACTCAAAAACCTTATCATAAATCCACTTCACTGTGAATTATTTTATAATCTGTGAGATCAATGTTGTTCATTTAGTATGACTGTAATTTAACTGATATGTTGACTGTTGTATTTTTGCAGGCCACTAGAAGATATGAGCCATCAATGGCCATTATCGGGACAACTAGAAAACGATATAAAAAGATTACTGCGGCGAGTAAAGAACCTTGAAGGATTTGATTATGGTCACAAAACGTTTCGTCATTGGCATAAGCTGATATATTATTTGTCTCAAAATAGTCCAAAACTGAAACGTTTAAAAATTGCCAGTATTCTTGAACCCGCTGAATTACCTCAACACAAAGTCATTAACATATTAAAAGACTTCAAATTATTAACCAACTTGCAGGTGACATTTATATTTGTTATACGTAAAAGTTAATAATAATAGTAACGAAACGAGTAAAGTTGTTTCACTATATTACAAAAGTGACATGTCCAAGAATCTATATATCAAGTTTCACCTGTTTCAAATTTTGGATATTTATTACAAAAAAAAAAAAAACAAACTTTAATACACTATTTTGGCTATCTAGGTTCATTTTTGTGTGTAATACACATAACATTGTCATTTTGTGCTATATTAAAAATACATTTCAGTTTAAAGCCATATATCCCCCTTTTTTTCAAAAAAAAAAAACAAAAGTTGAAAAAATTCCGCCCTTCCTCTTCATTAATAAAAAAAAACTCCTCATGAAGGTGTTCATTTTTTAACTTAAAATCGTGAGGCGCTATACTTTTTTTGAAAAAAAAGTTGAATTGATTCTAAAATTATGGGAGGTCTTTTTAGGTATAGACTACTATAGTACTTTGTATTTCTGATTGACAGTGAAAAGTACCAAGTAAATATAACTAACTCTATACCCTAGGTGTGCAAACGTTTTTTTGTTTGTCATTTTAAAACTTGATAATTGCTAAACACATGTAACCACACTGAACACACTGTACCTACTTTTATTTAGTATTAATTATATTTTGAAAAAATTCAAAACAAAAACGTAAAATAAGTTTTTATTTAAAAATTCAGAATAAGGCTTACACTGAACAAAAAAAAAAAAAAACCTTTTCACCACACTAAGCTTTAATCTGTTGTAGGTTTTGAGTTTAGATTACACAACAAATACACACGAACTACTAAATGCATTGCACAACATGTCTTTGTTGGAGATTTTGGAACTATGTGTACACGATGATATTGATATAGTACATGACGTCGTTTTCTGGGAGGAACTAAAGAAAAATTGGTAGCAAATAAAAACAAACAATTAATATTTTGATTTTTTAAATAATATGTATTTGTTTCAGTCCAAAACTTCAATTGAAACTCACAGTCGTAGAGTGCAGTTTAGTGACACAAGAAATATACACAAAACTATTTAATCCGTCCATGCCGTTGACACATTTAAAAGTACTATTTTGTGAATTAGTGAGTATAACTGCATTATAGTACATTTTATTAGTTATTTTTATTAAAAAACAATCTATATGAATTTTGTAGGGCAGTGTTCAAACTTTGAATGCACTGCAGAGTTATAAGGATACGTTGAGATCGTTAATTTGGGTTGATAGACACGGATCAACGAATCCTTACTGCCTCATAAATGGCACACTAAATTTAAACAGTATCGAAGTAGCAACTGTACCTGAAAATTGCCAAGAAGCCAATCAATTACATCCTCTTGTCAAATTGGCGTTAATTTGCAGAAAGCTTAGTGAAATTGTTATTATGGGTAAGTAACTATTAAAAAAAACCCTACAACAATAAGTCTTAACAGTCCTAGTTGAATTCTTTCTTAGGATACTTTTTGGATCCATCCGATGTTTGTTCTATCGCAAAATTTAGAGGTCCCGGTTTAAAGCGTTTTAGACTTATAAAAGGCGATATATGTACCGATCGACCATGGAGCAAAATAACTTTGAACAATGTCGAAGAAGTAATTATTGTTTTATTAATTTTAGTTCAACTTATTTTTTGTTGATTAAAACAATGATTAATTTGTGGAACCATTATTTTAAGGTTGTATCGTTATGGCTTAAGCGAAAATGGAAAGCATTGACTAATGATGACTTACCAAAACACCACATGACTTTTGCCAAAAGATGTTTATTAGAGCGTTAAATGTTTATTTGTAATGTATACTAAATTTCATTAGTACAAGTCAAAACCAAATTCTCCTAATTTGTAGATCTAAATAACAAAAGTTTTCTATTTGTTGTAATTAATTAGTAACTGTTCCCTAATTAATGACAACTTAATTTGATTCAAAAGCATTCGAGTCATTTGTTCCTTATTTATCATGTTTTCAACAACAACGATATTTAAAACTATATAAAACTCTAAATTTATAAATTAATAAATACCAATAGAGTTTAGGTATAAGTTAAATATTTCATTATACTTACTAAAAATAGTAATTTCATTATATGCTTGTCGTTCAAGTTGTGTTATTATAAGTTGAACATTTTCTTTTTTTTTAATTGTGAAGTATTTTTTGTCAAACAATATATTTGTTCAATAACTAAATAGCTATTTGTTGCTTTGTGTCAAATTTTTTATTAGTTCCCGATTTAAATTTTGATAGTTACAATGTACAATGTAGGATTTGTTGCATTTGACTATTTTAATTAAAATCAAAATTGAAGTTCTGAAAGTACCACTGTTATCTATTATGTATTAAATGGTATAATGTATGTATTTGCAAAAGATAAGTGTATTTTGATGATCTTCCATGTGCATAGTGTAAGTAGATAAAAACTTGGCGACCAACTGATAAACGTGGAGGATTATAAAGTCTGGCCAACTTCATTTCTGTATTTTACATAATATAAGACGAGAGAGAGGGATAATATACATTTATTTAAAACTGTAAATTGAAGTACAAATTAAAATCACACGTCATATGTATATAATTATTATAATATTATTTGTTATATAAATTACATATTATTATTACGATTAATACTAGGTATATTTGTAATTGATAATAAATCAAAAACATGCAAACTACAATAATATTTAAAACAATTTCTAATGCATCATAAATCATAATTTTATATATTTTGTCATTATTATATTAAGTTATTTAATGAGTATATTATTATGTATTACTTTGTAAAAATTATTCGTATATTAGTTAAGGATACATTTAAAGATAATTAATTTTAAGTTATTAATTAATAACCAAATACATACATTGGTAAAATATTATATGTAATACAATTTGATTTAAATTATTTCATTTAGATATACTTTTTCTAGAGTATTTATAATACAGCATTCAGTTACATTTTTTAATGAATCCTTACAACAACGGACTGCTGAATATCGAAAAATATAATTACCTACGTTTTTAAATTATCTTTCAATTGCATTTAAAATTAATAATGTTATATTAAGTTTTTTTTATTATGATTTTTTAAAATTGTTATCCGAAGAACGTTATTAAAACGGTTTCCTATATTTATTATTTTTTTCATTGGCGAAAAGCCCATTTTAGTTAGTTAAAGTTACAAAAATTAAACTTATAAACTAATAACTTATAAGTAACATAAATTTATGAACTTAATTTCATTTTAAAATTAACACATCTGACTTGATTTGGTTTTGTTTTGTTTTTTGTTTTCAAATATGATAAAATATGAAACGATAGTGAATTTGAAGGACAACAAAATAAAATAAATAAAACCAGGGGCCTAAATTTCTCTAAAAAAAGTGGGTGTTGCCTAAGCACTAAACACATTAGTAAGTCTTATCTCCTTATCGTGTAATACACAAATAGGTTGCTAATTTCAAAACTAAGGATGCTAAGCCACCCAAGCTGCCTCCAAATTGTCCGTTTGAAAAACTTACCTAGTTAGTAAACTTTGGCCATTATAAACACGACTAACGCGGCCCAGTCGGTAAAAGATTTAGCTCCGGCTCCTTTGTAAACTGGACGGTTATTTTTATTTTTTTTACACCTGTTATCATCGGCTACCTGACAAAACCCGTCCAGGTCTTCAACGTAACGCTCCCAAATGTAACCGGTTTTGCGCCATTCGGCAAACACACAATTGATAAAATCTTTCCTTAACTTTTTGTACAGCCGACCAGCCCTGTTCCGCGTGGCCGTGTTCAGACCTACGCGATTTTCCGTGTAAAATATATCGTTACCCTTTCCCAAGTAGTATTTCAAAGCCCTCAACGTCAAATACTGAATGTTAATCCAAATCGTGTCCCTGGACAATGAATTTTCGCGCTTCGGATTGTCCACACTGAATATGTTTTGATGTTTCAGACCACAACCGGCGGTCGACAAATCGTTATCGATCTCATCGAAAATGCCGTTCAACTTTTCTTCGGACGGCACGATTTTCATCAGCAACGGGAACAGCCTGTCGTAACCGTAGCTGTATATGTCTATATGTTTCCATTTGTCCTGGTCCACTTCGCCGGGGGGCGAACCGAAATCCGTGTACACCTTACTGACTTCGCTCCAGTGCGCGTGGTCTAATTTGGAAACTAATTTTTCACGAAATGCCCTATACTTCTCCACTTCCACCGGGTCCAATAACAAGTACTTGCCCAATCTGTACATGACCTGGGCACCGTGCGCCATATAGCAGTACTTGCGCAAATGCTTATTGCGTCCTTCCCATCTGTAAGTTTTCCCTGTATAGCTGGTGTCGTTGACGTACGAATACCAAGCCCGCAGTCGAGGCCACATTTTCCGCAGTAGGTTTTGTCGTTTGATTTTCGGCTCGGTTTTTTGTAACTCGTCCAAAATCGATTCCATGGTCAGCAAAAGAGCCGGAGTGTCGGAAGGCTTTGAAAATTTTATCCCGTCGGAATCGGTTGCTTCCCTCACTATCGCCTCGCTTCCCAATATCTAAAAAAATCAAACCAACATTACAATATATTTTTTTACTTCAACGCCCTTTAGTAGTAACTTGTGGTTTTGTGTTGGCTAACTGGCAGTCTTGCTGTTGTGAGTTAAAAATAAAGTATTATTGCACCATCAGAACTAGACTTAAAGAAAATATTATCAGAAGTTTAGATTTGGAATCTAGATACTCTCCGAGGATACAGGTACAGATGCCCAACAATTTCCAGTAGGAGCTTTTTTTCTAATTCAAAAAATTACTCTACTCATTAACTCCTCTGGTATTCTCAACTCTAAAACAATACATGGAGTAAAAAAAATCCAAGTATGATGTGTATCAGAAAAATGACTTTAGTAAAACTTCCTATGAAAATAATCTGTGGCGAATGCATGGCATTGTGCGCACAACTCGCGGAATCTTGCTGTCGTAGTCGCCTTAAAACGCGGTTAAAAGCTTAACTCGTGTAATTACCGTATCACTCTACCATATGATCAAAGTCACGAGACTCGCACACTTAAATATGACAATCGCAAATACCGACCGCCGTCCACTGGACACCGGCCAAGCAACCTTTTTCCAGCATCCTCACAAATCCGTCCATAGTTCGTATACACATTACCTATGAAATTATATTGGTATTCTGCCTATTTAGCACTGCTCTTTATATAAATAAACAATGAATGAGTCCTGATAGTTTCCAGTGAATTCCAATATTTCAATTCTGCTTGGGAAAAATTAGGATTCAAGGCAACTCCATGGCACGCGACGGTGGACTGCGGGGTGCAGGGGTGTCGAGCTGGTACCACAGATAGGAGCACAAAATATTGAGCAAACGAAGAGAAGCGCAAAGTTTGACCTAATATTAACATATTATTTGAAATTTTCCTTTTGACAAAAGTGCGACTGTTGCTTGACCTAGCCGTGATGTTACGTATCACCAGCACGTGTCTGGGGCTTTTCTTAAAAGGATAGTGCTCTATAGGCAGTCTGCAAGGCCTTCATTCTCAGACAACAGCATCCCACACAGACTGTTTATAAAAAAAAAATTATATAATTTTAAGTTCAATTATATGTTATTTTTATCCAACTTATAATTTTTTTTTTGTTTGTAATCGAGGGCTAAAATTTTGAAAATTCAAAATGACGTATTTTAGTACAGCAACTTAAAAAAAATAATTCTGGCATAAAAAAAACAGTTGAGTTACCGGTTTTAAGGGGAAAGAAAAAGGGTATTTACTAATCGGCATATACCAAAATAAAGATTAATTAAATAATCAAAACTATCAAGAAAACATAATTTTTATGTCAAACAATTTTCTATTTATTCTAAATTTATTTTTTGATTATTTTATTTTTAGCTTTGATGTGGAACTGAGACTGTATTTACAATGATGGTTTTTATTAATTTTTTGTATCTGGAGTCTGGACCCACGATATCTTAAACCTCTAAACAGATTTATTCACGAAGCAACTCTATGTAGTGATGGGAAACATTCGAATAGTTTGGATTCGAATATTCGGGAATCGAATCTTAATAAGGATTCGAATCCTTCGAATATTCAAATAGTAATAATAATAATTTACAAATAGTTTTTTTTTTCAACTATTCGAATATTCGAAAAAGTATTGGAATATTCGAATATTCGAATCTTTAAAAATTAGGTACGCGAATCCGAATATTCGAATCCTTCGAATATTCGATTCCAAATTACAACACTATTCTATAGATCATAAATCGTACTTAAAAGATACTTTATTAGGCCAAACATTTTTAAAAATTACTATTTCCCCTTCAAAATCGAGAAAAACACCCAAACAATTTACATAATTTTTAACTTAAAATTATGTTGCTCTATATTTTTTTTTTAAATAATGAATTAATTCTAAATTTGAATGGAATATTTTTTGAACATAGTACTACCGATAAACATTGATAAACCAAAAAAAAAAATTATAAACCCTTTCCTTTAGAAGGGATAGAAATGTTTTCTTTATTTCACTTTTTCAAGCAAAGTTTTAAGGATTTAGGTCTGAAAATTAGTTCAAAGGTAGATCCAGAACGGAACTATAACGTATACAATTTTCTCAAAAACCCGTAGTTAATCTTTATTTTATTAAGAAAAAACTCAAAAATGGGAAAAATTACACTGATCGTAATCAATTTCCAGGTTGATGTGTTAGTGAATCAACAGTGAACAGGTAATGAAAATATTTTCATTATATTATTATTTGCGATTTATGAGTAACTATAGCAATACATTTCCTATGCAACCTAACCTCCCTCACTTACTACTACACTTATTTACGTAAAATAATTTCTTATTGTGCTGATTTATACTGTGCTTGGCTTGGACCTATACTGGTTTGAACTTACGATTCACAGATTCGCGTCAAAGCGTTTATTTAAAAATGTTTTTATGACATTCAATTATAATAATTCCTGTAGACTTATGACCTTTTGTCCCCATTAAGTCCCGACACCACTGTGTTGGCTTTTTGTTAACTCTACTACTTTTTTTTATAACAGCCTTTATTGGATAATATGATGGCTGAGCAATTACATAATATTATTTAAACAATAGTTGCAAGCACATTACAATAGGTAAATACTATGTACATAAAGATATCTAAAAACAGAGTAATATAGAAAAAGACAAAATGTATAATTAATTGTAGACAAAAAACAAATAGATAGAAAAGAGAAAGAAAGAAAGCTTTATTTAGGGTGGATTTGAAGAAATAAAGAGCATCGAGGGATAAAAGATTAAATTGGGGATAATTAGAGTGATTCAAGGAGACTTTGGCAGAAGAATTGGCTATTTCACTACACCTAATCCCAGCGTGACCTGGAACCCAGTTAGTCTAATACTTAAATAAATATTTTTTAATACCTGTATGGCAGGCATCCATCCATGAGCGTTCATTGAATCAAGCCAGGAACTGACAATTTCTAGTGCCAAATCTGGATCCCATTTAGCTAGCAAAGCGCAATGATTGCTTTCACTCCAAAAGAACCCTTGTTGAAATTGAGCTCTATTAGGAACGGAAATAATTAATCCATATCTCCAATAGTGTTTCTCTTTTTCATTTTCATAGCGTACTTCGATATTTCCGTACATATAACCTAAGCTACTAGCCATCTGACTGAATGCCGATCGAGCAAACTCAATATGCTCCTGAGAATATTTATTTAACTTAAATATATGATCAAATTTTTCACGAAATTGTGTGCTGTATGCTGAAGCATTTCTTGTAAACGTCTGTTGAGTTAGTAAAGAACTGAATATACTTTTTTGTTTATAAACAATATCAAAAGAAGCCGTTTGAGAACATAACGTAATTTGGACAGCAACAAGATTTTTTAATTCAGCTGTACGAATACCTTCATGCCAATACATTTTTTTATTATTATGTTCAACTACTATTGTATCATTTGTAAGGCAGTTTTTTAAGTTAGCCATTGAATCACAGCGTGTTCGACCTACGCTCACGTGCATAAAAGATTGATTGTCTTCAACGTTCTCATTATTAATGATGACAGACATTTGAAAGTCGTTTAAGCTAGGAGTTAGCCCCTCAATAATTGCTACAGCAGGTGACCCCGGAACATTTTTCATTACTTCTAGCTCGTACTCATATTTTGAAAGAGTATCAATGCTATCGCCTGGATCAATTATTGTGTACCATACAAATGATATGTTCTAAAAAAGTTTTAATTTTATAAAACCATTTAAATAACCTGTTAAACATACTTTTTAAAATATAATTAAATTCTTACTTTTTTTGTTTCCTTATTATTAGCGTAAGTAATTCTGACAGTCCAATCTTGTTTATTATTTTCTTCGGGTCTTAAAAATGTAGTATTTATACTATAATCTACTTCTTTAGTATTTTCTTCGTTTAACTCCTGTATTACTTGAAATCCATAATTACGTGCATTGTGCTCAACATATCCGTATTTAATGGTTTCTCTTTTTTCACAATTATATCGTATTGCATCTAATCCTTTAATAAGTACTTCCTCATTTTTATACCACATTAGACCCGCACTGACAGATCCTTGATCCTTCGGTTCTTTAGTCCTTAAACCCAGATATTGACCGGGTCTCAGAGTACCCCATAACACATCAGTTGAATCGTTTTTTAATAACTGTAAAAAGTATGTATATGGTATTGGTATAAAATATTTTACGATACGCAATAAAAGGAGAAAAAAAATATAAACAACTTATCTGAATTTTATTTAATGTATTGTAAATGTTATGTACATACCTTTGGTCCCAAAAACGGAGTATTCATAGGGGTATGGGTTGAGTATTCTAAATTAGCAAAAAAAAAAAGAGTAATCGCGATCAACATGTAGCAAGTATGACACAATAATTTCCACAAATCAGACCTTAAATTTAACTTTTCAATTAAGTTTTCTAAAACCATTTTTTTTAGGCTACTAAATAACTAAATAATATGTACTTCTTATAAAGTTGAAAAAGTTACGCACTACGCACTAAACAATATACGCCATAAAATCAATATCTCGGCGGACCCTCATTGGCCCCGCCATCTGTGGCAGTGCTGAGAAACGAGGTATTCTGCCCTCGAATTTACACTGTATATTATCTGTCATGCCGCGGCGAAACACGAGTATCGTGAAAATGTCAACACTGTAAACGAACTTTATCGATTATATATATATTTATAGGTTAGGTTCTTAACAACCCGCTTGTTCGTTTCTGGCCAGTACACGCCTGTTATAACTTTTCACGGCAATTAACATGCACATAGCGGAAAACTGAAAAGGAAAAAAATATTATGCTACATAATTATCACAGTTATCCTTACTCTGTCTTATATTCCTATTTCAGCCTTTTTCTTTTAATTTTTTTTTATATTCTGTGCCCCACACTCACTTTATGTTGTATTTACTCATTAGTCTAAAGTAACAAATATCACTTTTACTAGTACCTAGTTTTGAAATGCTTTGGAACAATTAAATAGTATGAAAATACAACACCTAACTGGCAACTGCCAACATTCAAAGGGTTATAATACTAGTATAATATTCCGGGACCTATTATAACAGTGGTTTATCATACGCCGTTAGATATCCAGTTATCTTATTCGTGATAAAACAGCATTGCCTTACAGTGTCACCACCATAGTATGTAGGATGACAAATGTATAAAACAATAGAAATAATATGGTTGGCTACACTATGGAGAACTTAAAATTTGCACGTAGTCCTCAGAAAAGCGCTTACCAAACTCAGTTCAATAGTACACGCCCTACAGACTAAGTCGTTCGTGGACATTTTGTTGGACAGATTATTCCATTTTTATGAGTTTCGCGTACAATCCCCTTCCTCCTAAGAGCAATTTTGGAATCGTGAATGAGAAATTACTTACCAAAATTTAAGTAAGTACAAAAATTATATTATAATGTACCTAGTGTTTGAAAATATACCATTAAAAAAAACTATCGTTGCATGATCACCAGGGACGGCGCCAAGAAGGGGCGAGGGTGGGCGGTCGCCCCCTCATAACAAATTATTGCCCTTCTCTCGCCCCCCCCCCAGATATTTTGCTAAATAGTATAATTTTAAATATTTGATTATTATTCCTAAAACCCAGATTTTGAATTACTATATTTTTATACATACAAATTTAGTTATTACGAAAATTGTGAAAACAATTGTTATTTGATTTAAACCTTTTATTGTATACAAATTTAGTTATTAGTTATGACATTGATTTGATAATGAATGGTTTAATAGAATGTAGGTATAACACGATAACTATAATCTCCACTGACTGGTTGTTGGGCGTTTTATAAGCCTTCATTTTTACTTCGACTTTCATAGAGTACAATAAGAACTAATTGATGGCCGACAGGTAAAAATAACGTTTATTTAAAAAAGTTGCCTTAATTAAATTGTGCACTAGTATATATTGTCCCTTAATATGAAATAAATTCATATTTTATATTTTATACTATTTCACTGATAAATATTAAAGTCATTCACTGATAAATCATTATAATTGTTTTTTATTGACAGAAGTAAGTAAAATTATTGTGGTTGCCCCTCCAAAAAATTCACTTGACCTTTCCCGCCCCCCTAGAAAAAAAATTCTGGCGCCGTGCCTGAATCAAGGTATTAAAACATATAATTTATAATAAATAATTTAATAAACATAAATATATAACATTAAATAATTAAATTACCATCAATTTTAAGGTTTTGTCCTATAACAGACCTACAACATCTCAGGACTTTGTTTCGATTTCTGTGGTCTGGGTGTCTCGGATTCCATATGGGTTCTTGTAGGTATACAGCAGCAGCAATTTGTTCTGACAGAACCGACGATGATACCATTTTAACAGCGATTAATCGCCGAAAATCAAACAATTTAAGCTAAGGCCCCACTGACCGCGTGTAGCGTTTTAAGATTTTAGCTACACGCGCGAGAATCACTGAAAAAACAAAATTGTTTGATTTTCGGCGATTAATCGCTGTTAAAATGGTATCATCGTCGGTTCTGTCAGAACAAATTGCTGCTGCTGTATACCTACAAGAACCCATATGGAATCCTGATGAATCATGATGATCACATGAATGAAATTAATGAACAATTAATGTCATTTTCGATAATTACAAGTAATAATTATTCCCTCCTGTCCTGGTTTAAATCTTATCTCTCATCCAGGATGTAGTAGATAAAAATTCTGGATTGCAATTCAGAAGTTACCCAAAAACACATCTGGTGTTGTTCCTTATCCCCTTTACTGTTCGCCTTGTTCGTGAATGGAGTTAGGAATGCCTTTCAACGTTGTCACTTCTTAGTTTTTGCTGACGATATCAAACTTTTAATGCAAGTTGATTCTGAGGCAGGCTGACTCTGCCTTCAGAATGAACTTAATAATCTGGTTAAATACTTTAGGGTTATCATTAAATATAAATAAATACCAGTCCATGTCTTTTACTAGACGTAGAGCTGAGAGCTCCCTTATCCTTTACCTATTCTATAGATGGAACCACTGTTAAGCGAGTGTCATTCAAGAAAGACCTGGGAATTATTTTATACTACTAATTTAGATTTCCATCCACATATTGAATATATATGCTGCAAAGCCCTGAAAACACTAGGCTTCATTAAACGTATCTCTTCCGATTTGAAGTTTTCATGTTCATTAAAATATCTTTTTTGTTCATTTGTTAGATCCATAGTAGGATTCGGATCAGTCTTATGGGACCTTACACAGCGACTAGCTCATCTCAACTTAAAAGAGTTCAGTTTAAGTACTTAAATTACGTTCCCTACTCCCTTAAGATTAACTATTACACAAATACAATAAAACTCAGTGGTTTTTTATTGCCAACCCTGATTTTTTACGGTATTTGTGAGTTCAACCATTTAGACGATGCAATGTCCCGTTATAGTTAACGTTGTAGCCTACAACTAGACTTTACAATTTATAAATATGTGCGCATTTTTATTATTCATTTTGGAAAATATTATAAATACCAAAAAAAAAGCCAGTATATTGAGGTTGGGGCATAGTGGGGACGGAGAGGTCACAGTTCTACAGATTTTATTATAACTAAAAGTGATTTTATCACTTTTAAATAAACGCTTTGATGTGAATCTGTGGATAGTATGTTCAAACCAGTTATAGCGGTTTAGAAGATATCGTGGGACCATCAATAATGTACTTAAAATTTAATATTTAGTCTTAAAGGCCCCACTGAGAGCGATTTCGCGATTTTACACGCCAGATGTCCACCAGCGATTTTGGTGGAGACACTTTAGCGTTTTTTTATGTCGCGCGTGTTCATTTCTACATTCATTTTCAAATGCATTTTAGGTTATTAACATCCGAGCTCTATTTGTATTTATTTTATTACTAGTATTAAAACATATAATTTATAATAACTAATTTAATAAACATAAATATATAACATTAAATAATTAAATTACCATCAATTTTAAGGTTTTGTCCTATAACAGACCTATAACATCTCAGGACTGTGTTTCGATTTCTGTGGTCTGGGTGTCTCGGATTCCATATGGGTTCTTGTAGGTATACAGCAGCAGCAATTTGTTCTGACAGAACCGACGATGATACCATTTTAACAGCGATTAATCGCCGAAAACCAAACAATTTTGTTTTTTCAGCGATTCTCGCGCGTGTAGCTAAAATCTTAAAACGCTACACGCGGTCAGTGGGGACACTACATATTTATTTCTATACTGTTGATAAAATCGCTAAATCGCCAACACGCTACACGCTATCGCAAAAACGCAAATCGCTCTCAGTGGGGCCTTAGCTTAAATTGTTTGATTTTCGGCGATTAATCGCTGTTAAAATGGTATCATCGTCGGTTCTGTCAGAACAAATTGCTGCTGCTGTATACCTACAAGAACCCATATGGAATCCGAGACACCCAGACCACAGAAATCGAAACACAGTCCTGAGATGTTGTAGGTCTGTTATAGGACAAAACCTTAAAATTGATGGTAATTTAATTATTTAATGCTATATATTTATGTTTATTAAATTAGTTATTATAAATTATATGTTTTAATACTAGTAATAAAATAAATAAAAATAGAGCTCGGATGTTAATGACCTAAAATGCATTTGAAAATGAATGTAGAAATGAACACGCGCGACATAAAAAAACGCTAAAGTGTCCCCACCAAAATCGCTGGTAGACATCTGGCGTGTAAAATTGCGGAATCGCTCACACGCAAATCGCTTTCAGTGGGTCCTTAGCTTAAGGGTGGATACGATAAGGGTTGTTCGTCTGTCTATAAAAATGTACAGTCCCATATAGGTACATTTTTATAGACAGACGAACAACCCTTATCGTATCCACCCTTAAGCTACCCATATATCGCAATTAACAATATAATGAAAATATTTTCATTACCTGTTGACTGTTGATTCACACACACATAACAACCTAGAAACTGACTACGACCAAAGTTTAAATTTACCCTATTTTTGGGGTTTTTCCTTAATAAAAAAAAAATTTGCCTACAGATTTTTGAGAAAATTGTATATGTTATAGTTCTATTTTAGATCTAAATCTTTAAAACTTTGCTTGAAAAAGTGAAAAAAATTCTATCCCTTCTAGGGGAAAGGGTTTATGATATTTTTTTGTTTTGTTATTGTTTATCGATAGTAATATGTTTGAAGAACAATTCATATAAATTTGGAACTTTTTTGGCTATTTTTAAAAGAGTTATAGAGCATCGTAATTTTAAGTTGAAAAATTTGTAAATTTTTGGGTGTTTTTCTCGATTATGATTTCTGATCTATAGAGTTGCTACACGAAGAAATCGGTTCAGTGGTTTACAAGATATCGAGGGTCCAGACACAAAATTTTTAAAAAACACATCATTGTAAAAACAATACCTTCTCAGCTCTGCACCAAAGCTAAAATAGGACTGCATAAGTATCCGACACCTTACAAACGACGCTCCTGATTAACAATTATTTTATCGCCAAAAATTGAGATACTTTTAAACACGTTCAAACCTAGTTTCAAAAAGTTAATGTTAATCAGCTAAAAAGTTCGTATTAAAAAATCGTATATGCAGTATCTTTTTATTTTATTTTAACAGTTTCTTGAATATTAAAACAACGTTATATAATTTATTGACTGAGTTATTAATAAAATAATCTGTATTTCGTTAATGACATAATCGAATTTTTTATTTAATACATTATGAATCTAACGAGTTAAAAAAACCTTACTCCTGCCTTCAAAAAAATCTTATATGTTTGTTTAAAATAATTGAAATTTAAAAAATCTAAAGATATAAAAAACGCTAACATTTTTTTAAGATATTATTATATCTTTTTTATATTACAATATTTCTTTAAATTCTTGTATACTTTGTTTTAATTTTGGTTACATTTATTTCTTTAACATGACAATCATATTCAGTGTTATTTTTTAATGCGTTGTTATTGTTATGATTTTTACAATCAATAATAAAGTAACATTACTAAATAAATTCAAAAAATCCGTTTTTATTTCCAACCTACTACATTAACTGTTCTATAAAATAATTAAATATTTAAATTTCATATTTACTTAACGAAATATTGGGGTTAGGTTTAAAGAACATAAAAAAAAACAATAAGTACACAAATCTCCTGTTGCGGAAAGTTTATTGAATACATTCATAGCATAAAATCAGTAAAATTGCTTAAAAATTTTAATAATTTTAATGAATTAAATTTAAGGGAGGAAATTTAAATGTAGAAAAATAGGAATAATTATTGCCAATATAAGTCTACGCGTGTAGAGAATTATTTTTGTAGCGGGTTTATTTAAATATTTAATTATTTTATAATATAAACCACAAGTGTCGCTTAAGTTTTTTTCTAGAACTGTTCTATAATCTATATAATGTAAAAAAATAACAACTAGAAATAAAATTAGTAATATTGGAAACATTTTTTTTTTTGGATAAACAAAATGTAAATTATATTTTTATTTATTAATAATATATAATAAATCATTTATATTTACAAACGATTTTTTTTTTTCAGTTTTTTGAGAATCATAATCATTTATCACGTAAAGAATTTGTAAAATCCTGTGAAGACCAGTTAACTATAAAAGAAACAAGTTGTAAATACCGATTTATCAACAAATTAAACTATATTTTGAAAGGACAAGAAAATCAATTATGGAAAATAAAAAAAAAAATATTGTCTTTACTCAACTTCCAGCGAGTTCAAATTCTGTCAAAAACACAAATATCAGTTATACATCTAGTTCACAAGAAAGTAAGTCTTTAAAAGCTATCAAGTCTCCGAGTTTGCAACGTCCTGATTTTCTAAATAACTACAATGTGACTGGAAATTCGAAGTTCGATAAACTGACATATGTTAAAAAAATTGAAAACGAATATAAAAAAATAAATTCAAATTTAAATGAAGAGGTAGTTGGTATCAAAAAGAGGAAAAATGAGTATAAGGAAAAGAGTAAACAACCTCATAATAAGCGACCCATGAAATCTAAATCAAATTCTGTCAAAAACACAAATATCAGTTATACATCTAGTTCACAAGAAAGCAAGTCTTTAAAAGCTATCAAGTCTCCGAGTTTGCAACGTCCTGATTTGCTAGATAACTACAATGTGACTGGAAATTCGAAGTTCGATAAACTGACATATGTTAAAAAAATTGAAAACGAATATAAAAAAATAAATTCAAATTTAAATGAAGAGGTAGTTGGTATCAAAAAGAGGGAAAAGGAGTATAAGGAAAAGAGTAAACAACCTCATAATAAGCGACCCATGCAATCTAAATCAAATTCTGTCAAAAACACAAATATCAGTTATACATCTAGTTCACAAGAAAGCAAGTCTTTAAAAGCTATCAAGTCTCCGAGTTTGCAACGTCCTGATTTGCTAGATAACTACAATGTGACTGGAAATTCGAAGTTCAATAAACTGACATATGTTAAAAAAATTGAAAACGAATATAAAAAAATAAATTCAAATTTTAATGAAGAGGTAGTTGGTATCAAAAAGAGGAAAAAGAAGTATAAGAAAAAGAGTAAACAACCTCATAATAAGCCACCCATGAAATCTAATTCTGAAAGTTCACCTAAAGAGAATAAACATCCTATCGCTGGTACGTCAAAAGGAGAAGAACAAATGGAACATACTCATGAGTTATCTGTAAATAAAAATACTAATTTAAACAATGATCTAAAAGAAAACGAAAAGGATGATATAAGTGAAGAGGATGCTGGTATCAAAAAGACGAAAAAGAAGCATAAGAAAAAGAGTAAACAACGTAAAAATAAGCGACTCATGAAAGCTGCATTGAAGTCAATGCCACAATTGTAATCTTATGGGTCCAATGAACGAAATAATTTTTAGTAATATTGATGACCGAAAAATAAGAAAATAGATTAAAAGGCATGTAAGTGGATCCACGCAAGCCTGATTATTTTATCAAGTTATCACTTTTTTAGCTACTGATTTAGTCTAATATTATTAGTTAATTTTAATTGTGTGTAATTTGTATGTTTTTTGCTGTATTGTGTGCATTTAATGAAATTTTTTTTATCGTCTAAACTCTAAAGAATAATACATTAATTACATGTATTATATATTGACCCGGCTTTCATTATAAATTTGCTATTATATATTTTATGCTTACAATTATATTGTATCCTAAAAAGCCTTAAATATTTTTGTAGTCATAGGTACAACACTTAGACCTAATTTTTTAATGGCTGGGGATTTAATTGTGGACAGCTAAGAGGTTGGCGGTGGTTATTGGATCTACTATCCCATTTTATCACTTATACTATAAAATATGAAATCTAACTTTTTATATCTACATTCTTGTACTATTTGCTAATGACATCGCGGACCAGTCTCTTTATTTTTGAAATGAATGGTGTTAAAAATATTATTGAACATAAAAATCCTTTTATTGGATCGTCATAGAAATCCATTTCATCCGCATAAAATATCGTCATTATGTTTTTGTAAGTGTTCCTGTCAGTTTTGTTATATAGTTGGATTTTTTGCGATGCATTAGGAGTTCTCCTAATTGTTGTGCCTATGGTTTTAATTGGAAAAAAACATGTATTATTTTATTATTCATAAAATAAATGAATGGTATTTTGTTGTAGGTACAGACTACAGATGCTTTAGTTTTCAAAAGTGTTATCATTATAAATTTAATAACAATGATTCATGTTATATTTTCTAATATTCTAATATTTTGAATTCATTTTATCTTATATCTTATAATATAATGGCTTGAAATAAAACGGTTGTATAATAAAAGCTTTATAGCGTTGATAATAGATTACTAAACTACTATTTGTGAAATAAAGGCGACATGGTTACCCATGTTCAGTAATTATTCTACTATGAAAAAGCGTTTTTTTCAATGTTTTGTACAATTGAAATCCAAACTAACCCTTATTATGTATGTATATGTATACATTTCTTCACATGGACTATGGACGTTCTCAATATCTTAGTTCAGAGGTATAAAAATTAAAATAGAAAATAATTAGCTAACAGAAGTACATAAAGCAATATATATATATATTGTTTCATATGTTTTGAATCATTATTAGATTTTCCGAAAACTTAAATTACAAAAATATACAAAAAGGAACACAATATCATCCAAAGGTACTTAAGTTAAAAGATTTAAAATCAATAATAAATTTCAAAAAACAATTTAATAAAATTCAAATTTTTTACAAATAGTAGATAAATGGAGAATGGTACAAAGTTACTTTGCAATATATTTGATAATCATTATGATATGGGAAAAAAGTTGGTACCCATATTTCGACTACCAAAAGTTTTATATGGAAACTAGCAAGTTATTAATAATTAGTGTGCAGATAAAAATTTCGAAATTGCTCTACCACACTTATTATAAAATATCAATCAATTATACGTAATAAGAGTTGAAAAGTTCAGTACTTTCTCTCCGTTTCAATAAATGTTAACGCAATTTAAATAAATCGTGGGCGTGTACTCAATAATGACTGTGACATTTTTACGTAGTTTTCAGTATTATTCAATAGGTATAACATTATTTTTATATCCATCTGTTTTCTATTTTTGGACATTTAAACATTTATCGTATTTCTCAAATACGATATTGGTACTGACTCATACTGTATTTGATTTGCTTTTTAATATGAAAATAGGTTTAAGAGGTTGCACGCGGTGTGTTTAAGGAGTTTTATATAGGCTATAAAATATAAGCAAATTATTAAACGATTTTAATCAATTTCGACAAAAAACAGACCGCAATCCCCTTAAAACGTCAAAACTGTGTATTTGCCGACAATGTTAAAACTGAATGGGGACATGGACCCTGCGCAGAAGTAGGTGGACATCGATTTTATTTATGGTGGGGTGGACGAAGAACGGAGTGAAATTATTCCAGTCACGAAGGCCAGATGAGCTCGATCGATCCACAGCTACCACTTTGTGTAAGTAGTGGTTGGTGTTCTGAAATCTGAGTCACCGTTTTGAAGTTACGGCCATTTGTTATAAATACATTTTTTACAATATTTATTTGTGAACATTTTTTTTTTAATAGCGGCATCTGCCCAATGTGCTGTACTTTGCACAAACATGTTTGTGGGGATTTGAAACACATAGGTCGCATGATCTATTAGCGTACCTACCACCGACTGTGTTGCTATCTTGAATCGATTTTTTAGGTGTATAGTTCATTTTGTTTATACTACTAAAAATATTAAGTATAATTTTTTAAATGCCAATCCGTGTTTGTAATTAAACGACGATTGTTAGTCGTTATTTTAACAGTTCACAACTGTCTTAAAAAGAGGTTCAAAAAACATAAATATATATTTAATTATCATTTATCAATAGCAGTATTCCTATAATTAGTTTTTCTATTTCTATTTGTATGTGTGAGCACTGCTCATCATCAGTGCTCACGTGTATGATACAACAATCCATTTAAAAATAATTGTTCTTCATAGTTATTGTTTATTGTAAAAAATCAATATTTTATTTCTACTGAATTCAGTTTCTTCCTAATAGTTCTTTAAAATATTCGAGTTAATGGGCTATGAAAAAACTGTCAAACAGCTGTAGGTTTGTAGGACTGCGAAATGTCTCGTCTTGGGCTATGATAAATGAAACGTTGATACTCGATAACATTTTTTTACTTTGCCTTTCGGTAAATGGGCTTTTGGAAGTTTCACCACCATACAACAAAATACTCCATTCGTAGCTTTTGGCAAAGTTTTTTTAGTGATTAGTTGTTTTTATTATGTGAAGGGTCTCATTGCCATGGCTATTCGGTGTCTTATTAGTTATTTCTGCCGAACATCTGCTGTCATTGGTTGGTGTACTTCCTAAATATTTATACTGTTGTACGTGATCAATTGTATATTGGGGTGCCTGTTCTCTTTACTCCCAATTCCCATGACTTTTGTTTTTTTTATATGGTTCTACATAAGGTATCGATTTAGCTGTCGTAGATATTATATTATATCTATGGGTTTAATCTACACATGCGGTAACCTTGGTAACTATCATAGATAAGATATTTGAATATTATGTTATCATTGGATTCTGATAAATAGTAACGAAAATTAAATTTGACAAAATAATATGTCAAAATCTTAGTTAATCTTAGTTTGTGGTAATTAGTCAAATCATACTTTATATTTTGCAATTAAACTATAACAAGTGTGTAATTAATGGTGTTATTATTAGGTAGTCCAATTTATGTAAGTATAATATATAGCAAGATAAATAAATAGTAAAATGTATTATCCGTTTTTTTTTTAAGCTACAACTTCATAATTTAAAACTCGGAGGCCTTTCTACGTCTTGGATGTTTAAACACTGTTAGTGTGCTAAAAAAGTATTAAAATGTCCAACTTCAATATTGGAGATTTAGTTTGGTAAGATCACGGCTTGGAATATAATGGGTTTTTTTTCATTATTGAAACGTTAAAATAACATTTAAATAACCAAAACGTTTCCATAATGAAAACAAGTAAGGAAAAGTCCTTGTTATTTATTATTTTCAAGCCCGAGGTAAGTACTATCATTTGTTACGATGTCGACTCTCAAACTTGATCATTATTTCATTTAAAATATTTAGTATTGCATATTTTTTAAATAAAACAAATTACATATTGCTTTTGTTCTATGAAGCAATAAGTTAATTCATTCAATCATTAATATCTAATTTGTATACTAATTTATAAATCACAACAGCTTAAGTCCAATTTTGGCCATTAAGAGTTTTGTAATGAAAATTAGCATTATTGACGTAGCGTTAAACAAAACGTTCTAATAATAGCAACCCAACTTTTCTAATACTGATAACATGGGGTTTTAAATTCTATAAATTGCAAAAGCCTCTGAATTACTTATTAATTATCAGTATAATGTATCAAACGTAATATTTGTTCAATTTCATTAGTAAACATTAATAGACTTTTTCATTACTATTAAATGATTTGTGAAATCAACTAATTAAGTTAATAATAATGATTGTAAAGGCATTGCTACATTTTATTTTATGATGATACTTATTAATATTATTTATTGGTATCGTTAGACATTTTATATGGTCTTGCCATTCCTAAGAATCTGTGTAAAAACCGATTACTTACTATTATAAAATAATAAATAATAAATCATGTGTAAAATTTAAATTGCAAACTATAAATAAAAAAATATCATTATTAAAAAGGCTACTTTTCTACGATATAATGTATGATTTCTTAACGTAAATATTAATTTCAGGGCAAAGATGAAAGGTTTTCCTCCGTGGCCTGGACTTGTAAGTACCTATTTTATTTAAAATTAAACACTAACACTAAAATTTAGCAGTATACTAATGATAGTATTGTATCATGGTTATAGATTTCTGAGCCACCTGACATCTTAAAAGGAAAAAATGGCGAAGGTAAAAAATGTGTGTATTTTTTTGGAAGTGCAGATTAGTAAGTTTCTTTTAATAATATAATTTGATTAGTGCAGACTGCAGTGGCTCTGAAGGTTCAAAAATGTAATAGAGCAACAAATTGTCTGTTATAATTTTTTTTTTTTTTTTAACATAATTATAACTAAATAAGTGTAAAAATTATAAGGCTATCAGTTAAATGTAATCAAAGAAGTCTGGCGTTGGCCAAAACACAACATCGACTTCAGCGCCATTGTTAACAGTCCAAGAAAAAAGCATCAACATTTTTCCCATGTTTGAAAAATACCCATAGTTTTGAAATTTGGTTTAACTCTCAGTCTTATGATACACTATACTTATTTTATTACTTATTCAATTTTATTAAACAATTAAACCAAATTTCAAGACTTTGGGAATTTTTTTTTCTGGTGATAGTGCTTTATTTCCTGAACTATAATAAGTGTATTATGTATTCAGTGGCATATTTACTAGAGGTTAGCAGAATGATATTGACTGCCCCAGAATTTTTAAATTTAATATAAATGTTATAACCATACAAATATTACTGATAACATAGGCAATTTGGGCAAACTGCTATAAAACATTTAACATTTTATTATATTATATTTAATAAATAAATGTAAGGCAATCTATATTTTAAATATTTTTTTTAGATATTTTATACAAACATGTTTTGATAAAAAGCAAACTTTTTAAAATGTGCTTAAAATACATTTTGTCTTTTTGTAACTTAAAAACAAACAAACTGTATGTTACAAACTAGGGTTGGGCCTATCCGGTTATTTGGATATCTGAATTATCCGGATAATTCGGATACGGATATCCGAAATCCGGATAGTTTCGGATATTCATTTAATTTTTATAAGACAAATATATCTTAATAATATATAGTGTTTTTAAACATACCGAATAATAAAATAATGACACCTAATTAAATTTTACTATCACATGAATGATTTTTAGATATATCCGTGTCAGTGGTTATTAACCGACTATTCGGACTCTTTGCAGAGTCCATCCTCAGGGTTGTCACGACTGTTCCGCTGCCGGTTAATAACCACTGACACGGATATATCCGAAAATCATCCACGTGATATTTCAACCCGTGAAAGTTTCAAAAAATACATAAATTTGAGTACTCAAAAAAATATATTCGGCTGGTTAAAAATTAAATGAATATCCGAAACTATCCGGATAATTTTTAACTATTCGGATAGTTTTGGTTCTAAAGATAATTGGAAATATTATTTGATATCCGAAATTATCCGGATTTCGGATATCTGTATCCGAATTATCCGGATATCCGCAAAATCCAAATATTAGTCCCAACCCTATTACAAACAATTTCTTACATTGTATATAAAGCAAAAAGCATGGTTCACGTGTTTTGGTCTGGCCATTAGGATAACAAGAATTATATAAGGGGGTTAGGGGGCAATGTTTTTTACATATCACCCTCTAGAAGAAAATTGTAAATACACCACTGTATGTATAAAAAGGTAAAAATGTATGAAAGGTTGAACAATAATTTTATATATTTTTGATAAAATTACATGTTTATAGTGCTTGGATTAAAAACAATTTAATTAAGCCGTATTTCAAGTATGAACATGAATATAAGCAAAACTACAAAACCGCCGATTTTATAAAAGCAATTGAAGACGTTGAAAAATACATTGATAAAAATATGGTTACATTTTACAAAAAAGTAAAATAAATATATGATGATAAAAATCATGTATGCATAACATTAATTTTACTAATATATTAATATTTGTATATTTATATTAGGCCAAGTCACCAGTGGCACCTAACAAAGAGGATATTGAGCCATTTAGTCCATGGAACAATATGCCTTGTACTGTATTGAATTTAATATTTAAAAAGCTGACTCATAATGAACGAAAAACAGCATCTTCTACTTGCAAGAGTTGGAGAAAAGCTCTTTACCATTCTGCATTTTGGACTAATTTCACTATTTTGATAGTTCCCAAGAGTGATAAATGTATAATTGACAACCGCATTGATTATCTAAACTGCCATATAATACCTTTGGTGAGGAACTTGAGATTATGTTTTGATACTCGTAGTGAGCTGTGTGTTAAACTAGTCATATCAGTTATAAAAAGTTTAAACAACGGATTACTGAAAAATTTAGATATTGAGTCCATTTATTGTGATACTGTACTTAGTGAAGAGTAAGTGTTTGCTTAATTTTTTTTTTTTTTAATGTATCGCTTAATTTAACGTTATATTTTCAGCGATAAAACTGAAGATCTCGTCATTTCATTCTTATCCCTAGAGTTGAAAATTGTAAAATTAATATCTACAACAATGTCTTTGGAAGGATTCAGTTATAGTGGTGTTCTTTTTAACAAATGGCGTGAACTAATGTTAAGATTATCTCAGAACAGCCACCGTACAATGTGTCGATTAGAGCTTGCATCTGCCGGAGTAAGAGTTGGGAATTTTGGAGAATATGTATTGACGTTAAATGAATCTGTAGTATGCGATCCATTCGATAGTTTCATATCCTTATCCAACTTGAAAGTAAGTATTTCTTAGAAAACAATATGATTAAAACAAGAATTTTTAAATATTGTGTTATAATATTTTAGATATTGAGTATTGACTACAATCAGTTTACCTGCCAACTATTTCCAGCCATGAGTTCAATGCATAAGTTAAGATCGTTAGTTCTACACGTTCATGAAGATCCAGTGACTGAATTGTCTGACGAATTTTGGGTAGACTTTAAAAACAATTGGTAATATGGTTATACTATTTGTATTTGACCAGTTTTTTAAAAATATAATTTTTTAATACTATATAAAATAACTTTAAAGACATGGGCATTTTATACGTTCCCCATAATTTTTTATCTATTTTATTTGCCTATTAAAATTCTTTTACTTTTTCTAATTCCATTATCAAACACCTAAAATATACTCTTTAACATTTTATTAACCTTTATTGTTCTCGCTTAATTTCTATAGTTCATAAAAACTTGAAATTTAACTGAGAATTAGTTAATAAATTATTTAGTTGAAAAATGAAGTTGTTATTTAACAATAATTATTTCCAATAAAATGTTATTTAATTAATAAAAATGAAAAATATGTTGTTTTAGTCCAGACGTTGAAGTTAAGTTGACAATTATAAATTGTCTAGAAGTTATCCAGCATTTGCATACTAAAATATTCAGACCATCTATTCCACTAATACAACTTAAAGTGCTCTTCTGTTGTATGGTATGTTTTAAAAAGTCAAAAAAATTGTTTTATACATTTTGTTAAACTATGTATTACTGTAATAAGTAAATCTAACGAGACTGAAGATAGATTTGCGAATTAGTCATAAATGTCCAAACCCCAAGAAACTATAGGTACATTTGGACCAGTAAACTGGTTATTTACTGGTCTCTTGTCATGTGCTTCACATGATAACAAATTTTTAATAGATACCTGTTATATAATATAATTATTGATTATTATATTATATTATTTTGCATTTTATTAGATATCGAGTTTATTAAAAGGTCTTGTCGATTTTAAAATTATTTCCAAATGTACCTATAGTTTCTTGGGGTTTGGACATTTATGACTAATTCGCAAATCTATCTTCAGTCTCGTTAGATTTACTTATTACCATTACTAAATACTTAAAGTTGTAACAAAAATTGTTTTAATAACATTTTATTTAACTTTTAGATGAATATTCAAGTAATACATTATATCCTACAACATTATAGAAATACTATGCGTTCTTTGACGTGGGTAGATGGGCATGGTACTACCAATCCAGCTTGTTTGATGGAAGGTCCATTTGAACCTGTAGAAAACATTGATGAGATTAACATTGAAATAGATGAGGATATGAATCCTCTTTTACCACTATTAGCGCATTGCACTCAACTCTCTGAACTCACTGTGATTGGTATATTCATGACTAAAAGAAAAAATTAAATAACAATTTTTTTAATTTCATTAAAACATTGTTTTAAACCGCATAAAAAAAAACATGCATTTTTGAGCTACTATTGTACAATGTAACAAAAACAATTTTTTTTTTACTTCCTCAAAAAAAAAAAATGTTTTGCAATGCTAGCTAAAGCTTCTGGCCATTTACTGTAAAACAGCTGCTATACAATGATAGCCGAAAATGTATAGTAAAATAAAGTTGACAATTACAATTTTTTAAAGAAACAAAAACTTAACGATTTGGCTATCAAAATTAATATTTTGTCACACAGCCTGTGCAAAACTTTTTTTACTTAATACTGCATCGATTAAAAATAATATATATTTTTTAAAAAAATTTTCTAATAATTTAATTAAACAATTATTTGAATAAACTCTGACTGTATAATATGTAGTTAGTATTTAAAGTAGCTTTTTTAATTCTAGGGTATTTTATGGATCCATTAGACATTTGTGTGATGTCTAGATTGAGGGGAAGAAATTTGGAATGCTTCAATATTATGGAAAGTGATATTTGTCTTGATAGGCCATGGAACAAAATTAAACTTTCTAAAATTAAAAAGGTGATTATAATATAAATGTACTAATTAATATTTATGTATTTTTATTCAATACTATAATACTATTTCTATATATGTGAGGTGTAAAAGGAAAAGGGGCTTCTTTTTTTTGTAGTCTCGAGACTCCAAATTGCAAGAGAGGCCAAAAACAGGGCTTTGATCAGGGCTGAAAACATATTTATAAAAAAAAAATTGTTATCGGCTTAAGGGCACCTTAATTTTAATTTTTGGTTTCATTCATCAAGCATGTAAAATAATAAGTTGGCAATATTTCAAAAATGTAAAGCGTTTTTTTCTCAAAAAACTCATTTTTCAAAAAAAAAATTCGAACAAATATAACTCTGATAATTTTAAGATAGGAGAACGATTCTGGTCTCTAATTGTTCAGAACTTAGAAGAACCGATAACTCAAAATTTGATTTTTACAACATGAGGTCCCTTTTTATTTTTGTCTCACATAATATATTATATTTTTCAGTATGTATATATTCATTTATTTTAGTTAAATATTATAATACTATTTCTTATGGGCAATTTTTAAGATGTATCCATGTCTTCATATCTGAAGAATGTTTATATCTAAAAACTATCTACATAATATTTCAATCTGTGAGGGCTTTAAAACATTCAAACACTACTATATATTAATATTTTTAGGTTGTATCAAATAGGCTGGGTAGAGAATGGAGTCCATTGAAATCTACCGACTTACCACACTGTACTAAATCATATACTTTAAGTTCTACTTTAAGAGACGCTAGCAGTACATCTGTGTTACACCATTCAAACTGTTATACTAGTTAAACGGCAACAAAGTCACTTTAACATTATTGGATATGAAATTCATATAACAGTATTTTATTTTATTTTGTTCCTCATTGTTAACATATTCTTAAAAGAGTATCAATTAATTTGTTTTATTTTAAAATGTATTTTTTTTTATATTGAGCCAGCTTGTTAAAGTTCAAACAAGGTTTTTAAAAATAAATTTATAAAATATTGATTGTTGTTTAATTTTTTTTTTTTTATGATTAGCTGAAAATGGAATATTTATACATTCATGTTTTTTTCTACTTGAAGAAGTTTTTTATGTATTTCTGTGGACTTAAGAATTATATTTTACAATATTAATATGAATTTTTTACAGGTGACAAACATTCTACAAAAAATTGCATAAAAAAAAATTAAGGGTAACATTGTAATGAAGCTTTGAGATGCATATATTTTTTGACTCCTGAGTAGTTACAATATTTACCTTAAGCTAGTCGTCAAATTCACTTAATCCACCTATCAATTGGTTAGTCTCGTTCTAGTTATTGAACCATTCTCAATTCTCATGCTTGTGATAAACCCGCCTATGTTAGAATGGGAATAAGACAAATAATAATGTAACACTTATACTTCTATTTTTGTTTTATTAAAAACTAAAACAAAATCACTATACGAAGATTAAATTTTCAAATATATTATTAGATAAAAATTGATAATAAAAAAAATCAACATTTATTTATAAAATTACATTTTAGTTGATAACTTATACGTTAAACAAAATAATTCCACATTAAAAGAAAAGGTAAGAAATTTTATTTACAAATTATACTTAAACAAAGTTTCATAATAGCACAACACATTTAAAACACAGTAATTGCAACCATGGAATTGTCTTAGAAATGCTACATTTGTATTCTCTTGCTTGTGGGTCACGAAAATAAATTAAGGATGTAAAACATTCATAAGGCACAATTTTTTTGCACGTCCCACATCGACCTACTGTATCAAACAAGTGCCAGAGTGTTCTAGGTATATTTTTTCTACTGAAGGTAACATGGTCACGTATAATTGAGCAAATACTGAGGGACACTAAATTCTTATAACTCAAAGGTGTTCCCCATTCTCTTGCAACATTTTTACAATTTTCATGAAACTTGTCTAAAATGTCAATGTCTTGTTGGTAATTTAAAAAATTATTTTGTGCAAGATCTAGTAATAAGAACTCCTTCAGAGATAAACGGGCCGGCATAAATCTTAACTTATTGTCCGATAATGAGAGCGAGTGCAACTTATCTAGTTCTCCAATACAGTCTGGCAAATGTGTCTAGAATCAAAATATTCAATATTTTTATATAAATAATTTAAAAACTACTTCACTTCAGTCCAGTATAGTAAATAACTTCAAGTATTAACAAATATCAATTTTATATTTATAATAAACTCACCAATTTATTTTTTGTTAAAGATAAACTTTGAAGATTTCTCAAAAACATTATCTCAAATGGCACTATAGTCAAATTTACGGAATCAATGTTGAGGTTTTTCAAAGTATTTCCAATAGTAGTTTTAGACATCCAATCCCAAAAGATGTCTTGATCATATTGTGATGAAGTAGCCAGTTTACTGCCCGCCAAGCTGAGAAACGAAATTGGTAGATCACCAATTTGTTCGGGTAAAGTAGGTAGAACACAGTTTTCTAAAATAAGCGAATTCAACTGTCTCATATTTAAAACACGTCTATCGAAACGGTCAACGGCTTTAAATTCACGAGCTGCAGGATCAAAACGGTTGACGTCTTTTTTCGCGGGTACTTTATTAGGGATTAGGCGAGTGCCGATTTTTACATCTTTTCCCTTAATAATATCCTCGAGCTGTCGTAAAAACATGAGTAGCATTTTAGTGTCATCGGCTTTGACCGAAATCTGATGCTTCGGCTGTTTGAATCGTAGTGTGATTTTTCCTTCTTTGGCGAATTTCGCGTGTACTGCTTCCAAGTTTTTCACGTTATAGTTAATACAATTTGGATACATTGAATTTTTAATACACAGAACATAATTTCCATTTACCTTTTTACTCAATAAACACGAACGAAGAGGCCGGATTTGATTTTGTACCGGCATCGATTGATCCTGAATGGATATTGAACCGTTAATCAACATCTTTCGGACGTTTACAATATCAGGGACTCTTCAATTAACTCCTATATGTCACTTTGGTCATAATGGCATAAAAATTATAAATAATAACTGACAAATATTATCATTTATAGAATTATTGGTAATTGAAGAGCACTGAAACCAAATCTAGCAAAGATAGGTTTTTGGATTACATTTATTCATATTATTGTAATTTGTAACGGGCATAGAATCATGGAAATTGGCAAGATAACACGAATAAATAGTTGATAAGTGTTTTGTTAATCAACGTTTTTACCGCCTTTTTATTTTTTGCGTCCCGTGTGAACTGAGAAAATCCGCAGCAAAAATGGAATTGAGAGCATATTACATTATTATATGATTAATATAAATGTATAAGTACCTATTTAACAATTTTATTTATAATTTATAATGTGTACCGGTCATGTTCTTTTCAATTTCAGTGATACATAACGTTACTACAATCCGTAAGCAAAAATCTATTGTTAAGTGTTAACTCGGCTCCTATATTCATTTATTTAAGGCCACATTTCCAAAAATTAAAAAAAATAATTTAAATAAAAATTCAGAATAAATTTAAATGTAAGCTCTTCTTCTTCGCCTTATTTTACAAGAATAGGATTGGCCAGCCAAATTCGATCCCTCCACAAATCTCGATCAAAATCCATATCCATTGACATTTCTTTATTTAACTTACAAATTTCTTACTCTGTGTTACGTTCTCATTTCAGCCACTTCAACTTCCAATTTCTTTTCATCTATCAGCTATCTTATTTTGTGCTCAACACTCACTTCCAAACATTATTTCTGGCTATTTACTGGATAAATAAAAGTGTATTTGAAATTAAAAATTAAAATTTCCTGGTCCTCTCTTCTCTTATATAATAACCGTACGCTTTAGATGATAGGATAAGAGAAGCTATTTGTTATATCTACTTATTGTAAAAAAAAAAAAAGATTTAAACTTTATAAAACTATAATACAATTACTTTTATTTTACAATTAAAAAATAAGTGTTATTATTCCATATTTATTTTATTAACTAATTAAAATACTACAATATTACAATATACCTATATTCTATTAAATTATACATATTATATATATAAATATTATAATAAATTCATTATTACTATGTACACAATATAATGGACAAAAGCCATTTTTGGTTGTGATCAATTTATTTATAAGTGCATAGTATGCACTTACACTGCTATTTTATTTACAATCAACAAATGTGATTATAGAATCTGTAAAGAGACAAAAAATTCAAAAATAATTTAAGGTTATTGAAGTTTGATGCAATCTATCAGATAATTGATGTGTGTTAAAAAATGAATATGATATTCAATTATTTTTACTAAATTTAATTATTGTTATAAAATATAAATTTATTTTTTGACCTAGAAACTCATAAAGTTATGCTAATACTAAAATGTTTAAACTATTATAGAACACCTTCACAATTAACCCAATACTAAAGTGCAAAATACACATGATTATATCAACAAACACGTTAACAATAATTTTGATTATACACCAATTCCACAGCCAATAAACCTCATTTTATTTTAACTATAAAAATATGTAACATTGAAATTTTTATGAATATAATTATAATATTGAAATATTTAATACTTAACATATTTTGTAAAATATTAAAACGAGTATAAAAAATATGTACATAACCTGACACCATTAGACTATAGTATAGAAATAGAGTCTAACATAATAAAAAATTGTATAACAAAAATATATAATTTATAAACTACACATGAATTCAATTTTCATCAACAAAACACGTTAACAATAATTTTGATTATTCACGAATTCTACAGCCAATAAACCTCATTTTATTTTAACTATAAAATATGTAACATTGTAATTTGTATGAATATAATTATAATATTGAAGTATTTAATACTGAACATATTTTGTAAAATAATAAAACAAGTATACAAATCTGTATATAACTTGACACCACTAGACTATAGTATAGAAATATTTAGATACGATTTATTAAATCGTACAACAAAAATATATAATATATAACTGGAAACAAAAAATATTTTGCCATCATATCAATCATAAAAAAAGAACAACAATAACCAAAAAAAATATAACAAGAGCTAAAACATAAGACAAAAATTACAAAACCAAGTAACATGAGAGAAAACAAAGTTTGTTAAAAATATATTATTATAATATTTAACTTATAATTTTGTTATAATATATTTTAAGACTTTTTATAGTTCAATCGTTTTCAGGAACAATAAAAGTGTGTCCGGTCTGCTTCACAGTGTTTCTGATTATATTTGTTGGTCTCAAATCTCCGATATTTCTCGTAAACCGTAAACCATGTCCTACTGTGTCTAATGTCTCTTCAGTTACACCACCTACATTATTACCATACCTATGAAATATATAATTATAACAGTATGACTATTTTAGAAGATTTTTTTTTTTCATACTTGTGGCGAACAATTAGGACCGTATTATCTCTAATGCTTGTGCCCAACATGATTCCAGATTGTTCTAATCCATCATAAACAATTCCCAACCCTTCAATAGCACCAGCTGCGATGTCTAGAGCATTGGACATTTGTCTTGACGCCACATCTGAATTCATCCCAGAGACACCGGTTAATATTTTCGTGCCACCTTTGTGGACATGTGGAGCCAAAAATTTGCCGAGCGCACATGAAGCTAATCCTACCTTATCGGCTAAATTCATAAAAAAAAAATATATATCTACATATTTTTTATAACTATAATATGTCATGTTGTTAGAATTTCATAGTATAACTACAAAAATGCTTTCAATAGTTTTATATAACATACTTAGTGGACTTACCGACAAAACAGGTAACATTAGCAGCTTTGGAGGTCACATTTTTAGCCACTCTAACTCCACGTTCTATTTTGTGGTTAACACGTCTTTCATTCTGAGATGGTGGGAGGTAGTTCAATAGGCCAGGAGTAGAATTGTTGATGAAATCTGTGGTTTTTTCAGCACCTTTTACTAAGCCACTCGAAATATACATTGCTCCCTTAATGATATGTGCTGAAATTTTACGACCTTGTTCCCGAGCTGAATCATTTGTTCTAAATGATTTTTTTAGAATATCTTCCAATACTTCAGTGAACAATTCTAAATGCTCTGGTGGAACTAACACGCCTATAGAAGTATCGGTAGTTTGGAGATCAGGAAAAACAAATGCACCATAATCGGTGCGCAGACACGGCGAAACATTGGCGACAAGAGGATAGTATATATCTTCTATGCAAAGAAAGCAACGTGGTTCTGTGTTTTTTTCACCTATAAATTTTAATAATTTTATTTTTATAATTTTCACCTATAAATTCAATTAATAAAAAAAAAGCTCAATACTATATAGAATGTAAGTATTACTACTAGTAGTACTGTCAAAAAACAACAATTTTTTTTGGCTACCCCTGAATCGTTTTTATGTGTTGAAAAGAACAAATGTTTAAAATTTCAGCCTCCTAAGACACTCTAAATGGTTCCTGCTAATTTCTATAGAGCCAAATTATCTCCTTTGAATTTATCCGCAAAAATAATTTTTTTAAAAATCATCAAAACTTATTGATATTTTTTTTAATTTATAAATACTAACATAATATATTTGTAGTCTTTTCTCAGTTTTTAAATTTGTTACAATGATTTTTTCTTCATACACTATCTCTAAAAATGTATTTATATGCATTTTTAACCAATCGTTTTTAATTTAATTAAGGTTTTTCTATCGATAATAATAAACATGATCAATTGTCTAGTAGGACATTTGAACACAAAAACGATTCAGGGGTAGCATAAATGTTTATCAGCGAGTCTAGTAGGTACACTTTATTCATGTTCATATTAACCTTCAATCATAAAAATTTTTATGATAGATTTTTCTGATGGCGATGTAACCTGTCCATTAGCAGGGATAAAAAATACTTGAGATTCATTGCAGCTAAAAATTACAGTAGCCATAGATTGATGTTCAATGTCCGTTTGCAAGTCAGTCAACATTGATGTCAGCTGACTATACGACACTGGCGGTTCGGGTACGTCAATGTCCTGTTGAAGATCAGAGGCTAACGAACGCTCTTCGTCAGACCGAATTGTTTCCTGATACGACGGAGGGCTTTCTATTGGTCTTTCTACGACCATAGCAGAACCGCTAGCTCTTTGTAATTCCATAACTTTGTTTAAAATCTCTTTCCTAAACATACAAAATGCAATGTTTAGACAATAATTATCTACATTACAACGCACAGCAGTTAACGTTGTTACTTTTCCGTTCGCAAATATTGAAGAATGTTTTCGACAGCTATCCATTCAGAATTTGGTTCGGCTGGACGTGGTAAGGGCACCAACAGAGCATCGTCAATGAGAATCAAGCATTTTTCATATTCCAATAGAGCCTGTAGTGTAGAAATCAACAGCGAAAAATCGTCATAAGTGAAATTGTATTATTGAGAGTTCAAAAAAACTTACCAAATTGGACTTGCCCTGTCTTTCTAAATCCCGTGCTTGACGCAAGACTCCAAAAAACTTATCTGTGGCGGCTCGGACAATTGCGCACGATTCCGCTGTGTTCGTCTTCGAAGTAGACTCCATCATGTACGTTGGGGGGTTTGAAATAACTATTAGCTTTATATCATAGATGTAAAATTAAAAACAACCTGTCCACAAAATATAATATAATGATAAATAATTGTTGTAGTTGGAAACCAAAAGTGAAATGATTATGACGTATTGTGTGTGTGCTGATACCTACGTCTAGTCAATGGTGTTATGTAAAAGATGATTTAAGTCTTTAGGACGTTGTAGATGGCTCGACGCGGTTCGGTTGTTCTGAGTTGAGTGAAGTAAGAACCGACGAGACTCGAAGAGGTTTTCACTTTTCGTTCAACCTTGCAAGAATTTAACCAACACAATCTTAATTATTAAATGTTGTGTTTTTTTTTTACACTGATAACGCGTGAAAACAATACTTTATGGTGGGAACCGTCGACTTATCACAATGAATAATGATAATAATTAATATTACATAATACCTACGTTCATACAGAGGCGAACTGGGGTGAATTAAAAATCGGTCCACACAGATATACGATTTGGTCCATTAATTACATAAAATTCAACTCTCATCGGTTAGTTTATGTGGCAATAGTGAATTTAACGAGCTCAATAGACCCAAAACAGCCGTCTTCTCGCCTTCTGACCCAGGCCGCCACTGCATTCATAGTAATATAAACATTAGATAGCATTTTGAAAACAACGCAGTGAGCACAAATACGTCACGATGAAGACCAGAGTGACGTCGAAGGTTCTAATGAGTGGAATAATACAATAATAATATACCTATGGTAGTTGAATTATTATAGTTGTTACCTATGGGCTATGACTAATATATCATCACATGTACGGTTTAAGTACGGTCAATAGTATAGACCAACGTACGTCGGACACGTTGTAAATCGGTGCAATTAAAAGTAAGACTCATTAACCGGTCAGGTTACATATTTTATAAAGGCATTACTCACCACACTATTTACAGCTAGTGCATATTATTATTACAAAATTTAAACAAGCCGAATGTGAAACCAATGTATATAGACGTATGCGTTGGTGAGTCATTCCGAATATGAATACAGTGACGAGTTCTAGAATTTCCCACTGGTTTATATAATTTATATAGTTTTTTGCAACTAATAAATAATATTAATATTCAATATTATAATTTATAGGTATGACTGTCAAGACCATTTTATGTTTACTGCTAAAAAAATTATTAGTATTAGGTACTATTTATTTGTTGTAGTTTAATATTTATTAGATAATATTAAAATAATAATACTTTCATGCATAATTATTAATTATTAGGTGTACATTTTAAATTGGTGTGCACTAGGACTAGGGCTGAGATCATACAATTGTTCATAGTAAACGTGAAGAGATGTAGAGCCAATTATTATGTAATTATTATTTATAACTTATGCCTCGATTTATAATAAGGTATTATTTATTAACTACTCGTACACGCAGGCTGCGTTATTACTTTTTATTATAACTTTTAAACGTCAATTTGCAGTGAAATTAACTGCATTTTATTTAGGCTCTTCTCTTCGATATCTATAATTAATTTCTGGGAACCTTCAATTATGTAACTTAGTTTGGGTAACCTTTTGAAGAAAATAGATTTAACCCCGAGAGACCCTATTATGATTTTAAGTTACATAAATTATCGAAGGTATAGTATTATGCGATTCTTCAACTATCCATTTTTTAAATATGATTATGGATCAACTGTTTTCAGCTTATTTTTGAGAAAATGAATCCTAGAATGTAATCAGTTAATGTAAAACATGTAAGATTACAATAATAAATAAAAATAAACAATTATTCTTAAATTTATTGTTAAACTTAATTATTAAAAAAAATAATGATTTAATTCAACTAATTTTACAATAATTTATAAATAATATAATTAATTTGATAGCTAGAAGGTAATTTAATGTTTCTCGTGCGTTATAACTTTAACGTATTTCGAAATAAAAAACATAGGTAGTGACTTTGATTTCTGAAAGGTTTAATATGATTTAACAATTCAATGAAGTTATGTATATTTGAAGCGTGACAAATTTGAAGTGTTTTAATAAAAAGATAAACATTGAGGTGTTTAATTCTTATTAAATTTTAGAACTTATTACTAAATACTTTACAATTCACTAAAATATATAGTATAAACACAGTTCGTGCAAGTTGAGTCTAAATTAATTCAGAAACCATAAAATCAGTTATTTTTAATGTTTCGCAAATAATAGATGTGAGTATCTAAAGAAAAATCTACAGTTTTAAATTGTTTTCAACGGGCATTATTTTTATGTATGCCCCTAATAATATTATTTTAATTTCCACGATTCCACGAGTGTGAATTATCACAAACGCCATCGTCGTAATCGAAAAACTATTTAAAATACATTTTAGGTAGATTAAGATTTTTTCTTTATTTGATTTTATAGGACAATTAACTATATAGTCATTATTGACCATATTGTGTGATTATTGGTGTTGTACTTGTACGCCGCTCGCGTATAACTCGTTAGGAATAATATAGTACCTACACACACACACGGGACACAAAAATACATAACATAATGTAATAACAATAAACAATAAAAGTAATTTTGATGTAGCGCGCGCGCACAACACGAGGCCACATACGTAGCGCGCGTTTCGATCGATTTTCGGCGGGACGGTTGTCGGTTGCCGCCGCGCACATTGCGCTCGACCCGTACGCTAACAACATGCCAGGCGTGCCGCAATCGCTGGTCGGGTGCGCGCTGCTCGCGTCCGAAACGGCCGCCGATATCGCCAGGCGGTGTCGGTCCGATACCAGGTTGCTGTCGTTGCTGGTGCAAGAGAAGTGCGGCGACGATGCCAACCACAGTCGGTTCGCCCGCGACTTCAAGACGCTGGCCGACGTGCTGGTACAGTGCGTGGTGGCCAAACGAATCGGCCAACAGGTAGTAGCACCGCTTACTATAATAGTATTTGTGATAATGTAATTATTTGTTTTTTGGGGGGTGGGAGGGGGAAGACCGAAGAAGTTAATTTGAAAATTCTCCCATCTAGTCCTCCCCGGTACAAGAATGAAAAGGTTCATCCGATAATAATAACTTGAAAGATGCATTTCTAAAGTTCTGTAATAATATAATACTTTTTTATACGATAAAACACATATAAACTAAAAACAATTTTTCATTTAAAATTGTTGCCCAACATACACGATACACAGCTTTTATAAAAAAAACTTCCTTTTGTCGTCATTGTTTACCATACAACACTTGTGAGGATACAAAGTAAAAACAGTCGATATAATATTATTTTGCTGTTGTCAAGTTAATTGTTCTGTTTTTGTACGTTTTATAAGACTTCGAGTTGTTACGTAGACAACAACAGTATGAATTATTTACTTAAAAAAAGAGTTTCAAAAAAACGTTTTTTTCACGAACTTGACTCCCAAAATTAAAGGTTTAACTAAAATTTTAATTAAAAATAGACAAGTATTCTTGTTAATTATTTTAGAATAGATGATGTAAGCGAAATATTAATAGGTTTAAAATAAAGAGCCCTCAGTTAAACACAGTAATAGCTCTAATCTTAAAGTTATAGTCATTAAAAATTAATATTAAACATTTTCACAAATAATTATCTACATAATATTTGGCTTTGGTTTTCAGTTTTGGGGAACACATGTCCCATAAATGTTATCTCAAATGATCCGTGTGTACTATTACTTCCTCAAGGTTTTGCGGGTTAATAACATCCTTGGGTTCGCATACAAAACAAACTGGTTTAAAATTGTAATGATGTGCGTTTAAGTATATTTATAATATTATATCCCATTAGGTCCCAGGCTTGAGAAGGTGGTGGTATCGCTAAAAATAATCGTTTTTCTTCAATGTTGAATGCATTAACCCCATAAAATAATAACACGTGCACCTATAATATGAACATAAAATAAGAAGAGGCACAAAATTTGTACTTTATACATATGTATATTATTGTAATAATAATATATTACATTATGTATAACGCAAAAACACAAAAGCAGTGTTGTAGTCTATGTGACGCATACATTGTAATAGTATATATATATTATTTATTTGTTATTTCATGTTGTATTTGTTTATTATATTTTTTATAACTCGATGAGTTTAAGTAATATTATATTTTTCCCCCTAAAACTGATCTTAGTAAAAATATTTAAGAGCAAACGCGAGTTATTGAAATTCACTCAAAACGATTTTACTTTGGCCTGACAAATAAAAATTATGTTTTTTAACGAACTGTGGCTTTGAGCCAAATTGATTAGAAAAACAAATATATCATAGGTTAATTAGACTCATAGTGTTTAATTATAGTGAGACAAAACATTTATTTCTTTATTAATACGAGTTTTATAAAAATGTCTCTAGTAAATTTACCTCAACTTAGCTTAAACGCAAACCGACTTAGCAATTAATAAAATATTATCGAAGTTGTTACAGGACATTCAGTTGTGTTAATTTAATACCTAAGGAACGTAACACATGTTATACATGTATGATTTTTTATATTTTTTTAAATACTACTGTAAAATTATTACAGCGGGGAATCTATCCGAGTACGTACGCGATAAGTAGGAAATGTGTATATTATGTATTTGTGTAAACATAACACCATCAGCTTTAACTAGCAACTGCTGTGTAGGTATAGTATGGCCATATAATATAATATAACAATAAATCATTTCGCGTATTGTGGAGCATGTAAGTATTTGCGTAGGTTGCGTTTGCAAGTTTTTGGGCAAACAAATATATTATGGGTCCTAATCTTATTGCTGTTTGTTATTGTGTCATTTCCGCCATAATCAATTTAGGTCAGCTCGACGGGAAAATTAATCTTGTTGCTCATATACTAAGATAATATTGTCGTCCGATTCATAATATACTCTATCAATATCGCCGATGAATATAATTATGATACTGCAGTTACAAATAAAGTAGTAAAATTAATAACGAACATTAAATATCGGATTATTGTTAAATTCAAAAACTTATAAAATGAATTGTATCCTTAAGAAGAGTACATTTGTATAAATTCGTTTTCACAAAATTCGATACGAAATTCAACTCAAACAACGAATTATTTATTGCGTTAAATAAATAATAAAGTCCACTTTGTTCTCAACTATCGGCGATGCACAAATATGCACTTAGAATACACAGAGCCAAATTTGATAAGGGTACTTTTACGGAGAATACTTACGCCATTCACGTCATGCTAATTAAAGTGTTATTGTTTCGTACCTGATGCTGTAGAACTTACATTATACATTACATTGTCCGTAACCGCGCATTCTATACACAATGAATTTTATATTAAACGTTTGATACATTTTAGATTAAATACATGTTATTTATTTATTTGTTTTTAAATTTAGTTTCCAGAGCTCAACGACAGTGTTTACGGTGAAGAAAATGACACTATACAGAATAACGTGGGACGGGACGTGACTATAAGGGTTGGAGACACGGTCGACGAGACATTAGAATGTTTGTGCGAGGCTCTCGACAATGACCTGGAGTCGGCCAGGAGCTTGGCGGAAGCGGCTCACAGGCAGTTTACAGTGGATCAGCTCAACGTGGACTTGGTGCCACCCGATAGTGAAGTCTTGGATTTGACAAAGGTCGGCATTTGGATAGATCCTATTGGTGAGAGCGATAACATTTTGATTTTAGATTAACCGCATAAGTGAAGAAACTGACATACTACCATGTAGTATATTTTAATATGCTAACAAATCATAGTTCATAAACAAACATTGAAGTAGGGAGGGCAAGGGAATTCAATGGGTTATGAGTTGGCATCATTCAACCACAATTAAATAAACCGAATAATTATAATTTTATTTATTTTCAATTTAAAAATTAAAAAAAAGTAGTGTTTATTATGTAATTGCGAATTTAAGTGTGTCAAAATTTAATATTATGGTGACACAATAAGTATAATATTGGTTATTACGGTTTGTTAGGTAGACGCGCTTTTAAGATCCCTTCTTATAATTTAAGTCTTTTATTTTTACTTGGGGTATTTATTTATGATATGTTGCAGTATAATATTACTCATAACAAGGGCTGTCAAAACTTATACTTATGGGTTATGACTTATGTGTTATGACAATGTGTCAAATACCCAGGTTAAGCCCTAATATTCCAATAGGTTCAGTTTATGTTAATTGTTTTTCTTTCAATAAACTATGAAATTATTTTTTTTTTTTTATTAGAAAATCTTTGTAGATTAGCTCTACCGGCTTATAATCTTTTTTTATATCAGGCTAGGCTTTTTTTATAACTATTTTTAAATATTTAACGTTTGCGTTGGACAGATTCGACTAACGAGTACATAAGTGGAAACGTCGAAGCAGAAAACGAATTTGGGTTCCATTCAAGTGGACTTCATTGTGTTACTATAAATATCGGTGTATTCGACAAGGAGACCGGCAAACCCTTAGCAGGCGTTATCAATCAGCCGTTCTACATGCGCGACGCGGACAAAAGGTTTATTGTAGTATAGCTTTTTTTTAAAGATAGGCAATCTGGGGCAAATTAACCACCAAAGATGTGAAAATCAATATTTTCCGCTTTCCTAGATTACAATTTACTATATTATACATAATGTTTAATTAAATATTGATACATATTGTATTTTATGTTTTACAGGTGGTCTGGACGTTGCTACTGGGCGTTGTGCAACCAACAGCAAAAGGGTCTCCATTCGTTACCAACGTTCGTCAACGAAAACAAGGTAATTATTTTCGTAGTTTTTAAATTATTCCCCGAATGGCAATGGCGCAATCACAGGTACTCGTCGGTACCTTAGTTTGACTAACTCCTGACAGTGTAATATATTTGAACGACAGCTTGCTCCCACGTTACAGTCTGAATCCTACAAAGTGACCGAAAACTTAATCAATAAGAGCGAGCTAAACATGTCCGTTGTCAGTGTTCTGCGTGGAAACCTTTTAAGGATAATAGCTATCAAGTGTAATACAAACATAGGTTGTTTTCAATCATTTATTTTATTTTTTCGTATATCAAAAAAGGGTAAGTAACAATTTTATATACCTTCACATTCAGTTCCTAAGCCATATATCGAGTGTAGTGTTCGGACTCCTCCCCATCCATATTCGAGGGCTCGAAGAAGACATACGTTTAAGATGTGATCCAGGTTTTCCGCTCCGCAGTTCCACTTTGGATCTTCCTCCAAATCCCATTTTGTTAATAATTTTTAGCTTATATCCGCGTATGCAATCGTTTTGGATTATGAAAACCATTCAAAGTCAGCGCACTACGATAAAATATACATTGTTCCGTGTTCAGTTTGTACACTTAGACACAGCAAAGGAATTAATAAAATGAAAAGTCATCTATTTTCTCATAGACTTAAACTAATTTTATTACTCCTGTTTCTAAATTCCTTTCAATCCACGTCTTGTAATAATTAGTAACTATCACTTTGGTCAATCGTGTGTCAATAAGTTTTTTTAGCCGGCGTTTCTTATAGGCAATCAAGCGTCATGTATGCTGACGATTCAAAAATGTTGTTTATGTTTTGACATATTTTTGTTCGCAGCCAGATGTGATCGTGACCAGCAGTAGCGAGTGCGAAGCGGTTACAACATCGCTGCGACAGTCCGGTTACACTGTGCTGACGGCGGCGGGCGCCGGTTACAAGCTCTTGTGCGTCGCGCTTGGCGCGGTTCGCGCGTACGTGCTGACCAAAGACTCGACTTTCGCGTGGGACACGTGCGCGGCTCACGCTATGATCGTGTCGCTGGGCGGCAACGCCTGTCACTGTGTGCGGCCGGCCGGTCTGGAACCATTGACGTACAGCCCCAAAACTCTGTCGGGCAACCGGACATACTGCAACGCGGCCGGCATAATAGCGTCCCGTCACCCGCAGACAGTACAAAAGGTGCACGCGCTCATCAACGACTGAGCCACTGCCGGTGGCCAACCGTCGAATTATGAACTATCTATTGACGTGGGATAGATATGGGTTATAAACTAGATTGCCACTGAATGATCCAATTTCTTTGGAGATACGGGCTTCACGCGATGAATTCGTTGGAAATTGTTATTATTTACAATAAAAAATATTTAAAAAAAAACCCAAAAATGTATGAGATAGTGAAAACCCTATAAAACCCACCGGAGTTTAACTTTGGCGGCTTCATTCGAGTGATTGCATGCCCAACATAATATTATGACAGTTAGCAGTCTAGTTTATTATTATCTATATCTATGAACTGTGCTTATATTAAGTGACAATTTTGTAAATGAAGCGGTCAAATCCCTATGATGTCGTCAAACCCTGCATGTAAATAAAACAAATTTGGATAAAGAGTGTTAAAGGGTGTTTATCACTGACATGTATCGTCAGCGATTATTATTTTAAATTATAATTATTATTTATTATTACTATTATAATGTGATTATTATTTGAAAAAAAAACTTATTACTATACGTTTAGTGATATATGAAGTTTCATAATTATTTAATCGTTGATAATATATATTTTTTGAAAAAATAAAATCAGTATTCGTCGCACTATAGTAGTATTTAAGTAAGTTTTGTAATTGTATTTTAAAATACGAATTATTTTTTTAGACTCCCAGTTCACCGACTACCGTATTAAACACAAATAACTATTGTTAACTAATATAATATAAGCCACCGCTGTATTGAATGTCTGTGATTACATTTTACTTTTAAGGCTGTCAACACAAGAATATTTATCGTTTATTTTACAGTTGATCGAAGAAATGGTAAATATTTTTGTGTTGATAGTTGCGTAGAAAATATTTTGTGTTAGTGGATGATGGAGTGAATTTAGCATTTTCACATAGAAATACAGTATAATATATACATATGTAATATTAATTGAACTTTGTCAACATGAATGTATTTTTTTTTTTTACATAACGTTGATTTTATATAACCTTTGACAATATTATAAGAATTTAAATTAAATGTTACACTAATATGGTCGATAATACCAAATAAAGTGATAGTGATCTAAACATACAGCGTAAAAGTATTTTATGTGTTTTGTTATTAAATTTCTAATTATTTACCTAAAACAGAAATATTTAAAACTTCGTTAATCGTTAGGTACCTTTTTTAGTAAGCACTGTGTAAGCATTTTATAATTACAATTGTTTTGTTAATTATAGAGCGAGTTAACCTATTTTTGCTGTCTAACTAGTTAAATTTTTATTGTCTATGGCTGTATAGTTGCTATAAAGTTTTCTAAAAAGAAATATTTTTAAAAAATATGTGATTTGAAAGTTTCGTAACTGTAATTGCTAAGTGAAATTATTATTTTGTTTGTGTTAATTATTACAATACATTCTAATATACATAATATAACATCAATGGGTTCCTCTCTAATATTACAAACCTAATTTTACAATAACTTTGATAGTTTTTTTTTATCGGTAAATCAGTTAGCGTACTATTGTGAGCTAAGGTACCTACATTTTCTAGAAACACATTTTAATTTAATTTGATGTTTGAAGGGCGCGTAACTTTACTCTTATTTATTGAAGCATCTTTTTTTTTAAACGAAACTTAATTCAGTAAATGAAAGTTTGAAAAGTGAACAGCTATTTATGTAACACAACAAATGTTTTATAATTTTAGTACACATTGAATTATACATTATTTATAAGATATTAGAATTACACCATTAATTGAAAAGTTTAGCATCATTTTAATATAATAGTTCAACATAATTTTTTAGTTCTGAACTAATTTTCGTAAAACATTTAGTATGTTAAAATTATACTATGTGTGTACGTCGAATTAACATACCGGATACTAGAGTATAATGCAATCAGCTCTAGAATAATTAAAAATATAAATAGTGAAAATTACTGCATCGGTAGTCAAAAGGTTAGGTAGTTGTCCACTCAGTTGTCATTGTAGATAGTGAATTTTAATGTTACTTATAATTAAAATAGTATTTAAATACGTCGACGGCGTGATGTTTGATTATTTTTTTTTCTAATTAAGTTTTACCTAATTGTAATCAATGATTAGTCAAATTATATTTACCATAGAATAGCGATGGCACTAAAATTCGATTTTCCTATGTCCGGATTTGGTGGATTATTAGGATTTTCGGATTTACTTGTTATTAGTAATCTAAGTTGAATAATAAGATTACTGTTACGAAACGTGCATATACTTTCGTTTATAACGTTTATTTAAAAAAATAATTGTATTATTAAATTGGATAAAAAAAGTAAAATTCAAAAATCCAGATAATCCGTCAAATTAGGATTTCCGAAATCAGAATATTACCACCATGTCTCTCTTCAATGGTAATAATATGACAAATCCCTGTTTTAGTTCTTATTCATGTGATAAGTCATACATTTTAAACAAAAAGACAATTGTTATAATATTATAGTGTTTTTTTTTTTATTAAACAACAATAGTATAATTGTTAACATAACTGTATACTGTATATTTTTCATAATTAAAATATTCTAACAGACATTGTGATTGAGCAATATTGTATGTATCGCTGTTGATCGACTACTGTGTTGTTTTGTTTTTATAACCATTATTGCACTGTTGAGATGTTGTATTGACGATTTTATTACAGCAATCTATTATAAATTCACAACAGCTAAACGTAAACCTAACGATATAGCTGATCAAATTGAGAGCGTTGGGATTTTATTTGAGACGGTCATTGAAACAACAAGAACACTCCGTATATTATCAACAGTAGAATAGCCCAGAGAAAGGCGAACAGTGTATAGTAAATGGTAAGCATCCTGTGAAACAAAAACAAATTGAACTAATTATTGTTAAACATCAGGTCAGTCGAGATTTGGCGAGAGAATGTACACTGACTTTCTGTAATGGACTGTCCCTTCCGGTACGGTGTCCAACGGGTCTTTGAATATGAAGCACCTAATACCTCTAATATGGTACTTAAAATAGTCGTCCCAGTCTATCTTGGCCACGTCAAAGTCAAACAGTGTTTTGTCTTGGTCGGACATCGCACTGATCAGATTTCTAGTGTTTGTGTCGTAAAATGTCCACGACTTGAGGCTAAAGAACGAGATGACGTCGACGAATTTGTGTATTTTTTTATAAGCGTCCACCAACCTTAAACAAAAAAGTCAAACTCACATGTTCAACTTCAACAATAACACATGACAACGTAACAAATGGTCAAGTTGAGCGTCAAAATCGTTAAAAAAAGTTCCTGTTCTTTTCGGTTGACGCGAGTCTCACTCGGACAGACCATCGTTTAAATTTAAGGTCATACGAGTAAACTCTCGACCCAATACTCGAAACTAAAACAAGCGTTGCGACAAAATACTTATTTTTTACATTGTTCATCGTACCCGATAAATAAATAAAATAAAAATATCACATCCATACGGTTCATTTCAAAACATTTTGTATTGTTTTGTGTGGGTTTAATTAATACCAAGTTTGCTAATTTTGTTGCGTTGTAATAATGAACGAACAAAAGCTACCTGGGGGGTTTTCCCATTAGTTTGGCTAATGAGTCGACGACGTGAGCCGGTACGGTGTGGCCCAAGAAGCTTAGTACGGCGTATTCGGTCTTAGATCCTGTCAGTTTCAACATGTACGGCCAGATCTGAAAGGAAATTTGATGTGTTTTTCACAATATTCACTACACGGTGGTTATCGCGAAAGTACTCACAATCTGGGTGGACGGTACTTCGAGTCCATGGCGTTGGTTAAATGTCGCAAACTCTCCCCAAGTGAAAGGATTCGTTGTGGTCGACACGCAGTTGTAAATTGGTGTCGAAAATGTCTTGTCCCCTGCGCTTTCGACTTCCCACGAGTTGGTGTTTTTGTGCGATTTCCTGTAGGCAATAAATGAAATAAACACGAGTGTGAGTTTTGCGAGGTTTAGCCTGATCGTGTACACGGTCCTCGAAGGTTCTCCAAAGACCTAAGACAGTAGGCCGATCGACCCGAACACAACTACGTTTGGACCTTTTAAAAAAACAGTGTCCAAAGAAATCAAAAGTGACTAGAAGGCAGTCCTTCGAAATACACGGATTAACAGTTGCCGTGGCTACACGATGTTTGGATGGCAGACACGAAGAAGATAGTAACGGATCGCGTCGGGAATCCCGACGAAGAGTCCAAGAAAATAAAAACAATTGTCAAGAACGGTGAACGAATCAGAAATACTAATGGATTTTCAAGAGTTTTAACAGTCATGTTAATTTTCCATTTTGAGATGGCCATAAATTCAACAGATGCGTTTTTCGAGAATAGCATCGTCAAATTGTAACAATTTGTACATATTTTGGCTTTACCATTTATTGTTAATGTCCCATGCACTGACGATTACCGCGTTGCTAACAAAGTCGCCTGGCACACAGTCGGCATAGGTGTTCGGATCGGCGCACATGGTCCTCAAGAGACCCACACCGACGGCGGCAACGACCCCGGTTGGCCCGTAAACGTTGTTTATCCACCCACGGACAGGCTCGTTGGCAGTGGCTATGACTGTCACGATAAATAAGAAATAAATAAATACGATTAGCGATCATCGTGTACTATTTAAACAAAAACAAATTTAGACCGGACTTACTCATAGAAGGTCTGACGACTCCCAAAGGCAGTCCTTTGCCATATTTCAAAATCTCACCTTCGCCGATAGCCTTGGTGAACGCGTACGTGTTGGGCCATTTGTCCAGGATTCTGGAAAATGATGAATTTTGTTAATTATTTATTTATTTATAATTTATACGTCAAACAGTTGTTTTTATGGTATTGCTCGACAAAATTAACCCTTTGTTAACAATTATTATATCATACAGACAATAGTGTGACTATTCATAAAATACAACAAATTAAAAAAAAAGGAAAAATGTATAAATATACATAGTTAAAAGTACAGTACGAATACCCTATTGGTACTTTACTTTTAATTATTATGGTCACGCCGCGCCGGCCACAATATGAATTATATGTAACATCATGCGTTATTAAAAATTTCCATTATGAGATTCACATTGTAAATTTATCCAAAACGGCTTGTAGTGTAAGCCAGTCATCCTGCAAAGAAATTGCATAAAAAATCTTGGCATGGGGAAATAAAAGCCAAAAGGTCCTTTAGAATTTTTGACATCCACGGTGGGAAAGTACGAAAGGTACACAAGGTTATAATAATCATTGTTGAATTTTGTTTGTTATGGTGTTTATCATTACCCAACATCTTATTTATTCAGTCATTAGGTTCTTAGACAATAATATATTATATTTTCTATGTTATTATGCTATACAGTAGACAAAGCCCGGTTATACTTGGGTTGCAATAATATTAATACAAAGTCGGTTTAATGGCTAATAAATAATTACTATAGGTGTAATATTTTGTTGAAGGTCATCGTTATTTATGTTTATCTAATGGAGTAATAATTGTACATTATCCTAATTATTAGCTAATCGTTAATGCGATCCAAAATAAGAAAAGTGTTTATAGGTCATAAAATATATTATTCGAATCTAGATCTACATCTAGCACAATGAAAAACATGTTGCAAATTAGGATCTAAATCCCAGAAAGAATGTATGTCTTCAACAAATAAATGTTTGCAAAGAATACATTGGCATACTTACTTAGGCGTGACTTTATCGATGTAGTCGTCGCTGAGAGAATCCATCACTTTCATAAGGTCATCTCCGGATATTGGTAGATCATAGAAGATCTCGTCTACGGCCGTCCTGCCAGCGCAGTTACAATAAGCGGTCGATATGTGAACAAAAGCCTGCGCGATCCGACATAATACGTATTATATGATTAACTAATTATTATTCGAAAAACATTTTACTTTTAAGCATTTGATTTCATGTGAGATCTTCAGAAGGTCTTGTAGTGCTACAATGTTGATTTTCACGGCTCTCTTCATGTGTTCGTCAAACCGAACGGTTGCTGCCGAATGGATCACTATGTTAACCTATATTATTATATATCAATAAAAACCCAAGCCGGTAGAATGTATTAATATTGAAGTCCCTTTCCTTCCCTTTTTTTTAATTACATAATTACTAATTGTTTACTTCGTTTTGAAGCATTACTCTGTCCTGTTCGCTTAGTCCCAAGTTCGGTTGTACGCAATCACCGATCACCGCCGTTACTTTTTCCAAGTAATCGGGAGTTTCTTTTTTCATAACTTCGAACACCTGTTGAAATCCCAAGATAAATAAAAATGGTAATTCCTCTCGAAAAACTTAACCGTTAAGTTAAAAAACTGAAAATAAATTTCATACAATATGATGGCCAATCAGCATAGAAAACGGTCTAATTTTTTACTATCAGAAATATTTGAACTTGTTGCGATTACTTCAGAAAATAATAATTTTATATGATTTACATAAAGACGACTCACCGGATTGTCGAACAGATCTTTGAACCGTTCTTCTGTCGTTTTGCCTTTTTTCTCTCTGATCAAAATATATATCCTTTTTATGCCAGAACATGTTCTGTAAAAGTAAAGAGAAATGTATGTTTACCATCACCAGTATGATTATTTTGATAATGGTTTATAATAATTCTATGCCCGCCTATGTACTTATTATGTTTTATTTTGTCCCCGCCACGCTCAGAACTAGGCTCATTGATATCGTGTGTGTTATAAATATACTAGTACAATTATAAAATAAAGACTATTTCCAAAATATGCAGTTGCAAAAAATTGTTTGGTAAGTAGTCATCGTGGTATCAAAAAGTCGGTTATTGACACAGTGTGTTTTTTTTTAACAATCCGATATTTTCAAAAAGGCAAATTTTTGAAAGAATTTTATAAGAAACATGTTATTTATTCATGCGGTCATAATTAATCAAGTTTAATTTTAGCAAACATGATATTTGTACTATTTTATAAGATTTTTTTTCCGGAATATTAACAGATGACATCTAATTTTTGCTAAAATTGGACTTCAATGGTTATGACCGCCCATCGAAGAACTATTTAATTTCTTAAATAATGTTACTGTCATCATTTGAATATGACGATTAGATTATAATCTTTCAAACGATTACTATCCTAATTATACTTTGATTTTGATTGCATTAATTAACTATATACATTTTTACTCGCATCTATTTTTTTTTTTTACAGAAATATTTATAAAATTGTAAGTTTCATTTAACTTTATAACGCATCTTATAATAATAATAACATCTAATAATTACAATCTTACAACAATTAGTTTTCAAATTTGCCTTACTTGATCATAATATGCGTGTGTGGGTACACAGTCGTTTAGGTAAAAATAAATTTTAGTGTTTATGCTACGCGTTCACCTTGATACGTCTGAATACGAAATAATTAACATGTACGTGTCTATGTGTAACGGTTATTACTTTGTTCAAACCTTTTAAACTTGCCGTTTTTACAACTATATTCAATATTCACGTTTGCTTTACTTAATATGCAATATTAATAAACACTTATATTAAGTATTTGAATCGGACCCCGACAGTTATCATAATAACAATAATAAAATAATAAAAAAAAATATATTCGCAGACGTTTTGCATTTTAATATGTCATACAATAAACCTTGATCGTGGTAATGGTTTTCAAGGGGATTATATAGATAGATCAGTCTGAACTCTAAACTCGGAAATCTAGAAATGAATTTAAATATATAAAATATCTTCTAAAAAAATAATTGAAGTACGGTATCATACGCGAAATAACAACGAAAAAAATGGTATTCTAGTATATAAGATAAGTTTTTTTTTTAAATCTATGTCAACTGCTTAACATGACTCGTGTAGTGCAAAAAGAATTAGGAATTATAATGCCTAGTTAAATCCAATACTGTAATTCGTTACTATGATAATTTTCAAATGGAGACAGAATGAAAACCTTGGCCGATATTGTTTTACTATTATGAATCGTATTACACTTAATATTTCACTTTTGAAACCTATCGAACGTATTTAGTTATTATTTTACCATTCCTATTTTCCAGGAGAAGGTTCTATCCGATTATGATGGGTACAGACTTCTAAAAAAATGTTAATATTTTTTAACACTATTCGTTGAAGCGTTCGACAGTGTTTTTATCACCTTGGATAACCGTCGGATGCACACAATGTGTTTGTATAATAGACGTTTAGCGAAGTACGTTTACAACTAATGCATGTACTACTTTGTTCAAAATCTTACCTTATTAATTTTTCCAAAATTAAAATGCCCACGAATCCAGTCGCGCCTGTCAGGAAAACCGTAGTGCCATTATAGAAAGATTGTACTTCGGACAGCGAAGGACTTGTATTGTTTTGACAAGAATTACAATTTTCCATTATCTTATTAGCACTTGCCATTGCTGAAAACCACAAGGAGCAACTTTCATTATACAATATAATTATCCTCTGGTTTTCTTATACTTAATGCACATTGGATTCAATTTTTTGAGAACCCATTTAGATATCACAACTCACCATCCCAAATAATCATATAATTAAGCTCAGGGAGACAGACTCGTCAATTACCTTAATCAGACTGCCTCTGTTTACTTTGTTTAAATAGCGATTAATATTTTATTTTTTTAATAAGCGGACCGTATTAGATTTTACTTATTATATAGGAACGTTATTATTGTTATATGGGTTTTGCAATATAAATGACGTCACTGAGGACTTACGTATGCTTTGTGCTAAATATTATAAATTAAAATGTAATTTCTGTCGAGTGAAAATCGTTCAGCGTGGATGCCTCATAGTTATACACTACATTATAAAATCTACGGCTCAACATCCAAGTATCTTTTATCATGGTCATTCTAATGATCAATTATTAGACGATCATTAACTGTTCAGACCTAAGACCGTAACGACTGTGTGTGTTAGATATTATTTGATAAATATACTTTTATCTTTGAGAAACATCCGAGTATCTGAACAATCGTACAAATTGTTAATGAATAATTAAAAGTTATAAGTTTACTGTTTAAACGATGAACAATAATAATACAATTGTTCTTCAATAGCAAAAAAAAGTTGTTGCACCTTTTGTGTTTCATATTATTTCTTGTACACAAATTTTATTAGTTTTGGCATTTATTTTGTATTAGATTGGTATTTTCTATTTTTGTGCAACATATGTAAGTACAAATTTAATTTTGAAACCTAAAAAAACTTACTTATTTGTAATGGTTATGCCAAAATTCGAACTAAATTATCCAAACATTATATAATTGTAATACTTAACTGCGATGAGTAAATTAATTTATATTAGTGAGACACCGCGAATACCTAATTTAGTTAATTTATTCAGTTAAGTCAACTATTGTCACGTACAATAGTTTGGTAAATTATTATTAAACCATGAGTACTCCTACCTACCAACCTTTGACCCTTTGTATTAAACATAATAATGTACATTAAAATGTCAATTATCATAAGAAAGAAAGGAATACATTATCTCATATCCGTTTGAAACGTAAGTAACAATGATATCATTCTTAGAGGGTGCATAATATAGCATTTGAAAGATTATATAAGTTATTATTTTTAATGGTATTTCTCAACAGTCGCTTGAATAAATGTACATCTTTCAAACGGAAATCAAATGTATATAATTTAAAACAAACACAATTTATTTTGGAATATGACAACGATAAGGTTTCAATTTGAAATTAATACATTTTTTATTTTTCCAGTGCCTTGACGAAAATATGACAAAAAAAAATGAACTGCAAATAAATAAATAGAAGTATTATTTCTGTACAAAACATTCCGCATTTAAAAATACATATAAAGCTAATTTTTCGTAGTCACATTTTATTAACATAGCAAAGGTAAATCTATATAGATACTTGATATTTATTTCATACAAAATTTCTACATAGTTGTTTACTTATTATTGAACCAAAAAATGTCTTAAAAGTTGACGAGGAGGGTTTTCTGAGAAAATGTGTGGTCTATTTTGAACGCTATACACACGAACCCCATAATATACTGCGTTCAAAATAGACCCCCTGAGTAGTTTTAGGACATTGTGTCGTTAGAGTCCAGAGCTTTGAACCAACATTATTTTTTTAGAATATCATATTTTGAGTACATAACATTTAATTTTGGCATTGAATATAAGTTAAAAACTTAATTATTTTTTTGAGCTCCGTCCACCCAAGTTATATTTTAAATTAAAATAGTCGTTAATGAAGTTTTAATACGTTGTGCTGTACGTCATTTGTCATTTCTACCTGTTTTTTGCTTATAAAATTATTATTTTTAAAATTGAAATATCAAAAGTAAATGTTTTTATTTTGCTCTAACGATGCGTATTTGGTTTTAGCTTGTTTAAGTTGTAAGTTCTATGTACGTTTTTATGTAATCCAGAAAGACAACGATTAACACCACTACCTTTAAGTTATGTTTAGTAGGTTTTCGATTTCGAGTGTTTACAGGTAAACCCGGTAATAAATGAATTTATTTGCTTCTGGTATAATTGGCTTTTGGGTTTCGGCATTTGTGGTATTTTTAACGGTATTGAGCAACGGGTTTAAAGCTCTGGTTTTTTTTTTTTACCTTGGAATGTTATCTTTTTAGATTTTTACAGCATTCGGTTACCTTAGATTGTGTTTGCAGATTTTTGCGCTGGACTGTTACAAATCGGCTTTTGAGTTTCTTCTCTAGACAAGAAAATGGCAGCGCGTTAAATCCACAATTTAATTTGGCTGCTGCGATACGGGTGAGTACTACCAAACGACGAGGGTGCGTGCAAATAAATCGACTTTCGACTTAAAGCCAATGTCTGAAATCACGTGTAAGTACTTGTTGCAAGCAGTCCGGTCGATTCTATCCAACTGATTCGTGTCGTATCTGCGTGCCTCTACCTATAGTAATGATGTTACTGTGTTTTTGGCGTTGCATCGACACACGCCGACTTCCTAGGTCACGACCAACAGACAGCGACTGAAAAAAGTAGAGGACATTATTATTATGGTTTTGTTTTTGATAAATTTTCAAAAATTTATTCAAATTTATTGTGTAGATAAATTAACGTATTCACACTCACGTTCATAAAAAAAACGAGAAATGTATTAATAACTATATCTAGAAATAAGATTTTTGTTTTATTTTTGAAGTTTCTGCTTTTAATAAAATTTAGTAACAGTAATCGGTTATGCAGGCAGTAAACTGGAGTAATACTCGTTTTATTATCTCTTGACTAATAAGTTTCAAAAAAACACTGACATTTAACCGATATCGCAATATATATTGACAAATATAATATAAACAAACAAAACATACTTAAAGAAGATATTTTTGGGAACGCATTCATTTTTTAAAATTTAAATTCGCGTGCTGCTCTAAATGAAAACAATTCATTTACCGTTCACTAAAAAAATAAATGTAAATAATGCTTTTTGTAAATGCGTTCGGTCTGAAATTTGTACTGCGACTTGCGACTGTTCGCTGTAAGTGTAATGTTTATGGCCGGCCCATTATTATGACTAATATTATAATAAATTGTTTTTATAATTGTATTTAAATAGAGATAAAGTTAAAATATTATTATAAAAATTGAATTACATAAAAAATACATGTTTAAATACGTCTTATTAAAATATTCGAATTAGCAACAACACTTAACTGCTTAAACCTGAATCAGATTTATTTTTTTGTATTTAGCAGTTTTGGCCGGGGTAAATAGGAGTATAATTGGAAGACGCTTTAAAATATTTTGTAATAATGACTTGTTATTAACATTTCTAAACAACACATTTCATTTTGCATACTGCTATACATATTTTTATTGTTTTTATATTTTTACTACTGCTGTCTTTTTTGTTATTATTAATAATATAATAACGATGTTTACAGATACAGCGGAGTATCACTGCGTTCACTCGTATATAATACCTTTACTATTTATTATTAACTATGGGTATGGTCGCTGGAGGCGTTGTGTTATCAGGTAATTAATGACGAAAAAAAATGTTTTTAGACTTATAGTGTTTAAAATACGTCGTAGACAAATATTTTAAGTACCTACTATTAAAATACTAAATTAACTATGTATTCTTAATACTATAATGTATATCATAATACATTTTTTACTCGAGTATACGTTGATACAAATGAACAAAAACAATTCTTGGGATTCCAAACAATGTACTTTATAATTTAGTTGTAAATTTAGTCTTGTAAAGTATAAATAAATAATTATATAATTTATATATACTTGTATTCTAGTGAATATTATTAAAATTTTTTTTTTTTTTAATTAATTCGACGTGCCCAACCAAGAAGGACGTAACTCGATTTTTACAAATTTTCAATACAGCCGTTCAAAGTTTTCTAAGTTAAGTTCTACTATTGCATTTTAATTTTTTTCCAAAATGTGTACAACCTCTTTAGAAGTCAGGAGTTACAAATCGTCCTTATGGGAGATAAAGAAAATGAAATGCTATTTTATTATTTAATAAACCGAAAAATGATAAAAATCGGGTTACGTCCTTCTTCGTTGAACACATCGAATTACACTTATTTGCGCTATAAACACCACGGTTTTTATTGCTCTTAACTGTTTTACTTTTTTAGATTATTTGTTTAATATTTATTGCTGCATTACTGCACTATATGCGCGCATTACTTTACCGCACCCCATCTCCCGTCCTAAACTTAAATAACTTTTAATGTAATTATCCAAAATTGGTTGTCGAACAGGCACGCAGGCAAGGTCTTCCATTGGTCACTTTGTTGTTGGGTTTCTGATCAGGACATTTCGTATAAGGCTTTCACCAGCCTGTCAAACATGTTCAGTCCACTCCAATCGTTTTGCTTTTAGGAACGATCTGATATTGGGCTTATTTTATAACCTTTCTAGATCACCGTTTATCGTCTCTCACATTCCCCATTTTGGTTTCGAACAGGTCTGTGAATTTTCCTGAAAAATTGTCTTTCAAAGGTGAGTAGTTTCTCTTCGTCCCCCTGCGTTGTGGACCAGGCGTACATTATTATCGGTTGTAGATAGGTTAGGTTAGGTGTACAGTTTCTCTTTTGTAGCTTTGAACAGTAGTCTAGAACTGAGCATATTGTTTATGGCAAAATAGGTATTGTTTGCATTACTTATTCTTAACTGGATTTTATTATGCATGTTATTTTTTGTGTTTTTGTCGACTCATAAGTATTTAAATCCATTCACTTGCTCAAAGGAGTAGGGGCCTACTGTTAGTGCTGCTTTGTTTACCAGCAAATTATTTTTAAAAAAATGGCTATCTTAAATTAAAAAAAGTAAAACAGTTAAGAACATTAGTTAAGTTATATTAGAGACCTAGAATATTTATCGTCATACGATAGTACAGTTATTTTAATTGATTGTTATAAGTACGTATAATCATCAATTCAAATTTTGAAAATCAGACGTGCTTTATGTGTAACAACTAACAAATATTATGTGCTAAATCCATTTCTTAAAAAATTTTTCAATAGTTGGTAATAATATCATACCATAAACGATATAGGTACTACTGTTTGACAAACCTTTTAATACTAAGATATAAAATGCTAAAATATTTGTAAATCTTCGATACTATTATAAAAGCCTGAGAAAATTACATCTACTTAAGATAGTCCGATTTCAATTCTATTCATATATTTGAGCTTATCGTCTTCTTTTCAAGATTATTGCAAAAATCGATTTTTGATATTTTAACTGAACCACATATTTGAGAAACAACTTAAGTCCAAAAAATGTAATTAGGAGAAAACAATAAAAAACTGTTTTAACGCTACCAGTGTTATATATCGGCGAAACTGAAAGGTCCAATGGAAAGTGCTCGTTTAGGATACACAACTTAAAAAAAAAAAATATATTGACCTCGTTCTGGCCTTGGGGGATGCATTTGAAATTGCTGGACTTACGTCATTTCTCAAATACATGATTTTCCGTCATGCAAATGTGTGGTTTTATTACTGTAGTGTTCACTCTGGACTTATGTTCATTCTGAAATACACGTAGTTAATCATAAATAGACGTGTTTACCTGTAATACTAAATTTAAAAATATTAATTTTTCACCTTTATTCAAATGATGAGTAAAAAAAAACTACTAATTTACTGCAATACAATATTTTTTATTGATAATTAATATAAATCATTAATGCTTTGTTAAATTAATTTTGATATACAGACTTAGTATTTCGAAAAAGAGAAAACAAAATTAAAAACAATGAAAAACTATCTTAAAATTAAATATTTCTCTCCAAAACTTTTACACATGATGCGTATATCAATATAAAACGTATCCCATGTGTTATCTCATTTTTCAATATTTGGTGACTTACGTTGTTTCTTAAATATGTGGTTCAACTATAAGTCTGTTTAAATCTTAATTGAATTTCTCAAACTTTTAGTATTCCCATTGGGCATTATTGGTTTTTTTAATATAGTTAAATAGTTATTAACAAAATCGACTTCCACAATAAGTGAATAGCCTGGGAAATAGGTTTAAGGGCTTACATATTTTTACAGAACCAAAATCTGATCAATCTAAGTAGTAAGTAGGCATAATTTGGTTAGGTTTGTAGCTCTAAAATGGTTTCTTGTAAGAACAAAATGGATTTAACTCGTAGAAAAAATGTAATGTGTTAAAAATCATACCTTGATGCTTTTACAAATTATCCTGAAAATAATTAAAAATAATTGCTTGTTGAAACATTCGTTTCGAAAATGTTGACAGTTTTTCAGATCTTATAAATACCAGTACACTTGCGTATACGACATTGATATTGAAGTATTCATTGACGCCTTACATTGTATTAAGTAATTAACGCTTACAGCGATTGATAATTTCTGTTATATTACTGAGCAGCTCAATTAATCTATTCAAGTCGGAATACTTTCCAATGTTAGATGTTTTCAAAAACGTCTTGATCAGATAGCACGTCTAGTTCCTTGACACGCAAAATTTTTTTTATGTCACATCATTCAGCGTAACGCTCACGTTGCCGACGGGGTGTAAACTGTATTGTTTCTAATGCGTTTTCTACAATATGATAACTGGCTACAGAGTGAGTTCAGCAGAACTTTGATTTTTCAATTTTACCGTCGTCGTTGTAATATTCGATATCAAACAGAACACTGTGAAGCTAAGGCATTTTATTTACAAACGACTGATATCTGAAGATACTTTCTACGTGGTAACCACTAATGACGCTTAAAGAAAAAAAAACACTTTTCTATTACATGATTGCATGATATTTTTGACATCACTAGACTCTTGACTTTTTTTAACTGCAAGATCACTTATATTTTTACGATCGGTTTACTCATTACTAGATTATTTAAAAAATCAAGCATTAAAATATTACAAAAATGACAGATTAAATAACCCACGAATTTGAATAAAATTAATATATATTTTACAAGGTACACATTTTTTCCGCTCATTATGCTCGATTGTAGATTGTCGTGTAGTGAAACGAGAGAAAATCCAGACGATACTGATACTGATTTTTGGGTGAATATTTTTTTAAAAACATATATCGCACACCTAGATCGAAACTGTAATAACTCAAAAAACACCTTTTTTTTAGAAATTCCCAATAATGTTTTTTCAAGTTTAACTACTTAAACGTGTTAATTAAACTTTAACTGATTTTTTTTAATAAAACAGTTTGTACAACCAATGTACGTGCACTCCGCTTGATGTCCGGGCAGAAATTAATGGTTTTAAAAATTAAATGGTTTAAGTAGTTTGGATTATGGGATTAGTGATTTTTACAAAAGGTACCTACAGCGACATATTTCGGAGAGTAATCAAGATAAATTTAAATTCGTTTTGTTGGTTCATGCAAAAACTTCGTTTGTAAAATCCGAATATACAAATAACTAAAAATACGCACTTTTTGAGTTG